TACCCTAGTTTTATAGCTAAACTTCATAACTTTTATTGTCAAAATTGGTGAGCCATGCATGGTTTTACTACATATTCTACTAATGCATCATATATGGAAAAATAATGGTGAATGTTAATGATAAAAAATCAAGGGATGTCAGAACATTACATTTTTTATAACTAAAAGTTAGTCATATCAAAGAGTAATTAATAATTGAATGATTAAATGTTTAATAGATTTTGTTTGAAAAAAAATTTATTAAAAATGTATAATTAAGTGAATTATTACTTATGTTACAAAGTGACTGTTCGTTAAAGTTGACTTAGAATTATCGTAAACCCCTTCCTTTATGGTTGTGCCTTGTGGGCAATATTAGTCAAAAATGTATGCATGAATGAATACTTCGGAAATAGTACACCACGATGTGCCATTTCTATAATGCTCGAACTAATGGGATATTACGGATCATATGCAGATTAAGAGATAACCTAGGATTCTTAAAAGTCTTAAATGACGCAGATAAAGTGGGTGAAAGTTATGTAACAATTAATATTCACGATAATCATTAATATTCACACTTAGTGTGCTGGAAGTGTAGCTCATGAATATTAGTGTCTGTACATATGTGACCTTCTGTGATGGAAAAGCTGAATTTTCAGCATCATTACTCCAGTCTTCAGTTTCACATGATCCTTCTAAATCATTCGTATGTGCTCAAGTAAGAACAGCATTTATTTAAAATATGAATCTTTTGTAATATAAATTTAATTTAATCAATTTCATGGATCCTTGCTGAATAAAATATTAATTTCTTTAAAAAAATCCTTTTTTACAAATAATATCTAAATGATATAACAATATTATGGTAACAATTTACAATAAGGTTCATTAGTTAACATTAGTTAACTACATTAGTTAGCATGAAGTAATAATGAACCGCACTTATACAGGATTTATTCATCTTTGTAAATGTTAATTTCAATATTTACTAATACTTTATTAAAATCTTGTTAACATTAGTTAATGCGCTGTCAACGAAGATGTATTGTAAATGTAAATGTATTGCTTATGGTTAGTTCATGTTTGTTAATATTACCAATATTATATATATTGATATAAAAAATAAAATAATTCATATTATAGAAAGAATGTTGCTGTACAAACCACAAAAAAAGACAAAAATCACGGAGAAGAAAGAAAAAAACAGATACATTAAAATTTAAAATAAACTTTTTTTAGCTCGTTCTATTTTTCTTTTTTTAATAGGTTGGAGGCAAGATGGATGAGAACCGTTTTGTTGCGGTCACAAGCTCCAATGCTGCAAAGATCTACAACCTTTACCCTAGGAAGGGCAGGATCATCCCTGGAGCTGATGCGGATGTGGTAGTCTGGGACCCTGAATCAACAAGGTACGCTGAATTATGGATTGAATTCAAATCAGCTGAGAATCCAATAACGTTTATTTTACAATTCTATATTTTGTAGCATTCATTGTAAAAGGAAAGTACACTTATTTTTTACATGGTTTTGTCCGTCTGTAGGACTATCTCTGTGACCACACAGTGTCAGGGTGGTGATGTAAATCTGTACGAGAACCTACGCTGTCACGGCGTCCCCCTGGTAACCATCAGCCGCGGTCGCGTGGTCTATGAAAACGGCATCTTCACTTGTGCTGAGGGCTCAGGAAAGTTCTACCCTCTCCGAACCTTTCCTGACTACCTGTACAAGAAAATGGTGCAGCGGGAGAAGGTAAAACACAATCATGTTTTTTTTATGACAGTGTATCGCAGTGCCTCCACTGAGTTTGTTTATGACCCTCTACTCTCAGTGTCAAGCACTCAAGGGGGTGGAGCGCGCCCCGTACACTGGAGATGTAGCGGCAGTGCAAAATTCTGGGAAGAAGGAACTGGGCCCTGCAGATGGAGACATGACTCCACGACCCTGCACGCGCCACGGGGGAATGAGAGACCTTCATGAGTCCAGCTTTAGTTTTTCTGGTAACTATACTGAAGACTGTAGGGCTAAATCTCTCAAAAGTAATGTCATACCTCAAACGGAAATGAGTATATTGCATAAAGAAAAAGAAACCTATTTTTAATTTGGTAAAAAATACTTTTAAATGACAATTTCTTTCAAATGTCTTAATACTTTAATATGAAAAATGTCATTCTATATTTTTTATAGGTGCTCAAATTGATGATAATGTTCCAAAGAGAGCTTCTGCACGGATTCTGGCTCCACCTGGTGGTCGTTCTAGTGGAATCTGGTAACATTTTGGATCAACACTTACAGAAGTCTGAAACTAAACACCTACATTTTTGAGAACCTCACATCTGATGAACGTTATTTAATTTGAATCACTTGCACCTAAAATATGTGTATGAGGGAAAAAAACCCCGATATATTTGTGTGGAAATTGGGAAAACAAGGTATACGTTGGAAATACTTAGAGTTGGTTATACAAAGTGTTACAGGGTGTTTCGTTCTTCATATTCAGTCAAATGAATTAGTGAAGTTTGTGTTTTAATACAACACTGTTGTAGTGCTAAATAAATGACAGACCCTTTTACTAACAGTTTTTGTTACTGCATATGTTGACGTTTGAACCATTTTAAAGATAGAAACTGGACATTTGTTTAAGAATGGTAACATTATTAGTCTGTGTAGTTGGTCATGGCTTGAAAATGTGAACCATTGTAAAGTTATTTAATATTACCTATTTTAATGTGTTGGCGGATGACTATACATTTACCTCAGTGTTTATCTTTTGAGTTACACTTGTGCACATTAACAGTCTGCCTCTCTACACTTACAGTGACACTTTCTGACAGCAGGTACAGTTACAAAACATTTTTGCTTTGTTTTGAGGTGTTAATATTTGTTTTTACTTTTTGACATAGTGATCATTCAAATGCAGGACAAGATATTTGATTGTTTCTGTCATGACACAGGCCACTTGTATTCCTTAAGCATTTAAAAAAGTAATTTATATGAAACATTTTTAATTTTCTTAATGTCGTTTATAAGCACACATACCTGACCTCCTAAAATGTGAATTAAGAATAATTTTGTTTACTTCGTTACATAACAAATTGTGTAACCAATCTAAAACTTTATTGATTTTTCATTTTTAACTGACCTGATTTTTTTTAATCAATCCATGAAGTCTACATTCCCTTTTACTGTTATGAGTTACTCTTCATAACAAATGCCATAATTTTGCAGTATATCTTTATGTTTATTCTAGAATTAACTGTTAGCTGAACGTAATGACAGTGTAATTCTTCGGTTGTTCACTGAACATTAACACTGTGTATTAGTGACTATTGATCTGCATGGTCCACAGCTAGTCAGCAAAATTCAGCTTCACTTCTGATCAATAAGTTCTAACCAACACTAGTTACAAACGGCAGACAGCATACTGATGCATGTGTCCTTTTTGTTCATGTCATGTGTGTATAACTAAGCACTTCCATAGAGACCATTTGAAACACAGTAACTTTAGCTGTACAACTCAGTGTTCTAGTGACACAAGCAGTAGAATGGCAAGAACATTTCTGTTGGTGCTAAATATTCATGTATTTTTTATTCTGGGTTTTCAGTATGCTTTTCATTTTTTTAATAGGAGCTGTGTATGCACTACGGTTTTATTATGTATTAATGTAATATGTTTCTCATGAAAAAGTGCAAATAAACCCCATTCAACCTCGTGTCCACATGTATTATTGAATAGAATTAAACATTGAATATGCATATGCAATAACGGTCAAAAGTGTGAAAACATTACTATTTTTAACGTTTTTGAAAGACGTCTGTAGTGTATATTGTTAAAAGAGTTCTATTTTAAATAAAATTAAACTTTATTCATAAAAGGGGCATAGATTATAAAATCAATATTAAGCAGCAGCACTGTTTCCAACACTGATAATAAAACAGCACGTTAGAATTGTTTCTGAAGGATCATGTGACACAGACTCGAAGTGTGATGCTCAATCAGAAATGATTGCTGAATGATGCTAAAAATTTGATACATTTGAAAGTACATTGAAATAGAAAATCATTGTTTTAAATTGTAGTCTTTTCCAATATTATATATATTTTTAAGCACTAAAAATAATAATGTTTCCAAACTTTTAGCTGGTACTGTAACAGTACATGTGTATAATGATTATACTTACATTATTAAATCACTTTAATTCTCAAGTAATTAAAGGAGTAGTTCACTTTTATAAAAAAAACTTTTGCTGATAATTTACTCACCCCATGTCATTCAAGATATCCACGTCTTTCTTTCTTCAGTCGAAAAGAATATAATGGACTTCATTGGGAACCAAACGGTTCAAGGTCCAAATGAGAGTTTCAGTGCAGCTTCAAACGACACCAGACGATGAATAAGGGTCTTATCTAGGACCCTTTGAGTCATGACTCGAAAAAAGATTTGTTCCTTTTGATGGACGAGTTTGAACAGGAGAGTCAAGACGCTCATCACAGAACAGAGCAAGGTGAGCATTTGTGCTTATAAAACTTAAACTTTATTAATAAACTTTATTATTTATTTTTTAAATGGCCGGTCGTTTCTCTAGATAAGACCCTTATTCATCGTCTGGTGTCGTTTAAAGCCCTTTGAAGCTGCACTGAAACTCTCATTTGGACCTTGAACCGTTTGGTTCCCATTGAAGTCCATTATATGGAGAAAATCCTGAAATGTTTTCATCAAAAACCTTAATTTCTTTTCGACTAAAGAAAGAATGACATGGACATCTTGGATGACATGGGGGTGAGTAAATCATCAGCAAAAGTTTTCTCTAAAATGTGAACTGCTCCTTTAACAAACAGTATAAGGCGGATACACTTTATTTTAAGGCGTCGTTGTTACACTGTAGTTATACATTTAAGTACTGAGCCCCCCACAATTAGAGCAAACTGTATTCCTTTAGAAATAACGGGCTGTTCCGTCTGTGATGAAGGGGCGGGGCGCATGCGCAAAGAAGGCCAGTGTGTTGCAGGAGAGCGTGGCGCTATCGTGCGCTGTCCGTAACTAGGCAGCAGGCAGCAGCGGCGCATTAATATCTGGCAACCCACAGCAGCAGCGGATTGCCTTCTACCAGTGTAATATCAACATTGGAAAGGACGCAGGCAAAATACAGTGAGTAGAACATTGTTAAAATGTTATAATTAATCGGATTTCTTCCTAATGTATGACATTAAATAGGCGTCTTTTGTCTGTGTATTATGCGTTATGCCTCGCGCGTGTCTAGTCTGGTGTTGCTCGTGCACGGCGGGGCCTGCAGAGAAACTGTCACAATAATGGACCGTTTGTTCATTACATATCACTGCACGCCAGTGTGCTGTTTTTAATAGAGCAAAACACACAAATTCTGTACACGTTTTATGTCCACAAAACCAAAAAGAGCCATACTAGTAATAAACAACGCGTTATTATAGGGCCTGTCTGTCTAATTCCCACGGAGACAGTAGGCTATAGTTTAAAATATCGTTTGCTGATACGATAAATAAACCATAAAACTAAATGATTTGTTTGTAACAAATACGAATATTGTAATATATAACACACATGACAGTCATATGACAGTAAAACGCGCACGAGACAGTTTAAAATGTATGCAGCTGAATATAAAAGAAGCCTGTCACCTGTCAATCACGGCTTCATTTCTTCATATTTAAGGGCAGACTCCTGACCAACCTATGCAATACATAGGCCTGTAATATATACGCTTTAAAACTTTATTTAGAAAATTTCCATTATTAGTAGTGTCAATAATAATATTTCAACTTTTTTTGTTGCCTTTATGTATTTTGGGGCGTGAGAAAGGCAAGAAATCCTATAACTTAAAAATAGCTAGGCTACATAAATTAGATGATCTTAGAATGTTCTAGAATGTTACAAAACAAAAGGACTGGTTTATTGTTAATTTAAATTATTATATTATAAAATGATAAATATCCCTAAAACCAGCTATTCTCTGACTATAACTTCATATAGAATATTATAAATAATATTACATTAGTTATAGTATGTAACTTTTAAAGCAACGTTACTATTATGTCCTGACGGAAAAAAATAGGTCAAATAAGTTTTACCTAATTTTTGTCAACACAGTCAGATATACAGTATATGAAAACAATTATGATCAGGTAATATCATATTAATATTGTATGTGTCATAGTCATATTGTAAATAAAAAAATTGTAAAGTTTGTTAAATTGATTTTTAAAATATACTTTTTAAAGTGATTTATGATATGTTTACAGTTTGGTTAGTAGTAGGGGTTTTTTTTTCTTCTATTTTTTTGTCCAATTATTATTTCAACTTTTATTTCCATGCATATTTGTTTGCATTTAAAAAAAAGTGTAGTTACAAATGATCTTCTGCTGAAATACTAAACAAAAACATTTTAAACACAATTTTTTTATTGCATTTAATATGATACGATAGTCAACAACACTATATTTTATATTGTGCTGACATTTCAAAACATGTAGCTGAAATCGTAGTTTTGTAGGTTATGTTGTCCCAGTTCTTAAGAATCAGAGTTTTAGAAACGTCATGCTGTGAAATACACACACATTGTTTCTCTGTAGAAGATGTGTGTGTGTTTTCTGCATGCTGAAGGTTGTCATTTGTCATCAGATGTCATTTCCATCATGCAGTTTGCAGGGCACAGCAGATGTGCATGGTTAAAAATCTCAGAAACACTTTAATCTGGATGGATTATCTTTGGATGATTGAAAAATAGTGTAATTGCAGTTTGACTACTGAAGAACTGAATATCACTTCTGATTACCCATATGGAAACACATTGCAAACACTGTGACACATATTCAAAGCATTTGCATTTACCTGCTATGCTATGAAAATCATGTTTTTAAGTCTAAAATTCCATAAATAAAATTTCAGGATATAAAATATAAACCTGAAATGATATATATTTTAAAATATACACTGTTACAGATGCTCTAAGAGGTCAGAGTATTAAAATTATGTGCATGTAGGTCCATAGTGACTTTGTTCCTGTTGTTTTTCTTTGCAGGAGATGGCAGTGAATGTATACTCCACGTCAGTAACCATCGAGAACCTAAGCCGACATGACATGTTGGCATGGGTGAACGATTCGATGCAGCTCACCTACACCAAAATTGAACAATTAAGTTCAGGTGGGTCATACATACTGCCTTATTTCACTAAGTGTTTTTGTCTTTTATGTCATGAGTGGCACTCAGCTGCCCTACTCTTATTCATGCTTTTGATCATATTAAGAGATCACATACAGTATCTTCAGTGTTTTTATCTCTACCTGTGTAATCAGTCAAAAGCATTGCAGTCTTTAACACTCGACACTAACAAGGTTAACAAATCACATGCAGACATGTTGATCAAATACATTCTTTCATCATGCATTGAATGAGCTCTATTGATCTATGTTCTCTTTTGCTGTTTGTCCTCAGGGGCGGCTTATTGTCAGTTCATGGACATGTTGTTCCCGGGGTGTATTCTTTTGAAGAAAGTGAAATTTCAAGCAAAACTGGAACATGAGTATATACACAACTTCAAAGTACTCCAGGCAGCTTTTAAGAGGATGAACGTCGATAAAGTTAGTGGATCCTTGGATTTTGCACATTTGCTTTTATATATATCTCATATTCACTTTTCAAAAAACTTCTGCTGGTAATTTACTCACCCCAATGTCATCCAAGATGTCCATGTCTTTTTCTTCAGTCGAAAAGAAATTAAGGTTTTTGATGAAAACATTCCAGGATTTTTCTCCATATAATGGACGTCATTGGGAACCAAACGGTTCAAGGTCCAAATGAGAGTTTCAGTGCAGCTTCAAAGGGCTTTAAACGACACCAGACGATGAATAAGGGTCTTATCTAGGACCCTTCGAGTCATGACTCGAAAAAAGATTTGTTCATTTTGATGAACGAGTTCGAACAGGAGAGTCACAAACGCGCATCACAGAACAGAGCAAGGCGAGTATTTTTGCTTATAAAATGTAAACTTTTTTATTTATTTTTGAAATGAGCGATTGTTTCGCTAGAAAAGACCCTTATTCATCGTCTGGTGTTGTTTAAAGCACTTTGAAGCTGCACTGAAACTCTCATTTGGACCTTGAACCGTTTGGTTCCCATTGAAGTCCATTATATGGAGAAAATCCTGGAATGTTTTCATCAAAAACCTTAATTTCTTTTCGACTAAAGAAAGAAAGACATGGACATCTTGGATGACATGGGGGTGAGTAAATTATCAGCAAAAGTTTTTTTTTTAAAGTGAACTACTCCTTTAAAAAAACAAGTTATATATACATCTTGTACTCTAAAACCAAATTATCTTTTCTCAAATATAAATGAAAGCTTATTTGAGCTCAGTTGATTGAATGAAGGCAAGACATGTTTATTTTTATATTACACACATTAATCGAAATAGAAAATCAAAATGTTTGACATAATATCATATAAGGTACATGAGAAGTAAAAAACTTGAAAATGTATTTAAACAAAAAGGAAGCCGAAACAGAAATAAAGAAGATAAAAAAAAATGACATTCAGCATTTTTGCTTGTAATTTAAAAATGATAAAAAATGGTTTTAAACAAAAAGCATCCTGACGGTATGAAAATGAAAGTTTATTGTGTGATTATTAAATGGGCCAATTAGTGCCCGCTTTCACAGACAAGACTTATAGGGTTAGTTGACCAAAAAATGAAAATTTTGTCATAATCAGAGTCACAACTCAATCAGAGTTATATTCAAAATATATTTTGGCTCTTCCAAACTTTATAATGGGAGTGAATAGTAATTGAGGGAGTAATTGAGCCCAAAAAGCCATTGTTTTACCATATTATAATATTTATGAGCAAGCCCTTCACATTACTATTTTTAAAATACAGACATCTCTAATAAAAATGAGAAGTAACTTTCATCAATACCATTAAGCCACATTAGTTAAAATAGTTATTAAAATTAAAATGAGTTCTACAAGTTTGGCTGATAATATGTGATATGCATTTTATAGTGTTTGTTAACTAATGGAAATAATAGTGATAAATGTATATTTTTGTTTATCAGATGTTCAGAAGGTGATCAGTCAGGTCTGCAGGTGTTTGGTGCCGCTTGTCAGGTTATCTGAAAATATTACTGAAACAAGTGAAGGTTTCTAATATTTCATTTCATGTATCAAATATATCAGATATTCCTAGGATGGGAGAAACCGATAAAAATGACACCTCTAGATTACAGTTCATTATAATATTGATCTAATGATTTTTTTTCTCTCTTTTGTTATCCAGATAATTCCTGTGGAAAGATTAGTGAAAGGAAAATTCCAGGACAACTTTGAATTTGTCCAGTGGTTCAAAAAATTCTTTGATGCCAACTATGACGGAAAAGAGTATGATCCCCTTCAAGCTAGACAGGGCCAAGATATGGCACCTCCACCAAATCCAGGTGAACACTTTTCCTACAAACCCAAGAGAACTGGTCCCTCAGGTAATATCCAGATTCTGTCGCCCCTTTTGCTGCATTGATTGCTGAGCTTCTAGTGACTGACCGCGTGCTCTGCAAAGCAGCTGGTTGTGCACGGGCCTCATTTACTCCATGCCCATGCTTTCATTAACGAGGAAACAAGGAATTCAGTATTTAAAAAGCTCTTTGTTACTGCTTAAAGAACTGCCTTCTTAATATCAGTACTAACAATTAGTTTTCCAAAATCAGTTCCTCTCAGTGTTCTCTCATGTGCTGTCCTGAAAGGGTCATTGCTTGCTTAGTGTGACTTTGGTCAGTCCTATTCATCCCTCAGATTTTTTTATTGTTCATTTCACTCAGAATGAGTTCCACAAATCATGCAATTTATTTGAACCCTCTATTGCATGCATTATGAAAGAAATGTAAACATTATTAATTTAAATTATTTCTCATAAAATGTATCTTATTACTAATATCTAAGAATAATTACCCCAAAAATGTTGGTAATTGTCTTTTTTTATTAAAATAATTGTGCGGCAACACTATGCAATTGATTGATGCCGTCCCCTGGTTTACAATTTATGAGACAAATTTAATTTTAAAAAAGCCTGTGAAAAAGCCATAACTTGACAATATTTTGACGTTTTGTTTTACAACGTAAATTGCACACACCCATACCCAAAATGTGAATTTTGAAGCAGTTTTGTTCATTTTTGAAAATGTACATTTGTGCATACGCAGAAACCAGCGGCAAATTAGACTTCCAGGTCAAACAATTAGTTTAGTTTAATCAATTTTAGTTTAGTTAATTATTTTTGGTATTTAATAGTTAATACAATTACAAAAAAACAACATCACTAATAACACCCTTAAAAACATTTAAGCAATTTCCCATTATATACACTACAATTCAAAAGGGTCAGTAATTACTTTTAATCATGCATTAAAATAATAAAAAAATAACAGCAAATGTATATTTTATATTTCAAATTGCCTAAATTCATTTTACTTTCTTCAAAGAAACAGTGTTTCTGCAATGGCTGCTAAATATTTTGTTTTTTCAGTATTTTGAGTAGAGATGTTTTTTTTCATAAACTAGTGTGCAAATAATGTATATGACTAATTCATACAACTGTTTGTTTATTTATCTAACTTGTATAACTATTTTAAAAAGGGATTTTATTCACTAAAAAATGTGAATCATATTTTTGATAGGAAAACAGAACAGAGCAAAATCATCCCTTCAGTAAGAACACTTTATTGGTCTTTTATTTTTGCAAACTGATGAAAAAAGGTTGGTTGCCCTGAGGCAACATTGCACAATAGAGGGTTAATAGTCAAGTGCTGGAAACATACAGTCCCCAGAGAGGTATAAAAGTGGCATCCTAATTTGCTGACAATCGACAGCTTTTTTGATCGTTGGGGTGGATTGGGAATGTGACCTCCAATTTGTTTGTAGTCACATCTCTTCACACTTCCCTGACTTTGGTTAAACCTGCCAGATATACCTGTGGAAAACTGGCTTTTGAAACAGTTAACGTTTGATCACACACACCCACAGGCTTAACCAAAGTAATGGGGTAACAAATTGCCCATGCTATAGCTTATTAAAGGCTGATCTTACTGAACCTCTTAACTCATTTTATCATTTTAGTGAATCATTAGCTCTGTTCAAAAATCTAGTGAGCTGCCACCATAGATGGCATTTAAATGCATCATAGGTTCATTCCTGAGGATGGGCAAAAAATGATCTTATGCAATGCTTGCCCAAACAAGGTATTGTACATCTCCTTATACAGGATAATTCAATGTGATAAGCTTAATGAAAAAAAAAAAAAAAACACCCAAGAGGTTTATAGACCATCTCAGATCAATCACTTATGAGGGTCCATTTTTGCCCACTATATTTGGAACAGAGCTAGAGTAAATTTGTTTAAAGAAGCTGATAGGAATGGAAAAAAATCTAAAACTGCATGGATCAGTTTGTACATTTCCTGAACAGCTTTCTATTATCTAAATGCTAAACATTTCCAATTTCAGGGCCTCAGAGAACATCGCCAACAGTACCTAAAAACATGCCCACACCACAGAGGGTGACCACCACCATAAGGAAGAACCCCTCACATGCCCGAAACGGGACAAGCGATGCTGAAATCATGGAGCTTAATCAACAGGTAGAGTCCCCGGGAGGGTAAGGAAGTCTTACTCTACCTTGGAATACTTTGGATTGAAGATATAAAATTGTATAGAAAGAAAAGTGTAGGTAGATTTTGCATTTGTCATTTTTATCTTTCTTTTCTCCCATTTTCTTAAGACCATTCCTGATCCCCTATCCCACCTGTTATGATAATCGAATTTGATTTAATATTCTGAAATAAACGTGGATATAGATTGTCTCGTCATTATAAGCATACTAACCTTTTCCCACCAAGGAATGGTCATCTTCTGATGAGTAGTGGCTTACATTTTGTCTTTTACTTTGTTTTTGTTTTTTGAAGTTGATGGAGCTGAAGTTAACTGTGGACGGTCTGGAAAAGGAGAGAGATTTCTACTTCAGCAAACTTCGAGACATTGAACTGATCTGTCAAGAACACGAGCCCGAAAACAACCCCATTATGAGCAGGATAATTGACATTCTGTATGCCACAGAGGTACTGCAATGACATTTCTTTGATAATAATTTGACTGATGTATCCATGAGGTTGATTCATAATTGCGATATCTGGTCAGTTTTTTTAACTAAACACGGATGTTAACCGTGTTTAATTAACAGTTCTGCTAATTTCTACACGCGCTATCCAGTCGGTTCATTAGCATTTAATCCAATTGCACTGACCAGCAGAAATCTGCTTGAGTTGTGCCTCATGCATCGCTACACTATTAACAAGAAACAATTGATCTCGGAGTCAGACGTGAAAATACTCAAGTTGAAATTTCCCATTTCTGACCGTAGTGTGTTTCTGTTAATCACGCAAAACAGTCACATGTACACATCAAGATGGCACCATGACTCAATAAAAGTCGATTTTGTGCTCTAATGCTAATTATGGTAAAAACTAAAGTCATGATTTTTAAAATACTACAAAATATATGATTTTTTTTTTAACCCAAAAAATCTGATATCTTTGTTTTTTTACATGCAATTTTGCATTATTCTGGTTAGTTCTCACCATCTTGGAAATCAGAATTGAAGTGACATTCAAGTTAACTATCTGAAATTAGACAAAAGCCGTCAGTTCCAAAATCTACTGACAACAGTTTATAAATATATGAAAAATACCAAGTTGAGGCTTCAGAATCAGATTCAATTTATTGAAATGGAAATGGCAATGGACATGAATTGTTGCTACTGTAGTTTTAATTAGAGACCCTATTAATTTGTGACCTAAATGACTAGTCTTTAGAAACTTTAATGGGCAAAATAAAAGTGCATTAAAAACATTTAAAGTACTGGCATTGATATTCAGTATATTCTATATATTCTCTCAGGCCTTCTTACTAGATATCGGCAAAACTTTGCCAAAAACATCAGTTGACCAGTCACTGGCATGCTTTTGAAAGCATGGAACAATTCAGTGTTTAATATAAGCTGCGTCCGAATTTGCATACTTATGGACTATTCTATGACTTTTTGTAGTTTTATGTAGTGTATTCCACAATACTTAATCATCTGAATAAACGAAGTGTGCAATGTGGAGGGGGAGGGGCTATCAGACTCCAATGTTGAATGCCAAAATCACCTTATAAAGTTCATACACTGACTGCACGGTTAAGTACATAGTGTATACTGTAAGTGCATACTGTAGTGTATAGTGCATTATTTGAGAAACAACTACAGTGATCATCATGTTTCATACAGGATGGCTTTGCACCGCCAGAAGATGATGAAATAGACGAGCAGGCCCACTTGGACCAGGACGAATACTGAGCATCCTCCTTTTCTCTTCCACATCGTTGTGATCCTTCACCATTTCCTCTTCCCACCACTTTGAATGACCCCCACCCCCTCTCGCACGCTGTTAATATCCCCCTTGGTTTCCTACAAATGTATATATACTCTTATATGTTTGTCCTCCGCCGCTGGTTTATGCACTACATACGCATCAACAAACACTCTCCGTCCTCATCCCATTCAGACTGTAGCACCAATAACGACACGTCCTAGCCGTCTCAGCATGTTTTACATATCGACATAGAGAATGAAGAAAATAAAAGGCATCGTAGATTGTCGGTAGCACAACGGACTGAAAAGAAAAGTGTAAATATTGTGACATGAAAAGATGTTTTTAAAGAAAAAAAGAAAATGAAGAAAATTGTCGCCTGGAATGCAGTTACTCATTGTGAGATTTTCTTTGAGGTCTGTTTTGGCTCCATTCAGTATGAAATGATCAACATCACGCCATCCATCTGTGTCTCCAGCTTCAGTCTGCCTCTCTCACTGACTGTATACTTTTAAAGAGATGCTTCACTCAGAAAGGACAATTCTGTTATCATTTACTCACTCTCATGTCATTTCATATATTTATGACTTTCTTCCATGGAATAAAAAGTTCAATTCAATGTAGACTGAAGCTTCCAAGCTTAAAAAAGAACACACGTGTATCACAAAAGTGGTCCACACGATTCATACACTATATTCTCTAGCGTCAAATACACCCGTGACTGGATAATTAAGTCAGTGATCAGGTAGATTCATTCAGACTTTTTTCAAACAGATCTAATTGATTCATTAAAAAGAATGATTAATTCAAGAATCAAAATTACACTCTCCAGCAAGGACCGCTAGAGTAGTCGTCAATATTTTCTCTGAATAATAATGCTTCAGAAGATTTGGAGTGGAGCGCACAATTCATATGTACAACTTAATTTTTTTTTATGGTGCATTTGCATCCTTTTTGAAGCTTGAACATTTTACTCACCATTTATACTTTAAATAAATTATCATAAAGGGTTGGAACGACATGAAAGTGATTAAAATTACAGAATTTAATTTTTAAGTGAACTATTGCTTAGCAGACACCACCATCAGGAAGAATTGCAGTAATATCAAACTCATGCATCTTTTACAGTATATCTGCCAAGATATTGATGTCAAGTTTGTCAGTGACGTGAATAAAAGCTGAACAGTAGAGAGGACTTTATGCTTTTAAATATGGATTGGGCCAGTGACAGGGTAAATAAAAGGAAAAAAAGACATTAAAATGTGTCAACAAGGCTTTAAAATGTGTGTGACAACATCATTTATGGCACAGGTTGTTTTGCTTATGCCCAGGGAGCATGTGAATGTTATACATTGACACCTGAGTGATTGTCATATTCCAAGAGTATGGAAAGTTGTATTACCGTCATATTCAAGTAGTGTTCATGACACCCTTGAGCATGAGGGACAGTACTTATTGTTACTGTGTGTGTGTTCATTTTATTTTAGTGGCAATCAAACCTGTGATACTACTGATCGGATGATGTCATGTCGAATTGAACTGACGTTTGCTGCTAGTGTTGCTGCATTTATGTGTTTTGGTTTGTATTTATTTTGCTCAGCTATTGAATAGCGTAGGGCTGTGCATTCTTAACTGTAAAACATAGCGGATTTGTAAAAGGCCCTGATTAAATTAAACAGATATGCTAGATTCCACAGTCATTTGAATCTGCTTCTCTCTGTTTAGAGAACCGGACTCATCTTGTATTGTCTCAGTATAGCCATAATTGTGTTTGCATAAATTGTTTTGAGTAAATTAAACTTTCATGAGAACAGTTTTGTCCATGGATTTCATAAAACTGAATATAAAAGTGTTAGTAAAATGTTACGGCATACAAAAATGTGCTTAATTACTTTTGAATAATGTCAATGCAAACAATCTTTATGCAAAATACTGTATAGTTGTTGTTTTGGAGTGAAATATGATCTGGGCACAGTAAAATAGGGTTAGTTTTGATTTCATGATGATTAAAAAAAAAATAGGAATGCTGTAAAATGTTAATATTTGTAAATATTTTAATGTTTTTATTCAATTAATCTTTCTTGTTTATTTCTTTTGATAGTGTTTTCTTCTTTATATTAAAAAAGCTTAGTTTAAAAAAAAGCTTAGTGAACTAGCAAACTGTATATTTGTATTTTGTTGTTTATTTGTACTTTTGATGGTAAACATTATTTATGTAGTTCCCCGTGTAGCCCTGAAGGAAATAAAAGGTGGTGTGGCTGTGGTCGGAAAAGATTCGGAGCTTTTTATAGAATCAAGTAAATGATTCAATGACCCAGTCAACGCATCGCCACCGTAGCGTTGTAAAAACAACTGAACAGATTCAAAAGCTTCGATTCATTGGGTTGAATCAAAATCCCTAAAACCGCTAACAAACACCTGTCAACCATCAGAGTAACTGATGAGTTTACGTTAGGTAAAGTTTGGGAGTTTATTTTTATTTGTTGGTCGGAGGGCCAACCTAAAAAACAAATACTCTAAAATGGTGAGTGGTAAAACTGTTTAAATAACTGTTAGCAGCTAACGTTAAGCTACGTCAATCAGCGTTCTCTGGCGAATCAAACAGGGAAGCCAAACACGAAATGTTTTATCTTTTTCTTGTTAACGTAATTTCTTTTATTAAGGTAAGCTTCACATTCATTCTAACTACTGTATATTGTGCTATCTCCATGTTTCCGTGTTTGGAGAAGGTACGTGCACTTGGCCAAGATCGTAAAAACAAAATCAAACCGCTGAAAGGAAACGCCATTGGCAACAATCTGGTCGCAAAGCGAACAATACTGACGTGAGTATTTGAACGACTTAAATCGACAAACACGAATTTGTTCGTATGAATTATCAAATAAATGTATATATGTGTACTATTTTAGTGACCAGCCTCACTCAACGGTCAACAAAAGCAAAGCTCAGCCTTACACACGATGTTTTGAACAACCATTCAAACGCTTCAAATTCGCGCTGCAGTCCAGTTGGAGAAGCGACACCAGGTTTGACATCACAAACATGGTCAGGGCAATTAGCTGTATTTATTTGCTTAATAAAATGAATGTGACTATTGACTCTGTCCCAATAGGAAACCTCTTACCAACAGTCATTCTGTAGGTAAGAACGTGTTTACATTCTAATAAGCCTGATATTGGTTATAATACTTACTCAATATCGCTGTTGTTGTAACGTAAGTTACTTTAGTTCAAACTGCATCATAACTATCTGTACAGATGCGTTGTCCAGTAATGCAGACGAGGAGACCATAAATAGAGTGGAAGACAGCTTGATGGATACAGAATATGAAGATATTTTTTCATCTTTTGACACGGGTAACGTTAGCTTATTAAAAAATGTAAGCACCATCACACAATCAATAAAAACAGCCCAGCCCTGTGCCGTTTGATTGTAGAGTTAACCTTATAGCCTACTGTATCTTATTTGATATACAAATTTCTAAGGCCTCTAAATGATCACCAAGATATAAACGTTTGTGAAAAACTTGTTCCCAGTGTACTATTTACACTATGTTATTTGATTGATATTACATACTTAATCAAGTAAAAGGCCCAGTTGTATAATTCTAAAAACGTCTCCCCTTCCAGTCATGGTACACATGATTTTGCTGCTAAGCATTTAAATATCATCTTAACAAGACATATTATTAGTAGTATAGAGTGACGTGATAATTAAACGCTTTTATGTAAGTAATCTGCTATATTTTGTAAAGATATCATTTATTTACATTACAAGCAATCAGAATTTCACCTTGCTTCTTAGCCGTAAATATCCGCAACTGTGCCAAATTGCATATTTAATTTTTTTTTTTTGCTCCTCGAGAATAAGCTCCATACAGTATAATCCTATATTATACTATACTGTATGAACCACAAAAGGGTGTGTCTTTAAATGATACTCAGCGAAAAACACATATGCAAAATGTTTTTTGTTAAATTGTCGAAAAAAGAAAAGAAGTCTTCTATAAATGTCAGGCTTAACAAGGTTTAACTTTTTTTGGTCTCCTCTGCCAACAGATACTTTTGTGGATCACAAGAAAAGCACTTTTAAGGAATTTATTGATGACTCGTGTCCAGAAACACAACACAACGTAACACAACGAAAATATCGAATGAGAGATGAGGTATAAAAGAAGGACAAATAAAAATGTACTCATAATGTTTTGATTTAATATTATTTTTTAGTTTAAAACTAACTGAACCCATTTCTTTTCTCTAACAGTTTGGAAACGTCGTCCAACGTGTCGGAGTTAAAAAGAAACATGTTGCACAGACAATGAACAGTCTTACGCTCAACATTAGATGTTTTAAAGTTGGAACGCTGACCAAGACAATCAGAAGATCTGATCCTCTGACTGTTCAATGCACTGTAATATTCATTAGAGGTTGACTGAATTCATAATTTATAGATCAGACTTCAACATCTGATATAATCACATACACTGTGTGTGTTTCATTTACAGTTTACAGTGGATTACATTGAGGTTGCAAAAGGTAAAGCATGTGCACATTCGCAAACAGCAGGCTTTGTTTAGACTCACAATTGAGTCCTCAAAAATTAACATTTGGAATAGGTTTTAACTTTTCAACATACACTAAAGTGATAAATACATTTGAGTAACTGCAATCATTCAAAGTATGCAATGATTCATGGTGTTAGTAATATAACATTTCCTCTTCTCTTTCATAAACAGGACGAATAGAAGCATCAAATGTGATCGCTTGTGAATTGTGCACCGTGAAGAAGCTGCCGTCCCTGTTTCTACACACAACACCTGAGATATGCCTTTACCTGCAGGTCCAGCTTGACATGTTTGAAGATGATTCAAGTGTGTGGTGTGACTGCCAGAGCAAGAGTGAGTTGCAAATATGAACATGCAGCATTCTATCCATGATGAAATGTGACGGATATTCCTGCTTTGAGATTTAAATTATGTAAAATGGTTCCCATTCTCTCCTCAGATGAAAAGAAATATGTTGTCCTCATGTTTGAGAATGAACTCACACTCCCAGAGCAAATCAGACTTGAGGAAATATTCACAGAGATGAGCAAGTGTTATAACATCAGCTGTGTTCCAGTTAAGTTGTCACTCGAAGAAGCCAGTAACCGACTGAAGTCACACAACTGTGCCCAAAAACAGAAGGTGGGTCAAGACTTGCAGTTCAAATATGTTTGTCATCATTTACTCACCCTCATGACATTCCAATCCTATATTTATTTTAATTTTTTCCCCTTTTTTGTCATATGGTTTTGAATGTCCTTGCATTAACCATACACAGATCAAATAAACAGCTATTATAACTATTATTACGGTGATTAAAAGTTCACTTGCAAGTTTAAAAGCCTTTGGCATCTATAAGACGCATCTGGACTTAAAAATGACTAGTGCTCTTCAGTCATCTTACTGTGTATAGTGCTGCCTTCTTTCTACTGTCTTGTACAATAGCATTTATTTTATTTTGCTGTGTTCAGATTGCTATACTTCAGCCTGAAGAGGATGAACTTCCTGTCATGAGTCAGGTTTCTCAAAATGTTCATTTCTTTTGTGTTTCCCTTTTCCTGGTTCTCCTTTTTCTGTTTTTCTTTTCCTCTTCCTTTTCCTTACCCCCCCCCCCCCCCTTTTTTTTTTGTTGAAAAAAGTCTTGCAGTTTAAAGGAGCACAAAGTAAGAATTTTTACCTTAAAATAATGTTTTCAAAAACGTTTCAGTGGTTCATCGAGTCGTGACATGGTGAAATGCACTTATGCACCTTTATCTGATATATTCATGCTATGTAAGATCGGGTCTTGTTTTTGTAGTTCTAATGAGGATAAAATCATTAGAAAATCATAGATAAAATCAATGTAACTATTTATTATGGTGATTACGGGTGCACTAGTAATACACTCACCATCAATGAGAAATTGAGCAGGTGTTCCTAATAATCCTATATATATATATATATATATATATATATATATATTTTTTTTTTAAACTTTAGATGTAAAATTAAGTGATTTTGTGCATCTTGACTTAAAAATGACTAGTGCTCTTCAGTCATCTTACTCTGTAAAGTGCTGTTGCTTTCTTTCTGTTGTCCTGTCCAATAACTTCTATTTTGTCTTGCTCTTTTCAGATCGCCTTGCTTAATTTTGAAGAGGATGATCTTCCTGTCATGCGTCAGGTTTCTCAAACTTCTCATTTAATTAATTTTTTTACTTTCCATTCCTTTTCTTTCCCTTCGCCATTACTTTCATTTCTATTCTACTTCCATTTAGCCTTTCCTTACTTCTACTTTTTTATTTTCCCTTTTATTGTATGCACTGGTGAATTTTAAAATTTCCTCTTTTTCCTTTCCTCCTTTCAGTTCATTTTCCTTTCCCTTCCTATTTCTGTCCTCTTACTTCCATTTCCCTTTCATTTTCATTTCTTCACTTTATTTCTCATATTTTTTTACTTTAACTGTACTTTTGCTCCTTTCCTTCTTTCGATGTCTTTTTTTAAATTCCTCCTTTCAATTAAATTTCCCTTTACCTCTACTTTCTTTTTACTTATCCCTTTCCTGTTCCTCTCAAATGAACACAGATTCAATCAAATATAAATCTTTTAGCACCAATGACAAAGTAGAGCAATATAAATCTTCCTTTAACATCTTTTTCAGTTGTTTAGCTCTTTCTTTCAACGTTCAGCAGGCCTTGGTGCCATTTTTGCCCTCTCCTGATGCCCCTCGATGTGAAATTGCAACCCTCAGTGTCTCAGACAGTGATGAGGACGATTTGATAGAGCTCCCTTCATCGCCCAAAAAGGAAATCAAAAAGTCAGTTGACTGGCCAAAGCTGAGATGATGATTTATTGTGATGTTCTTATCTAGAAGAACTCTTTTCTTTTTCTTTTTTTGCAGACTGGTTGTGTACCCACCTCCTCCAGCTAAAGGAGGTCTAACTATCACAGAAGAGGACCTCAACTGTCTTGAGGAAGGCGAATTCCTAAATGACGTGATTTTGGACTTCTATCTAAGGTTTAAGTGGTAAAAGTACAAAGTAAAATCTACTTTAGTCCATTGGCACTGTAATGACATCTTGTTTTTGGCCAGGTATTTGGTCTGCGAGCAGCAGGAAAAGGAGGACGCCATCAAGTGCCATGTGTTCAGTTCATTCTTCTTCAATCATCTCACTCAGGAGGATCCCAAAAGGCTTCCGAGAGCTACAGATTTATCGTATGTATAATACGGTCTTGTAAAAATACTTAATCATAATAGGTGTAAACACTGCACCGTACCACAGCATTCAGGAGCGCCGGCATAATCGGGTGAAAACGTGGACCAGGAATGTCAACCTTTTTGAGAAGGACTTTATATTTGTCCCGATTAATCAAATGTAAGTCTCTTCACAAAACTGCACACCCTGTTGATCTTTTTAAAATGTCTTTGTAGATGTTTAGGTTGTGTAAGTTTGGTCAAATAAAGAGCATATCTTCCTTTGCAATGTCTCCTAAGGGCTCACTGGTACCTGGCTGTCATCTGTTTTCCTGGCAAGATTTCACAGACCAGTGATTTGGATCTTCGCCTCAATGGGCGAAGGCAGTCTGTGGAGTATCTTTTTGATCAATCTCCCCCAAATCCCATGTCCCTCTTCTACTCTCCAGAACCCTCAAAGCAGTTCTCCAGTTGGAGTCAATCCATAGGTAATTTAGAACAGTGGTTCTCAAAGTGGGGTCCGCGGACCCCTGGTGGTCCGCGAGCTAAAGCCAGGGGGTCCGCGAAATAATTTACAACTTAACGTTTTTTTCCATGCTATGAGTCATGTTTTCTTTATCATCTGAAAACATGCTGTTTATTCCTAAGTAACTTATATAAAGCATTTAACATAAAACAATACAAAGTAGACACTTAAAGTTTTCTATAGATAGATAATCTATGTCTTTGCGTCAAGTAGACTATTCGCTGCTGTTGATTTTGCGGGACGTGCGCCAGAAAGGAGACAGAGAGACGGCATGAACCCGCATCCGGTTCTTTTCTGTATTTTTAAAAGGCATGACATTTTGTAGTCATTTATAATGTAGCCTATACACAAATAAAAAAATGGACACTTTACCGTTTCGGATGATGCACTCTTGTCTTATCTATGACCATAAATAAGAGTATTCCTGTTTCCACTGCTGAGGAAAAATTCCCATGTAATTGCGCGCCGGCGTCTCGCGTGCGCGCACAATAGTCAGTTCTAGCACTGCTACTGTAGATTTGACATTAGAAGTCTGATCATTATCAAAATAAAAGTGCATAGTGACAGGGCCGTACCCACAACTGAGGTTGCAAGGATGCACATCGCGATGATACTGACCTTCTCGTCTGAGGTGCTTCAGCAGACTAACAACGATAGCTCGTCAATGTCAAAATGTTTGAGTCGGAGTGAACTCAAAGTTCCCCGCACGACGTTTCAGTCAACGGTCATAAAGTGCGAGATAAGATGTAGGCCTTAATTAACATAAACTAAACAGCTGTTTTAGATAAAAGTTTTAAAAAACGACTGAAACAATCAGTTTGCAAAGTATTAATCAAGCTCAACTTTAACAAAGGAAAAAGCAGGTCAATAGAAACATACTGTGCCCATGAGATTAACATTATGGATTCATATATTTAACATATACTGTATGTTTTTTTAGCTAATTACAGTAGCTCAAATTAACAACGCACGCACCTATTAAACATAATGCCATTATCATTGTATTTATAGGCTTATGGGCTTTATTTGTGTGCAGAATAGGCCTAATTATTGAAACATTTCTCTTTTAATGCCATTCCCGATTGGAATATGTGATTGTGTTTCGTGACATCTTGACAAAAAAAAAAAAGTATGCCACTGACTGACATGCTTCTACTAAATCTATAGTTATCCAATTGTGGGGCCTTAAAACACCTTAAAATGCACATGTGTAGATCAAGAACATCAAAAATTCCTAAGTGAGGGATCCTAAGTGATTCCTAGCAAGATCACTTTCGTTACCTCAGTAGGCTATTTAGAAATTCCTGCATAGTACCCTGGGTGGAGACCATTCATTTTGTGCAAAAATATTTCATTTGCCGCTCACACATTAACTTTGTGCTCAATAAATGTTATAAATATGAGGGGGGTCCTTGGAATTTTTTTTCCCCTGAAAAGGGTCCCTGGCACCAAAATGTTTGAGAACCCCTGATTTAGAAAACCGATGGTTCAGTTCAAAATGGTAGGGTAGGGTAGGGTAAAGGACAAAATCTGTAATCTTTTATTTAGCTGAAGGCTAGCATAAAGGCAAAATGCTGTTTTGAAAGTATAGCTACAAGTACTTAATGCAAGTTTAAATGTATTGAGCGCATGAGAGACATAATATTACTGTATTACTATTATTATAATTATTTTTTAATAATGTGTTTTTTAATTCTGTTATTCTCACAATGGCTGCAATTTATTTTTATCAAAATACAGCAATAACAGTAATATTGTGAAATTACGATTTAAAATGACTTCTATTTGAATATAGTAATTTTTTTTCCTGTTATGGCAAAGCTGAATTTTCATCATCATTACTCCAGATTACTCCATGTCACATGATCCTTCGTAAATCATTCTGATATGCCGACTTGCTGCTCCAGAAAACCATGTCCTATTATTATCAATGTTGGAATAAGTTGTGCTGCTTAATATTTTGTGGACACATTAATACAATTTCTTTGTTGAATAGAAAGTTCAAAAGAACAGCATTTATTTAAAATAGAAACATTTTCTAACATGGTAAATGTCTTCACTTCACTTGATCAATTTAATGCATCCTTGCTGAAGAGAAGCATTAATTTCTTGAAATTAAACCGGCCCCAACTTTTGAACTGCACTTCAATTACCTTCTGAGGAATGAGTGAAAATAATGTTCTGTGATCATAATTATGTCTCACTATGGCTATTTGTCCCCCATAGATGACTTGGAGCAGAGTTTCTGCTTCCTTTCAGATGTAGAGGCTGAGGATGATGTTCAGGTAATGTGAATTAATCTCTTTATTGCTGTAACAAATCAGTAAAGACCGAAACTTTTCTATTTCTGATTTGCAGGCTGTCAAGAACAGATCTGTCCTTAACAGTGTCTCTAAACAGTAAGTCAAGGACATTTCCTCTCCCTCAGATGCCCCTAAAAAAGAATGTTCTCTGTACCCTTCACTAGATGGCAGTAACACTTCTTTTAGTCGATGAAATGCTTCATTGTACACTGTCTGTCTGTGTTTGTAGGCCATGCATTCTCATCATGGACTCCCTCACCTCCAGTGGAAGATCATCAGTGGTGCAGATACTCCAAGAGTAATTATCCTCTTTTGTTTCAAGTGGTTGATTATTTTTGCACCTGTCCGCTAATAGCGAGCTCACATTTTCACATTAAGCAGCAAATGTCACTAATTAACTACCGTTTCCTGTGAGACAAAAAGTCTTCCTCAAGAGGGAGTTTGGCAGCTTAGGAAGCCGAATCCTGCACTGAACCACATTCAAATCTCATTGGTTGGGATTTTGAATAGGCCTACTAGAAAGAATCATTTGTTTAAATCATTTCCAAGGATTCATAGCTGACACAAAAATGGAAATCCGCCCCTAAACCGACCAAACCACATCTATGTTAGCCAGCTAGTTAAATTTATATTTCAAATGGCAGAATGCACAATAAAATGTTTAATACATCTCGCACACACAAAAAATGTTTATGATAATTGTACACAAGACAATATTGCCATTCTAGCCACTTACTTACTGTATATCCAAGATACTTACAAGAGGAATGGAAGGTCAAAATGGGCTCTCAGCAGAGTTTTGGAAAGGAAGTGATGAAAGGATGGAGTCCCCTCGTCCTACAGCAGGATAACTTCACAGACTGTGGCATCTACGTCCTACAGTATGTAGAGAGCTTCCTCAAGGTATTTTAACTGAGCATCTGTTTCTTACTAGATGTTAGCATGAAAATGTGTTTTTTTCTTCTTCTCTGTTTAAAAATATTGTTCTTAATCATTTTTTAGGACCCACCACAAACTTTCCATAACAACATGGACCTGAATAGCTGGTTTTCAAGGAGGACCGTGAAGAGGAAGAGGGGGCAAATCAAACAGCTCATTATCAGACTACATAGGCAGCAAACAGCTTAAGTTTTTTTTGTTTTTTTTTTTGAGGTCACGCTTCCTACAGACCATTTCATGTTACTACAATCTCAACCTTTTCCTATAGGAAATTTCCTAAAATTTACAAAAGAAAATTGCTGCTTTAAATGAATAATATTACAATGAATAAGTTATTTGCTTTGGAAATGGATGATTTGTTCATGAAATTCAATAAAATAATGTGTGTAAATAGAATAAAAATAAAAGGACCTGTTGCTGAATCTACATTTGAGGTTTGGTTTTGTTCTTTTGTTGTAAAAATATCCCATTGTTTTTTCAGGCACTAGTAAATTTTAAGATTTTGGGCTATCATTTAAGGAAGAAAGCATCCAAAATACACATTTACTGTTAATTTTATTACATTTTATCTTTTTGCATCTGTAGATTTCAATTATAATACATATGTTTCTCATAATTAGTTTTTTGCTCATGCACAGTCAACAAACTTGCACGCAACAAGCTTCAAAGTTTTTCATTTACTCACCCTCAAATATTTTCAAACTTGTAACTATGTGTGAGTTTCTTTCTTCTGCTGAACACAAGAAATTATATTTTGAAATATGTTGGTAAACAAACAATTGATGGACCCCATTGCCCCATTGACTTCAATTTGTTTTTGGACTTTGCTATGGAAGTCAATAGGGTCCATCAACTGTTTAGTTAGTGGTTACCCAACATTCTTCAAAATATAATTTTTTGTGTTCAGCAGAAGAAAAAAATCCACACAGGTTAGGATATTGATGTGAACTATCCCTTCAAACCTGAAGAGTGCACTACAATTTCTTAACGAAATTGCAAAAAATTACTTTTCTAAGAAGTTTCCCCAAACACTCTTTCCTTCCGCCATTGGTTGGTCAAACAATTAGTCCCTATACAAACTCACGCCATTGGATGAGTTAGTGTTGCTTTAATGCTGGTTGAGATGTACAAACATACAGCGATCATGTGAGCGCCTCAGGGAAATTGTACTTGTAGTTGTCTCCATATTCAAATGTAAAAGTTTTTTTTTTTTTTTTTTTTTTTTTTAAGAATGAAAATCTTCCTCTGTGAGAGATAAACGCTCATTATGAATCACGCCACCGACCTTGTGCTGTTCTCACAGCTCTTGGCTGCTTTTGCCACAATGGCTTATGCATATTTTAAACTCATTTAATTTGCTTCTGTCTGATGGACGGCAGAATTTTTGGCTGTTCACACGGATGGTCAGGCTGGCATCCTGAGTGATCAAGACAGATGAGCATCTGCCTCCCAGTACTCAAAATGTAATGCTTGATGTATTTCTGTGTTCCACCCTGGGCAAGGATTTTTGGACCATAATGTAACACCTGATTCCTGTGTACTTCATACTATAATATTGAGAGAACCAAATGCAGTATATATATATATATATATATATATATATATATATATATATATATATATATATATTGGCTGACTGATGTCTGAAGTAGTAACAGTCCTTCATAGGGTTAATGTCTGCAATGGTGCGTGTTTGACATTACGAAAATAACTATCTGTTGGAGTGGAAAGTTCATTAAATTCTCAGTTTGAAAGGTCTCATACTGTAGCTTGTTTCATCAGATTAACTTTGAAACCTTAAAAAAGCCCACCTGTGATGACCCCCCTCTTGAGATTGCATCCCTGCTGTGTTCCCCATATGAGTAACTTCCTTTATCTCTGTTAATTCTGAAGTGTTCGAGCTAATGAGGCTCTTTGAGTGGATCGTTCACTCGGCGCTCAGTTATTACTTCAGTGCTTTGTGGAATTACCCATCTGCCAGCAGGCCGGCAGCATATGGAATGAGTTGTAATTTAAGCTGAAATGTTTTTAAGGGATTGGTTACCACTGAGGGTATAAGGAGGGCAAACCCAAATAGGGAATTTGCTGTTAGATTATTATTTATTTTTTTTCATTATTTTTTGGGGGATTTTTGATAGTATTAATGTTTAATAATTCATGAATATTCACATGGTAGGCTGTGAAAAAGATTCAACAAAACAAATATAATAATAAACAATAGTGATAATTATTTGGTTAAAAAAAAAAAAAAAAATATATATATATATATATATATATATATATATATATATATATATATGATTTGATTTATTTTATTAATCCCCGAGGGTATGTATATATGTATGTATAACCGATATGTATATATATATATATATATATATATATATATATTAGTGTTATTTCACTATTATTTCAATACTTATTGAAATACTTAAATATTTTAATTTAGCTTTTAATTTTACTTTTTAATGTAGTTAATGTGCTTGTATTAGTTTGGGTTTATATATTTATTTCTATCTAGCTTTAATTTCAATTTTAGTCAACATTTAGTTAGAATGTTTTTTAAATAATTGTTCATTGTTGTTTTCGTTTTGGTATTTTAAGTTTGTTTTTCATCTGATATTTTTCATCTGGTTAATTATTCTGATTTTTACCCCATAAATGTACAGTGTCATTTCCGGAAATCAACTGAAGTTTGCATTCAGACTCAGCAATCTTCCTCATGAGGTTTATAGGCTCCTTATTTTAATGAAACATTCATATAATTTGTTAAACGTTGTGTCCACATGCAGTGTAAAATCAAGCTGTTGTTCGCCTCTGTTGTGTTACTGGCATATACTCTGGCACACCTCGTATGATTGTTTTTATCTGCAATTCTCCTGGGAAATGCAAAAGTCAGTGTGGCATTAAATCTAATTAACGATTCTTCAGGCTTACCAGATGACAACTATAATACTCCTGTTCCAACCTCTTTTGAAATGTTTAGCTGATGTTTAATATTAGTATGTGTGGTCACAAGATGTCATTCTGTCAGAAATAATGCTGTATGATTATGTGAGACTCTGGCTCAAACTGCAGGCTATTAACCTGTACAAACTCCCTGAGAAACATTTCACCATGATCTAAGTCTTTAAAACTGTTTTTATCATAGCCGTTTTGCTCAGAAATTTGATACATTGCCACGTAGTGAGATATCATGTGTCCTAATTAGATTTACAAACACAAAGTCTGCTTTCAATGAGGGATTAGATTTCAACTTAGGAATACTTCTATAAGTTTTGAATTACAAGCCTTTAAAATATTAATGAGTCTCCAGTTTGTATCAGTTGCACACCTTTTAGTAACCATGACAATCCAGTAGGAAGCTCTTGACTTTCTCTTCATCCCTCAAATGACTCTTTTTGATCTCCAGCTTTTGCAACAATGAAGTGGGATTTCTTCTTAGAATATTATTTTACCATTTACAAAGTTGAGGCTTGATAATATTGGTTTGATATTAGAAGACATGGTCCCTTTGTGAGTATTTTCCTAGGAATGCGAGTTATTTATCTATTTAGAGTATAATGTAAAGACCATGTAGAGATTTTTTTTGTTGCTTTTTTCAGACCCATGTGATTTTATGTGAATTTATTGATTTTTTAAGCAAGATGATTTGTGAATTGATAGAAAATAAAAATAAAAAAAATACTTGGAATTAAAAAATAATAATAATATTACAATTATAGGCAAATATAATATAAATTATAGTCATAATAATTCTTGTATAGCCTAACATTCTGCATTAGGCTACTCAACTTTTATTGTAAGTAACCAAACTGTGTTGACCATGTTAAAAGTCAGGTTATTATGGTCATTAGATTGATAAATGCAGAGGCTGTGTTCCAAAAACCTAGTGAGTTGTCTACCTAGACAGCATTTTGGGGCTTCAGGGTAATTCCTAAAGTTGCTTCTGCGCGTATGGGGTGCAAAACTGTTGCGCGCGCCTGTAATAATGACCAAAGCAGAGTGCACGTGCCTAATTATGCCGCTCACAAAAGCTGTAGAAGTGCAGGTCCTTGTGTTTTGAGACACAGCCTGTGTCAACCAGTTACTGCTTAGATGTCACCACTGAGGTCGCTGTTATTCCTGTGGACTTCAGTCTGAAGCCGGGCACACTACTGAGAGGAAGGACAGCGGCTTTGGAAAAGGGAATATTTGACATCAAGGGAATCTGTCACCGCTAAACGGGAGAGTCTGTCTCCTCTGTCCACAAAGACAGCTGCTATTACCGGATTTACACATAATGTGAGTGACTTTAATCACTTTATTTATTTTGTGGCTTTTATTTAGAACTGATATAGATTTGTTGTTTGGTTTTAAGTTGTGTTTAATTGTTTTTCCATTAGCGAGCTAGCATGCTGCTAATGAATGTGTCCGTATTATTACTCCGGTGAATCGGCAGGTTAATTTCGCATGTCGTTTAATTTAGTAACAAGCTAATTTCTGTTTAAAACGCGGGGTTTTAATTTTGACTTTTGTATAGTAACTACGTTAACGGACTGTTTACTGTTATTGCGCATCATAACGCTTCTTGTGTATCAGTTACATCCTTTATAGTTATATTTATTCATAGTTTTACTCGTGGTTGCTTTTCAGTGATATTATTTAGTTTTTTCCACCGAGAGTTTTGCTTTGTTTTGATAAGTTAAGTGTGTGGACAAAGTTTTCTAGAAAATGAGTAAGTTAACTTGAGGCTTATCATGTCATGGAAACTCGACAAGTTGAATGTATTGTTAAAGGGTTTAAATTTTGTGTTCTGAAGTCGTGGAAATCATGGGCCAAGTTAACATTATTTATTTGTGTTTCAATCAAATGAATGATGGATGCTTTGAACACTATTAGGTGACTGTAAACTGCGGTGTCTGCGCATGCGCAGCTGTCCTGGTTAACCGGAATGGTTCCACCTTTATAATCTCTCACGGGTCTTTCCACGAAATGTGTGTGAACACTAACTTCAGTGAAAAGCTTTTACTATCTTCTATTATATATATATTACTATGTGCTAATATAATGTATTTATTTGTGCAACAGTACAAATAAATACAACAAAGATACAAATTAATGTAATAAACTGCTTTTCAGATTTTTACAGTAGGTCTAATAGTAGTTTTCAGGTACAGAAATTTAATTTAAGTAAGCAAATGTAAAATAACACTGCATATTATTCACTGTATTAATTAAAGATCCTTAATTAGTCCTTAATATATATATATATATATATATATATATATATATATATATATATTGCAATAAAAGCTTGCATGGCTTGCATGCATTTTGATTATGATTTTATGGAATGACCCTGACAGGAGGACAAAAAACAAAAACAAAAAAACGCTCAATCACTTACAGCTGCCCTGTACTTCTATAAATATCATCATGCCTTTGTACAATGCAAAAATATCCATCCTTCCCTGCAGAGAACTATGGAAATTGTATTTTAACTAGCTAATCTTCAAAATAATGCCTTCCATAGCTTAATTAAACATAATCACGTTTTTAAAGTGTGGAAATCATGTTACTTTTATCTACCATCTGGAAGCTTGCTTACTACCTGATAACATTTGGCTTGATTTAATTATTATACATTTTTTTATAAAGTTTGTGCATATTTGAACTCTCATTTGAATATTTATAACCCAGCAAAAACGCAGTAAAATGTTGCCTTTGGAAGTCCCAACGACACTGGCCTCTTTGCATCCTGTTGCGTCCTGTTTTCCATATCCTCTGGGCTATAAAGAGAGCAAGAGCAGAGGAAGGAGGGGGTTTAAAAATGTGTGGTACAGGAAACTCACACAACCCTTTCACCCCGAACCATCTCCAATGACAACGTCTGTACTGCTGCCATCAGCATGCATGTAATTATGTGCAATTACTCACCTCTCTATGATCACCTCGCTGAAAAGATAGAGCGATGAGCCAAAAATGTGGGAAAAGAAATGTCTTTTGTCAACTATCACACTCACAGTTTTGTGGTTATTTTGGGTCTGTTGATTCTTGTGGAAGAGACTCACTGTATCTCAGCCAGGCATACCAAGTATGCCTTGAAATTTCCAAGGACTGGATATGAATTCATTATCAGTGGATATTTTATTTTATTTTGAGTTTTGCATGTTATTGCATCATCCACACTATAAAGAGTGCCACCGATATTTACGTGTTGCTAAGCAACTTTAGTGCCGAGGTCCTAAGTTCATTTCCTCTTTCATCTCCATATCATTTGTTTCAATGTCTCAGGGCTTTTCAACAAAGCCTTCCTCTCTTTCACAAAATATAGCATTTGCACAGAATATAACTTTTTATTGCATCCCTAATGCAATGTCATCATTGTTGTGGCATAATTATAAAGGTTTTATCAAACCGAAATGTGCCAGCATATTATGAGTAATTGAATTAAATTTCATAGCATTAAATTAATTAAACATTAATTAATTTAATGTCATAAACAGAAATAAGAAATGATGATAAAGATTAAATTAAAAGATCTGTAATATTTACTGGACTCACATTTCTTCCAGATAAATTGTACTGGTGTAGCTTATCATTTTTTTTCTTTGTACAATGTTACTTCCTCTTCTGGAACCATTCTGTTTACATTATGATCTGATAGCTAAAATGACTAACCGTGGGAACCATAATACTGTACATATAGCCTATTGCCTGCTCGTAATCCTATTTAAATCCTGGAAAATCCAAGTGAAGGGCATTGTGCCACATTAACTTTGGGCTCATCTTGTCTTTGAGTATGTTCAAATTTCCCTTCTCCATTGCATAGGTCATATTAGGGTAATATCTAAATAGTAGCATGTTAGTGTTACTCTGAGTTGATGCTATAATTTAGATGGATTAGAATGGATTTGTTTTAACAATGAGAAATCAACCTGATGAGAAGGCAACATTAAAAATAATATATACACACACACACATACAATGAGTTTTCACCCAAAATAAATGGTTTTGAGGACAAGAGTCTGACACCAGCCGGCATGCTCCACATGGAGATCTCATCTAACCATCATTGAGTCCATCTGGGATTACATGAATAGACTAAATCCAGAAGAACTGTGGCAACATCTCCCTTTGCGTTTAAAACAGCTTTTGTCCCCAGTTTTTCAGGCAGCTTTGCTGGAAGGTTTCTTCAAGTGTGTTGGAGATGTTCTGGATTTAGTCTGTCTCAGATTTTTCTATTTCTTCATGTAATCACTGACATACTCGATGATGGTGAGATCAGATCTCCGTGTGGAACATACTGGTTGTCAGACGCCTTGTGCACACAAATCTTACCGGATTATTACTATTAATGGCAAAAGGAATTTTTGGAAATGTAAACCGATATTACCTTCCGGCACAGGCACACTACAGCAAAAGATATACAGTAAATAACTGGTGAACTTTTTCTTGGTGAAAACACCAATGTGCTTAAAGCTGCAGTCTGTAGCTTTTTTTGGGTCCAAAATGCATTTGAGAAAATACATAACCAGCTAGTGTTCAAAACTATCTGCTTGCTTTAGTTCGATTCAAAACAGCAAGCTTGTAATAATGTTTTTAATTCCAGTTACTGGTGGATTTCCACTGGAGATTCCAGCATGTTTTTGCTTCATTACGTGCACCTCTGTACGCATAAAGAAAAGTCTCGGCTAGTATAAGCTATATAGCGTGTGAGGATGTTGGAAGTGGATATTTATAGCCTCTTCTCACAGCACTTGATATAATTAACATTTATCAATTTGATGATGCATCCAGAAAGGTTCATACGACAATCACCAGTGACAACAGATTCACCCCGCTGTAAAATGCAAAAGACTTCGTTCGGACTTCGGAGTGGCTACAGAAAAAAAGAGACTGCAACCGAACCCATGCGAAAGCAAGGATACGTATCGGAAGGACATTACAAGTAGTCATGCAATGCTGACGTTGTTAACATTAACAACTTGAGAACAAAGTATAATCTTCACGGTTTTGCGTGTAATGAAAAGCGATTGTTAGATTTAATCAGCGCGATTTACTGCAATGCCAGAACCAGAACAAAAGTGGATGTTACTTACTTGTTCAGATGACATTTTCCCATTAAATTATTATGTTGGTCATACCAGTATTTCCAAAAAGTATAATCTGTGATTCTGAATGACAGTATCCACACCGGCCCGGCGACTGACCGCCACACACTCTCCTCAAACATTGTTCATCCGTGCTGTGCCATGCCGAGGTACAACTCACGTAAAGTTGATTCCGCGAATGACTGCAATTGCAGATTTCGAACAGAGATGGCGAAAATGAAGAAAAACAGCGGACTGCTGCTTTAAGTAGTGTGTGTGTGTGTGTGTGTGTGTGTATATATATATATATTATATGTTGGTTATTTACTCATTTAATCATTTTTATAAATGATTATTGTTCTTGTGATTTCTAGAACTGAGAAGGTCATGGAAATTGAAATGATCTTAAAAGGTCACGAAGAAAAACAATTACATTTATGGTCATCTTGAAAATATTTAATTGGCTAAAATTGTCTTCATAAACAATTATGTTCGTTTTTTTCCACTATTAGCAGAGAAAGTCATAGAAAAGTCAAGAAGGAAATTTATAGGCCAGAAGGTTTAGAGCTGGTTCTAATTTCTACTCCTAGTTATAAATATGTTCACCTTATGAGTACACGTTACAAAGGCATACATTACAAAGGTGCTTTATGAACAGATCATTATGTTTTTAGCACGTATCAAACATGTGATTTTCCCAAGACTGATTCAGCACAGAACAAAGCTTTCAGAAAGATGTAATGTGCCAGATAGTTTTCTGATGAGCAATGCTTTAGAACTGAAGCATATGCCAATGTCTTGTTCTGAAGTCTTTGTTCCTTTCAAAAGACTTACGTGAGACTCAAGTGATTGGCACAGATACAGTACTGAGCATATAATGAGGTTAGTTAGCATGCTAGACAATTGATAATTGCACTGTGGGGAACTCTTGGGACCAGGCCATATAGAGTGCCAGATAATAGGAAATGTTGCTCTGCACCAAACCTCGAGCAGTTATCACGTCCTACCTCACACACACACACACACACACACACCAGACGTCTTTGACGTGAACTCAGTGCTGTTCTCTTGCCGGGTATAATAACTCTCTTGTGATTAACCATTATTACTTTTGTAGACTTTGACAGCAGTTCATTTACAGGTCATGCAGTCTGCGGCACTCAGTGGATCTCATAGATCTTAACGGATGTCATTGTCATCCAGTGCCTCAGATACATGTTAAAAAGGGAATTAAATTGAACAGTGTAAGATGTCTATGGTTTATTGTAGGATCAAAGAGTGATCAGATAGGGCCACCGGCTGTTCTCTCAAGAGGAGAGTCTGTGCAGATAAAGATGTCTCAAATAGCAGTAGCTTAAATCCACTATTACAGGATAAGCCCATACCGGAGAGGAATAATAAGATCAGTGAAAAAACTTGGAGACTAAAATACCTCAACAGAACTGCTATTGAGATGACACAGTCCTTGAACCACAGTTGATTAGACATGCTTGAAAATGGCCTAATTTTCCAAAACATCATTAAGTGCTGGCATGAAAGAGCACATTTTTACCTTTTATAATAATGTTAGACCATAGTGGTGTTTGCTAAGCCAAGGATCACAATTAATATTCATACTTAGACCAATGATTTTTTATTTTTTTTTGCTGAAGCTATTTGGCTCATGAAATGATTTGGGATCAGACTTCCGTATGCTGATATAATCGGATCCGATAGCTATCCTTCTCGTATGCATTTTGGAGGGAGTTTACACTTGGTATTTTAATGATGGGATTTAGTCTGATCAGTAAATATGGATGTAATAACCAAGTCTAAGCACTAATATTGAGTACTCTTTTGATGTAGGCCAGTAAACAACTACTCGAAATGGCCTAGCAGTAGAAACCACACTGAACACTAACAATTTAGTAACTGAGTCAAGTTGAATTATATATCCCCACAAAGATAAGTATTTCATTATCTTTCAGGCTTTGGGACATGAGCAGGACAGAGCATCTATTGTCTCATATCTTCATCTTTTCGCCCTTTAGTCCAAAGCAACTGAAACTGTTTGTAAATGGTCAGAAAAGTGAATTATAGGCCATCTTCTTCACAAGCAGGACATTTATTTTAGATGTTGTGCTAAGGGGAATGCGGAACTGAATTACCAGCGGATGTGAAATGCATGCAGAGCCCCACACGACATGCTGAAAAATAGATATAAAAAAATAAATATTAATAAATCATTCCTACAACCTGTGATTTCTTTCCTACAGCTTATTATTTTGGTCCATGTTTAATAAATTAGTTCCCTTTAATTTGTTAAATTAAAACTAAGCAACAAATTGCTTAAATTTGTGGCCACATTATTTTTCATTATCGCCCAGCATGTCATATACAGGATACCATATAAACTTGACGTGCCTTGCTTTGCCGAATAAGCACAAACTGTGTTAAAATTAAATGTGACGAAAGAAAGCCATGAGATATTTCTATAAAAGTATTAAGTTAGGGTACCAATGCTATCTTTTGTTTTAGGAAGTAAAAAAGGTGCCATAGAAAAAGATGCAAAAATAAGGATTAAAAGTGAGTGAAAGGAAGAAATTAATTTCAAAGAAAATATGTGATGGTATCAGGAAGGAAGATTCCATATCCAGTGTAATGCCTCACAAAATATTGTTAAATTCATGGAAAATTTTAGTGACCAACTTGCAAAACAGAACATAAAGCCTCGTTAAGGCTCATGTACCTTTCTCATTCAGCATGGATCCAAATGTTACCATGGCAACGATATAAAATTAACCTTTTACCAGTTATTTATTTTGTAAAAAGCGTTGTACTTTTACTTTATTCGTGTCCTAATTTTTACGTAAAAAAAAAAAAAAACATTTACATACGGGATCATTTTACTTTAAATGGTGATGTTAATTGCAAACATTGCATTTGTGTTTTAAAATACAATACAACTATGAGCACAATGCAAGTCATTTCGAATGTACAATGAATCTCTTATTTACATTGTGTTGACAATCTGTTGGTTATTTGCAAGTAACCGGGGTCTGCAAGTGTGTGGCTCGTGTTCATAGGCGGATGGTGAAGCAACTCCAGGGTACAGCTAAGGAGATGCGCTGCTTCCAGATATAGAATAGATATACCAATAGAATGTCGTAAAATTTGTTATTAAAGCAGCTATGCTCACAATCCACTATAATTAGAAGAGAAAATCAAGCAAAATGGGATTTATTGTTTGAATTTCATAATAAAAATGATATCTGAAAAGACTTTGTTTCATATCAAAATGGAGGCACATTACAAAGATTCATTCATTCACCAACTGAAAACAGCATAGACCAAAAGATCGATACTTTGGATTTAAGAGTCGATATCCGTTCACCAAAAGAGGAATCAATTAAAATCGCTAAATCAACCCTGCTGTAGGATAAAGTCACAATTCATTTATTTAATGGAGTGGAGAGAAATGGCAGCTTCAGAACCAATTTGACAGTTCAATGCGACTGCTTCCTGGAGGCAAAAAGCGACTCAAAATGCAATCACACTATAACGTTTGAGATAGTGAGCTTTGCGTGGGAAAGCACCACTCACATTTTCTTCTGAATTCTAGTTTCAGTTTGCTTTGTACATTATGCATATCAAGACTTTGAAGTGGCTAATGTAACAAGTTGTTTTGTTATTTTCATTACACTCATCTATACTCGAGATGACCTTGTTGGTTTCCACCTACTGCATTCCAAAAGACGTTTTGTTTACAGTCACATGGTTTGTGTTAAACAAAACACAATTATGTTTCTGTTGAACAAGCTTTGCATGCTGTTTAATCTTAACTCTGTGTGTGTCTTCCAGAGCTGTGGTGTAGTTGTGGGGTGCAATGGAGGATGGGAAGCCTGTGTGGGCGCCCCACCCAACCGACGGGTTCCAGCTGGGCATGATAGTGGACATCGGTGCGGATGCACTCACCATAGAACCTCTCAATCAGAGAGGAAAGGTAAGACGTCAGCTTTGCTGCCCTTGAAATTTATCCTGTGGGCGTTTAACCGGTGACCAAGCAGGTGGCAGCTATTGATTTTGTGCCATGTTATCATGCCTCATATGTTGATACGAAGGAAAACTTAGTTGCTAAGCACCTGTGATGATCCTCGGCTGAGCCCATGCGTACCTCGGGCGATCATGTGATCACGGTTTCTGCTGATGTGAATCCTTAAGTTCCCACCACACGCATGATTAACTTCATGATGTGTATAAAAGGCCTCCAGGTATCTGAGCAATAGGTAAAATGTGAGAACACGTGTATGTAGAATAGTAGGGTGTCACTTGCAGGGGCTTTGAATAAGTAATAAGCTCTACCTGCTGCAGGTGTGTGGATCACATTACACTCAGGGTATATTCATTAGAGAGAAAAAAATCCACCTGTGTCTCAACTAATTACACACTCCCTTAGAGATGATGGCACTCAGTGTGTAGTGGGGGATGTATCAGAAAAATGTACCAGAAGATTAGAAAACGCACCCACACACATACACGCACGTTAAATAATGATTACAGAATGGAAAATAGGTTATACATTTTTTACTTGATGATTCCACCAAATGACTGTCATATAATTTGAACTTTTCTTGAAAAGGGAATTTTTTGAAACCAACATGAATACAAACATTACATTACATTTTTTTCTTCATTAATGACTCTCTTATTTGTCATTGATCCATTAGCTCGTATTAACAAATGGTAAACAATGTGTGAAAAGTTTTCACTAGAATAGCCTATACAGTATCAAGGTTGTGAATGTTTTTAGTTCAAAGTGGTTTGACATTGAGGCAGATAATATCTGTCCAGTGGGGTTCTAATGTAAATGGCTTATATAAATATGAGGGAGTGGAGGAATAACGTCAGCATGGACAAGATGGGTTTTCTGGGAAAGGTCAGCTTGTCTCATCTCGCTCTGAATAATGCACCGACGTGATGGGCAGTTTTGGGTGTCTTAAGCTGTGAAATCCATGACACATTATATGTTCTCACCTTTCACATTAACATGACTTTACCGTTTCTTCTCCGCGTTATGGCCGCCATTAGACACAATCAATCATGGGTGACCTAGCACCTCTTTTCATTGGCATTTGCGCAGTCGTAATGCATGAAGACCTTGAGTGTTTATAGCTTCACACCTCAGTGAAAGTAACCAGACGGATTTGGAAATGAGAGGACAAACGGCTGCTATCATCTACTTATTTTTTGTCCCATTAATCTTCTGTGTGGTTGTAAACTATATGGACTTTTATGAATATGGATAAATTGTGAATGCAGCCATTTATTGTTTGGCCAGAGGTCACAAAGTTGATGATGCTCATTTTGACTTTACAGACGTTCCTGGCTCCCATCAGTCAAGTTTTTCCTGCCGAGGATGATGTAAACAAACACGTTGAAGACAACTGTAAGTATATAACTTCTTTGGGGCCAAAAGTATCACGTTCAATCAATACTTAAGCTTGTGATGTTCATTGAAATGCTCATATTTACTTGGCTTCCAGGTTCTCTTATGTATTTGAATGAGGCCACTCTTCTAAACAACGTCCGTATCCGTTACAGCAAAGACTTGATCTATGTAAGTCAAATGCTTGTTCTGAATTCTCGTTTTTCTATTCATTTCTGTCTTTTCCAACACCCAAACTACGCAAGTACTCAATTACTTGGCCAGTGGATAACATAAACATGGTCCAATTGTATAAACTTAAGGTGCGGTCACATCAGTAAAAATTTGCAGTTAAAAAAATCAACAACTTTTCTACATGGTTAGCTAGTTTGATACATGTTTTTAAATCACTATAGGGAAAATGAATGGGGAAAAAATCGCACCATTAGGTTTAAGTTTAAGTGTGTTGGGCAGGCTGGGATGCTCAAATGAACAGATTTATGTTTTTAAAGCTCCATTACTTGCACTTGCATTTTAAATAATGTATAACAAATTGATTCTCTGATTAATTAAAGCCTCTTCTAATAAAACTACATTTTAAATTTCAACAGATTTGGCTCATAAAATGTTAAGCAAATGCATGATGCATTCACATATTTTGCTTAACAGTCACTTATGGGCTTCCAGGTTCATGCTAAACCCCACAGATCTCATTGGCAAGCATGGCTGCAGGTACAGAGCTGATGGGCATGTTATTGTCGTGCTCCAACGGCCCTTATTAGCCTCTCATCTGAGAGACGTGGGTCCAGCTGTCAGCACACGCTCATCAGCACAGCGCACAAGGCTGTCAGGAGACTGCCCAGGCCCTGCCCTAGTGCGACTGCACGTCTCAGATGACCCAGCTAATCCTGGCCAGACGCTATCAAGTTGCCCAATGCACTTAATTAGGTCCTGTGAGGTAGCGGTGCTCCGCATGGCGTGGCTAACCTGAAAGTCTTTGAGTGAGAGCGATTAAAACATCGCTCTTCGTCTGAGCCGTCCGACTTGTCGACTATTGGTCGGAACTACCTGTTTGCCCAAAATATGAAAGCACACACCCAACAATGAACGTTTCAAATGTTCTCAGACCCTGTTTGTTTTATTTCAGACTTTTGTGGCTAATATCCTGATTGCTGTGAACCCATATTTCGACATCCCGAAACTCTACTCCCCAGAGTCCATTAAGAGCTATCAGAGACGCTCTTTGGGGACACTTCCCCCTCATGTCTATGCTATTGGTGAGTGGACAACATATGAATGTCTGTCTAATAGGACACTTGAGGATTTAATTCTTTATTTTTGTAGTTTTTTTTAAGGTAACTACCATATTGACAGTGATTTTTTACAAACGTCAGTCTCTCTCTCTCTCTGTCTCAGCGGATAAAGCCTACAGAGACATGAAGGTTCTGAAGATGAGTCAGTCCATCATTGTGTCCGGTGAATCTGGTGCTGGAAAAACAGAAAACACAAAGTTTGTTCTCAGGTGTGATAAATCGGTCTATTAATGGAATGATGAAAACACTCCTGTTAAAATGTCCTACATGTATTAATAGAAGGGCCCAAATTCATCCAACCATACCTTCCAGTGGTGAATTGAGATTTTTTTTTAGATATGAAAATATATTTAGCCTTTGAAACTGCTCAAAATCATAAAGACCCATTTTAATATTCATTGTGGTGACTTAATATGATCATTATTTCACGTTTCACCACATCTTGAATGTAATGTAATAATGTTACAAGAAATATTACTTGAGCAAATCATCATATTCAAATAATTTCTGAAGGATCATGTGACACTGAAGTATGGAGTAATAATGCTGAAAATTCAGCTTTGCCATCACAGGAATTAAATATATTCAAAAAGAATACCTTTATTTTAAATCATAATTTAACAGAATATGATGTTTTTTTTGTGTGCTGTGTTTTGATCAAATAAATGCAGCCTTGTGGAGCGTAAAAGACTTCTTTAAAAAAAAAAATCGTACCAAATTTTTGAATAGTTGAATGTTGCAGTGTTCAGTAATGTTAATGGTAAGTAAAGATGTTTTATCATTGATGTCATCATTACTTGATACCAGAGGTGGGGACAAGTCACACATGGTCAAGTCCAAGCAAGTCTCAAGTCTTAACCATCAAGTCTCGAGTCAAGTCTCAAGTCGCAGTTCAGATAAATCAAGCAAGTCAAGTCAAGTCAAGGGTTCACCCTAAGCAAGTCAAGTCAAGTCCTGATAAGTTTCAAGTAAAGTCAAGTCACACTACTAAAATAAATAGAGGTAAATTTTTTCGATACATATTTATTTTTGCACAGAAAAGATGAACTTTTATACATATATTATGTATCTTACATTTGCTATATTAATCATATGCATATCTGTGCTACATTAATATCTGAAAATAAAATAAATGTTATTTTATGTTAATATATGTTATATTAACATATTTAAAATATGTTTAAAATAAATATAAAATAAAAATGGTAATATGTTATATTAACATATTTTATATTTAATAAATATTACATATTAAATAATATTATGTATATTATATATTCAATTTACATAAATATTAACAAATGATTGTTTTAATTATGGAATTCTCCATAATTAACTCCTAAACTTCAGTAGAGAACAATTCTTTGTAAGGAAGGAGGGGTTTCTTTATTGTACATTTATTTGCATGTAGTATGTAGCATATGGTTTGCGTTGCTTTAAATTGGTCAGTACAGCGCTGACTATTGAGTGTCGCTAGGAAACACGTCCGCGCTGCGCTGACGAATCGGCTGCGCGGCTCGGATCATTGAACCGTGCAGATGACATGTCTGCGCGGCACGAGCTCTGTAAAGCCCCGCTGTCTCGTCCCACTTTTGGTTTGTTTGGCTTCCCATATCTCTGCCGTGCACACGCCGCACGCTATGTATGTTATACGCGCAGTATCTCGCTCTAGATTCCGGGAGATTTTAACTCATTTGCGGGCATCAGGGAGACGCTATCAATATGCGTGAGACTCCCGGAACTTCCGTTTGGCGCGGTTTGAATTGAGCAGCGTAAAGGCACAGATGCCGATATATTGATGCTGACGTCATAATATATATTTTAATTAACTGTATTGCTGTTTGTTTATTATATGTTCAAGTCATTGTCGAGTCTTCCACTTCAAGTCAAGTCAAGTCTCAAGTAACTTGTTCTCAAGTCAAAGTCAAGTCAAGTCATTTTTGTACTTTAATCAAGCAAGTCACAAGTCCTGAAAATTGTGACTCGAGTCAGACTCGAGTCAAGTCATGTGACTCGAGTCCCCCACCTCTGCTTGATACTATATCTGTTTAATTTCAGGTATTTAACCACATCTTATGGAACAGGTCAAGATATAGATGAGAGAATTGTTGAAGGTACGTTTTCCAAAGACAGACAAGACTGGTTGTCTTGTACAGTAGTGTTTGATATTTCGATATAATGCAAAATCTATGTTTGTAAAATATGTGTGTTCCATGCAGCCAACCCCTTGCTTGAGGCTTTTGGAAATGCAAAGACGGTTAGGAACAACAACAGCAGTCGGTTTGGAAAGTTTGTGGAAATTCATTTTAATGAGAAGGTAAACTTTGTCTTAGCCTGAAGACAAGAGTTTTTCCTCTGTAAGACTTCATGTAGTTACTAATCGTGTTCATCGTGTCTCCAGAATGCAGTTGTAGGTGGTTTTGTCTCGCACTATCTGCTGGAGAAGTCTCGGATTTGCATGCAGAGTCCAGAAGAGAGAAACTATCATATATTTTACAGACTCTGCGCAGGGGCATCGGAGGACATCAGAAACAGGCTTCATCTCAACTCTCCGGAAAACTTCCGAGTCAGTTTCCTTTGTATTGTGTATTAGGAACCTGGAAATCATTTAACCAAGCCTAGACACTTGGTTCAGCTGGAAACTTTGAGAGTCTCTGTTATAATTGGTGCAATAAAAGCCACCTGACAACTGTGACCATAGCAAGCAGACTATTAAAGCACAGTCCAAAATGAAGTGGCAAAGCATTTTATCAAATCCAATGAAATTCGTTAATACTTTAGGTTATCTGATTTCAAGCCCTCATAGACATGATACCATGAAACTGTAGATGTGCCACTAGATGGCATATTTGCTTTACAATGATTGTGAATGTGTTTCTGCTGGTTCTATTCTCCTTTGTTAACTTTCATCATTGTGTGTTTGTGTTCACTCAGTATTTGAATCGTGGCTGCACGAGATACTTTGCAAACAAGGACTCGGATAAACAGATCATGCAAAACAGGAAAAGTACTGAGGTACGTAGAATCATCTTTGTTTAGGAATCTCGGGCTGCAGAACCGTGATGAATCTTTTTCCTTCTTCCTGTGTTGATGCACAATTTGTGAGAATCTAAAGTGATAAACAGCACTAAGCAAAGCTGTAGTACAGATTTCAGATTCATTTTTGATAAATAATCAAATCCTTGCAGTGTCTTGTTCAAATTTAAGACTAGTTGACGTGCTGTGCGAACAGACCTTGACCGCAGTCAAAATCTCTGAAGTTGCAGGATCACCGTTTTACCTCAAATAGAATTAGTTACCCTCAGAAATTAGTTCACCTCTTTGATCAATTATGTAAATTCCAGCGTTGTTTTGTTGTGTTTGCACACGGCCCTCTCTGGAGACTGAGCCCATCAATTGATGTTATTGTTATCAAGGGCCATTATTATAAATCATCGTTGTGTTGAATCCCTCTGGAGGTGATGAGATATTCATTAGCTGCTGTTTCTGCCAGTGCAGTAGTTCATTTGCTAGCTCAACACCGTCTGTTTCACTGTATTTTCACATGAAAATCTAGGATTAGTTTCTTACCCCAAATTCACAGATGGTACTTTTCTTGTTGTTTTTTTGTCTCCTTTTTTATCTTTCTTGAACAATTGAATCTCTTAATGACTTTTGGGTCGGTATTAAGATATGCAATCCATCTTTAATTGTGAATCAGGCTCTGGTCCAAAACCTAGTGAGATAGCCTTTTGAGACTCCATCCTAATCCTAACCAAGATGAAACCTCTTAAGTGACTAAATGTGAATGGTTTACAAAGGCAGCAAGTCCGCACCACAAAAAAAGAAATCAAATTGACCCGTTTTACTGTTGAGCTAAACTAGCAGCATGATAATCTAATAAGCATAAAAATACAAAGCGAACATAAACATTAGTTTTAAAATATATTTAGCTATACTGTTTGGTTTTGAATTAGATCACTGTATTTATGATTTTTGTTCAACTTCTTGCTAGCCATATTGATTTGAATTGGACTCGGTGTATTCAGGGATTGCCTTCTGAACAAAATATATATGCGAGGCTGCTTTAAAATGAAACGATACTATGTTTTTATAATCACTTTTGACTACAAAGACTCCCCTTGTCAAAGACAATATTCAAAGGCCCCCCCCAAAAAATATTTCTCGTACTTCGGCTGTAATGACAAAGCTGAGTATATTCATATCTACAGAAACTAGTAGCAGTATTTCAAAATAATATGATAAAATTATTATAAATAACTATATTCCATGTTTTTTTGTTGTTGTTTGGGAGTATGTTTTTTTTAAACTCACAAATAACAGTTTCTCAGCAATGTCTGACCACAGATTTTATTGCTTAACATACCCAGGAACCTTTATATTCATACATTTTTCAAAAAGAATTAATTAATATCGATGGATGACTTTTCCAGGTCTAGAAATCACACTTAAAATGTCCCTAATACAGTACATCCAGGGTCTCCAAGACCATGAGAACCATGGGAATATAAATAAAAGTGAGAATTTTATTTTTATTAAAATCACAAATTCAATCTTATATATTAGATGTTCTAGCTTACTTTAAAGCTTGGGTTGTCATTAAAATGCTGCCAATGTAGGTTTTGGAACAGTGCTTCCCATAATGTTTATGTCGATATTTTTGTAACTGAATATTGTGTGTCTTTGCCTTCTCTGACCTTCTTAAAATTCAGGATCATAAGGTGATGTTTTACCAGTTGTCCTTTCTAAATTCTTTTCATACTTTACATTCTTTGGCTTTCTGGGTTTCTGTGCATGAAATGGATCATTAGTGTGTGCATGGGTCTGCAAGCTAAAATGCATGAGTCTTTCCCTGTGAAATAAGTAGCTTTGTAAGGGGTGCTTGTAGTCATGGGTATGGAACAGCTTTTATGCTCTAGGATTGGTCAGAGTGTGATCTGTTGTGTCATCAGACTGCGGATCATTGGTACGTCAGTGACTTAAAGGCATAGTTTGCCCCAAAATAAAAATGATGTCATCTAATCACCCTTGTAACCTTTAAACACAGAGAAGTTTTGAAGAATGTTTGTGTTGCTCTTTTCCCCATACAGCAACAGCATAAAGCGTTACATAGAAAGTCATTCAAGTGTAGAATGACATAAAGGTGAATAAATTATGGCAAAATCATCTTTTTTTTTTTTTATATAATATATAAAAGGAACTTCTGGCACACTCTGATCCTCAGGTGTGGTTTGATTTCCTTTCCTTCTTTTAATCAGAGATCTAGATCTGTATACAGCCCTCCAGTATACATATCTGATCTTCTGAAGCACTTGCGGCACATGTGACGTGTGGATGTTGTTGATTCTGGAACAGTGTGTCTTGATGGTCCGTTGTGTTCGTAGCATGGAAAAGTAGGTGCTCTGAAGGACCCTCTTCTGGATGACCTGGGAGACTTCAACAGGATGGTGGTTGCCATGAAAAGAATCGGCCTGGATGACACAGAGAAGCTCAATCTCTTCAGAGTGGTGGCTGGCGTCCTTCATCTCGGCAACATCGACTTTGAAGAGACAGGAAGCACCTCTGGTAGCCATTCAGCTCTATCCAACATTAGTAAACTTTTTTGCCTTTATTTGATGACCTAACCTGGCATGATGCGACAACTTTCAAGCGTAAAATACATTTCTGTCCTGCATATACTGACAAAATCACTTCAGAACATGTTTAATACAAAACCAGTGAGATTTAATGTCTAGAAGGGGCTGTCCATCACGGAACTAGAAAGCATGCAAACAGATAGTAAATGTCTTGTGTGTCAGTTGAAATCAAGCCAGTTAGGACTAAAAAGAGATACGATTTATCTCTTTTTGCTGCGTCACGTCACATTTGGATTAGAAATATTCGGTTTCCTTCAGGTTAAGAGACTTCAAATATGACCAATTTTGCCTTTTTTTTTTTTTTTTGGAATTTGCACTATCTGCATTCAGTCCGGGAAAAGTCACTGTTGTCTGAAGTGTTATTTTTTAGCTCATCCACTTGCTGATGTTCTCCTCATTAAACAAACACACTCTCACTCACTCACTCACTCACTTCATTAGAGAGCTGTTGTGGGGGTAAGGGGGCTTCTTCTAGTGTTTACCATACTTGCATTCTGTATTTGTTGTTCCTGTTCTGCTGAAGGTATAACACCTTTTACTGCTCTGGCCTACTCCATTTCCCCACTCACAATGGAGATGCTGTCCTGAGACACCTTTTAGCTGGAAAACACTTTTAGCCTAATAGAGGTCTTACAGGAGACGTGAAGACTATTATGAACACATATTTTTGGAAATGGCTGAGATAGGAGATTGAAGGAGTGTGCTTTTAAAGATTTATTTGCACACTTTTAGCTCTTAACCAGCAGTCAATAGGATGCGTCACATCACGCGATTTTCTTGCATCTAGCTATAAAGTGTGAAAGGTAACTTGGTAGTCCTGTTTGTGTTTTATATCTCTTGGTCCTATTAAGCCTGGTGATAAAAGTTGTTAAATGCAAAATATAGTGACACATTTGAATAAGTACTTTAAATACAAAATACAGTCTCTCAGAGTATTTAATTACAAATTACATTTCATTTATTTTTGTACAGGAAAATAAAAATGACAAAATTCATCAAGTAATTAAATACGCATTTTAAATACATGTTATTAAAATACTACCCATCTCTTTATTTTAAGTTATAAGTCGGTTGCAGTCTAAACTATTGGATCTGCCATTACCAATCACTAACGTTTGGTTGTGACGTATATGACTCAGTCACTCCCTCTTTTCGCATGATTGGCCCAGTAAAAAATTGCCTGGAGAAAACCAAAGAATACAGCACAATCCCAGACGTAGTACTGAAGGAAAATGAAAATTGAGCAGAAGTACATAGGAGGGCGGAGCCAGGCTAAGAAAATTACATAAGAGAAATTTTTCAATATAGATATACTGATTTTTTTTATTAAGATTTTTTATTTTATTTTAGTCTGTAGTTGATGTATATTTTGATCTAATTTGACAATGAGAAAACAAGTCATTAACTGCCACGATGTATCAGTAAATAAAAAAAAAAAACATGAAGAATTATGTGCTTTGTAGACATAGCATAAGAAACATAATGAGACAAAGCTTTAAGATGACCATTAGAATTTGCATCTGATCTCAGGTGGCTGCATTTTGAAGAACCAGTCCAGTCAGACTCTGGAGTACTGTGCTGAGCTGCTTGGCCTGGACCAGGACGACCTGAGAGTCAGCCTCACCACCAGGGTCATGCTCACCACTGCAGGGGGCGCCAAAGGCACAGTCATCAAGTGAGTGACCCCATATGTTTACCTTAACATCGGCTCAGCCAGTGGCCCGGGGGCAACTTGTTTTGTTTTAGATCTCTATTTGCATCCAAATGATGATCGAAAGACATCAAAAGTCAGCGCAGATCTCTACTTGGTATTTGACACACTCTTCTCACATCTCAATCTCCCTGCCATGCAAAACGTCTTCTAGTATTACATTTCATCATTTCGCCCCATTTGCATTCACATAACTAAATGAATCCTCGGTCGCCCACTCACAGATGAGAGGAGAGATGAAAATACTTAATCGCAGCTTTTCCATTAGAGATATGGTCAGTTTAATCAAATGTGGCAGAGACTAAAATTGGCTGAGGGGCCGTAATAGTCTAGGTTGCCATCGAAAGTCTTCTGAATTTCAAGGTTTTTTTTTTTTTTTTTTTGAGATTACAAGAGAGGAGGCCTTGAACGACTAGGCTAGGGTATCAGTGAGGTTTTTCCACACTACTTCTTCTCCTAATGGTCAAAGATAAGACTCAGGTTTGCAAGTTTGTGAAACAAAAGCCCAATTCTTCTCAGCTTTCAACATGTAAAACCCACAGTCCAATTACTGCACACGGCAATTGTCAAAGGGGAGAGGAATTGGAAAAACTTGATTGCCTCGATTGAATCGTATGCTCCGTTCTCTGTTGCCCAGGTGGGGTTTTATATTCTGTGGCGTCTGAATGATAGGGCAGCGCTCGGTGGATTAATATTTAACCAAGCACAGATGCCGGACTGGGAGTGTTTGCACTGCATGAATAATGGATGTTTGTCTGAGGGAGTGGCCTAGGGTCTTTTAGGTATGATGAGAATCAAAGTCACAGGAGGTTTCTCCCTCCTCATTTGACTGGGACCAGATGCACAACCACGTACACATGCAATATGCGTTTTATGGAAAATTATGGAGACTGTATTCAAACAAGGCTACAGTGCCCCTTGCAATTCGCATCAATAGACACCGGAGAGGGCAGCAGCTTGTACCTGACCGAGCTTCATTTCAGAGCCGCATTGTGATTTTTAAAAATCTGTTAAATGCAACAAAAGCAGGTGACATTGAGAACGAAGAGTGCAGCAGCCTCTCGACTCACACGCTACAGAGGGAATACATTAATAGCATAAAAGCGACTTAATGAAAAGCAATCTCGCAGACTCGAGATCGAAGAGATTATTGTCAGGCAAGACCAGCTTTTATTAACTGTGCAGGCAATAAGAGTCGCACAGCAGGTATTCCCACAGTGGGACAGCATCTTCAAGAGAGCAAGAAGGTTTTATCATCCAGTTCTGAAGTTTCAGATAGTTGTCGGTATCCTTACACCTCCTGAGGATTGCGGGGAGCCACTGTGGCTTGTGATTATGAGCTGCTTTGCTTTAACAGGCGTGTGTTATTGAGATTTATTGTGTTTTCATGTAATATCGCTTGGCTGTTGCATTTTGAGCCCTTTAAGCTACACGGGGATTTCAAGTGCTGTTTGTATTGCGTTTATACATTTATCAAAGTATCCATTGCAAAATGAGTTTGAATTGAACCTTTTCCCTGTACTGTTTTCAGTTTAATTATGTAATTAATCTTCTGGATGACCAATTCATCAGTTTTTATTCACTTGATGAATAACAAAGATAATTTTTTTCTTGCGTTAAAAGTAGTTTGGGCCTTTTACACCCAGTTATTTTGCATACCATAAACACATTTTCTTGCATAGTCTTAAGAATTTGTCCTTTAGCACTCAGAAAAGCAGAAAATTTTCCCAATTTACCTTTGTCCCTATAAATACAAGGCACACACACACACACACACACACATAAAACTAATTTCCTCTCTTATGCTGTTACCAAACAATTTCACTGACACAAATTTTAGCCTGTAAAGACCCCAATTATATTTGTTTGTCCTCTGACTTAATTTGACCCGACGATTTTTTTTTTTAGACGTTTATACAAAGGTGATTTTTTTTTTTCAGCACCCTTGAGCATTTGCTATCATAATGGAATTGAGAGGAAAATAAATTAAATTTTGACTCAAAATTATTTCTGGTTGGAATTCTGCTTTCCCCTAAAGTGTTTTTACATATTTAGCTTGGAATGCTTAAACAGCAACTATCTTAAGAGTGCAAAGTTGGACGGAGTAAAACAGAATGGACATGTATTGATGAGGAGGCATTAGCAGAAGCCTTGGCCCAGATTTTGACTCCTCCTGTCCCACTTTGCTCCTCTCCAGGGTGCCTCTGAAGGTGGAACAGGCCAACAATGCCCGCGATGCTCTCGCCAAAGCCGTTTACAGCAGGCTCTTTGATCATGTGGTCAAACGGGTCAACCAGTGCTTTCCCTTTGATACGTCCTCCAACTTCATCGGCGTGCTGGACATCGCTGGCTTTGGTGAGCTTGTGAGATAGCCACAATGGATGGGTCACGTTGTCTTACACTGAATTTCCTAATTTACCTGTTTCCTCAGTGGCTCTTACATTTTCAAACATGTCAACCTAAGAAATTATGCATCTGAGAGATGAGGCAACCTAGTCTTTAATACAGTGAGCCCCAAACATTTGAGACCACTTATGAAACATCTAGTATTATCAGTTTTGATTTGGAACTGAAGTAGTGCAGAATCTTACATATTTCTTGTTCATTTTATGTTTCAATGATTTTTAGTTCAATATTGTTTTTTTTATTTTATTTTTAATTCTAAAACCTTGTGATTCCCCGATTTTCTGTTGTCTCAGACCTTTTGACCCCACTTAATGTAATGTCAGAGTTCTTTCTGAGCTATCTTAAAGCACTTAAAAAATATTATTTTAAATTATTATATTATATATATATATATATATATATATATATATATATATATAAATTATTATATTAAGGATGTCGATGCCTCTCAGACTGTAAACTAGTTTACCTATGGGTACCAATAAAGTAACCTGATAAAACATTTATAAAGTAATTACTGTAATTTAAGTACTTTTGAAAAAGTAAGGTATTCTATAAAATCCTATATAAAACAATAGTGGATTTAACATCAAAATTTAACATCTAATCTTAAAATGTTTGTTTTTAATGGAACCTTCTCTCTATGAATACTTTGGCCAGTTCAAGAATAATTTATGCAATTTTGTATTATTTATTTGAATGAATTAAAAGAGCAGTTTCATCTATCCTTGTTTGTATTGTTCAACTGGTCGAGGTTGATATGATTTAGAAAGTAATTAGTTATAAGTAATGGAATACTTTCTATACTAATTACACTGTTGGATATGTTAATTAGTAGCTAGTAATTAATTACTGGGTAAGCATGCTATACGATAGACATGTTTGGGAATTGCGTATCTCCAATTTAAGTGCAAAGCTGTCAGTTTTTTTTATTTAAACTGAAATTACATCCCACGATAACAGATTTAGCTACTGTAACTGACTTGAAATGTTCCATTAATGTTAAACTTAGTATAATAAACATATCATTGAATGTGACTGATTGAATATAGAGAAGACGTAGTGATTCACTAGCTATTAGCATGTCTTATGGTGAAAATAAGGTTGAGAATACATGTGGTAAGATGAACGATAATTGCTTTTCACTAACAGTGTTTCTGTAATAATGTAACTGTTAAATGCCTTTAGAGACATACCTAGCGCATGAATCACAAAATGCTTTTTTTTTTTAATATTCCTGTTCAGAGTATTTTGAGCACAACAGCTTCGAGCAGTTCTGCATCAACTATTGTAATGAAAAGCTGCAGCAGTTCTTTAATGAACGCATACTGAAAGAGGTGAGTCATGAATGTTATTGGGATTTTTAACATTGATCAGTGACTCATAAATATGCTCTCCTTAAAAATAACACATGAAGCTATTTCATCTGTATGTATCTTTTTTTATCGCAAGCTAACTCTTCTGTTTTAACAATTCCAATTTAACTTGTTCCAGCAAATTAAGTTAAGCATTTTTTCACTTTCAGCAAAAACCCATGCACATTTACTTTGTTTTTGTTTTTCCTCTTCCTCCCCAGGAGCAAGAGCTGTATCAGAAAGAAGGTCTGGGAGTAAATGAAGTTCATTATGTTGATAATCAGGACTGCATTGGTGAGTGTCCCTGTGACACTGAATAATGATCTGCCTCCATTTCAATCATTACTGGATGCACTACGGCAATATAAAGTCCTCCATACGCGGAAATGCTAGGGCCTCTAAATCCAAAATGTGTTACAATGCAAATGTAATTTCTTCTCAAATTAAGGCCTTCAAATGATGATAACATTCATTTGTATACATTGCCATCTCTGTTAATCTCCTGACAAAACATGGCGAAGATGAATGTTCCAGCAGAAATGCATGCTGGGTACTTGAGATAACACAGGATTGAATCCTGAGAATGACCTCTCTCACTTTTGAAGCCACTGGAGAAGGTTTCGTAGATAAGATGAAGAGTTCACACTTTTAGTTTTTTGATGCCGGCTCTAAAAGTGATCTCTCGAGCAGTGCAGTCCGACCCAAATCACCCATCAGTAACAGAAAGTCAGTTCAAACTCAGGACACACTACGAAATTTTCACCCACTTCGCTGAATGCAAATACTATCATCAGACCGAAGTCTGCTGTCTGAAAGAATCACATTCAGAACCAATACCTTTTATCTTTTAAAGGTCCCCTGACTTTCCTGGGTTGCCCTTAAAACATTGGTTTGTTTTTAGAACAAAAATAGTCATAATTTAGAAATAAAAGGCATTTTTCCTAGCCTGATTTTAGCCTCTGATTTGAACGCTCTGTTTGAAGGGGCGTGTCTGCTCTGGGATTCAGTGTAACCGGCCACTGCTGTGATTGGCTGACATGCTTGCATATGAAATAGCTATGTATTACATGTGAAACTCTCACGAATACTTTTACTACAGCTATTATACGTTTTTTCCTATTACAGCTATCGAGATTACCGAATCGTGAGAAGTGTTTGAAGTATTTAGATCTATTCCCATCACATAAAATGTTGCTGTGATGAGCATTGAGCAAGCAGAGGACAGTCTGTTGATCGCGAGAATGAAGATCTTCTGCACTTTCTCTAATGCTTTCACCAATGCAGACACGATGATGTACATACAGTAAGAGCTTCATTGTGCAGTGCTTTCATAACGAGTTAAACTCGCCAGATAAACTTGCGCTGTATGGAAAGATTGTTCTTTGATTGCTTTCTGTATAATTTGTTCACAATTGTAAATGAGATTATTTTCATCCTACTTAAAGAAACGGTGTGAAGTTGGTATTTTAGTCACTGGCTTGACTTACTGATGAATAAACAGTATCGAACGATTTTGAGAGAAAGATTAATTTACCTGTTTGAACTTGAACAATTAGGCTGCACATCAGAAATTGTTGCTTGGTAGCTCGATCGATTTATTTTCAGACGTTCATCGAGTTGAGGAAACAGTCGTCGGTGAAACGTTTGGAGCGTACAAAATTTGAAAATATAATTAACCCATTGTTTCTTCAGAGGCTCGGATGAAGGAACTAAAAAATACTTTTGTGTTCAATTTGTACATCCGAACACTGATGAACTGCCATGTTTGCAAGCCATGATATCTCTCGAGGAAACAAGTCAAATCTCAAAGCTATTTCTCTAGGAAAAACTAAAATCGCGCCTGCGTGTTCGGACTTACTGTTCCTAGCTCGTTTTCTCATGGTCGGGCCAAATTCTCCGGGCGGGCAAAGCAGAGAAAGGGGAGGTAACCTTTCCCCCGTATGATATTATACAGGGCAGATTCAAGATCAGCTCGTCTGAGCTGCAGAGAAGAGAAAAATATCCAAAGCTCGGTTTACACCGATTGAAAATTCTAGACACGAGGGGACCAAATACAGGCTAGGGGAACTCATATTAATGTTAAAAAACCTCAGAAAATGGAAATTTCATGTCAGGGGACCTTTAAGTCGACCTGCATTTTTACCCAAATGATTTATCGTAGATCTTCTTCCTATGCACCTATGGTTTTTTGCCCAAACTGTCAAAACTCAACAGCTTGTGTGAGATTGCACAGTCTGCAGGTGGCTTGACATAACATCTCGCCTCTGATGCGGTGTGTGCTGTGCAAAAAGTAGGAACCCAACACCTGCATCGCAGATGTCACTTCTGTTTCCCGAGGGGAAAGACTTGCTTTCCATTTATCAGCTCTGCTTTTACTAATTCTCCTGATAGTGATGCAACACATGTCCTTGTGACTTCCAAATGGACACGCAGGTCCTTTCCCTGCATGTCTCCTCATCAATCACCTCACATTTATCCTCGGGTGTCTGCTCATGCAAATACATGACTGAGCGTGCGTCCACACCTTTCTCACCTGCACACGTCTCAGATGAATTATGCATACGAAGTATGCCTTCGCACTGATTATCAAAAAGGTCCATGTGTGCCCCCCGACTTTGCATTTGTCCATTAAACTTGCTGAGTTCTACTTCACTTTGGATAATACCTTCTGCAGGGAGATTGAATATATGAATTCACTATTCACCTCGTTTTTGTTGCATGAAAGTTTCTGCATTCAGTCCAGAACTTGTCTCTGTGACTTTGCTTTGCAGATCTGGTTGAGGCAAAGCTGGTGGGTATCTTGGATATTCTGGATGAGGAGAACCGTCTTCCCCAGCCCAGTGATCAGCACTTTGCAGAGACCGTTCACAGCAAGCACAAAGTTCACTTCCGTCTCACTGTAAGCTATGGTTTGGTTCTTTTCAATAGCCAAGTCTATATGAAGAGTTCAGATGCAAAAGCCTCTAAATGCTATTTGAAATTTTCTGCAAAAGCCTCTAAATGCTATTTGAAATTTTCTTCTAAAATGATCATTTTTATCAAACTTGTATATTTAAGTTCAGTAATTTCACTTAAATGGCAATGATAATTGCCTATTAATTGTTATTTAAGTGAAATTACTGAACTTAAATATACAAGTTTGATAAAAATCATCATTAAAGAAGAAAATTTCAAATGGCATTTAGAGGCTTTTGCATCTGAACTCTTCATATATAGAAAAGAAAAGCTGGAAAGTCTGCAGGATAAGTGTTGTACAGCATCTCAGTAATGCAATAAATAAATAATAATACATTTAAAAAATATCCTTAGTTCTGAACACCAAATCAATTTTCACTTTCTGCATTTTGACTGGGCCTTCAGTGTCATTCTGATGTTATCTTAAAAAAATGTGTAGTGGAAGATGGAGTAAGATGCCCCCTTACACACACACACACACACACACACACACACACCTTTAATTTTCCTTTTAACTGTAGATGTCACTGAATCTCATCTCAGCACATTTATTTAATAGCAATTCTCTTATTAATCTTGAACATCAATATTTGAAATCTATTACATGTGAAGAATTTTAATAATTCATTTAGATTTGAATTGTTAATGTATGTATTGTGATTTGATGTGAAAAGTTAAAGTTAGATCCTTGGTCATTTTTGATGTATATTTCAAACATCCTTTTTTGTATCTGTAAAATGATATGTGTAACCCTTTTTTGGGATTCATTTGATTTGTCATTGTTCAACTTTTGTCAAAATACAAATACATTACTTTAGAATTTTTGATATAGTATTTCAAATGATTTACATCTTTAAAAAAAGAAATCTATTAATCATATTATGATATTAAAGGAGAACTCCGGCGAACAATTAACCTTTGGTCTAATAAAACATCGGTACCTAGTCAATCGTTCTCTGAGTTTTGTTTTCATGATAATCGAATGTAAAGAGTTTTATCTCTAAAAACTGTTTAGCGTATAATGCTAGTAATGGGGGCATTGAGTAAGTAAAAAGAAATCGCTAGTTTATACCACTAACAAGGCTCAAAATAGCCCCACACTAACGCAGTAACAGAATGAGGCTCCATACATGCAAAACGAAGCATTGAGAACTTTGTAAGTGTACAGACCGTTTACTTACTATAGTGGGACAAATGGCCCTTTTTCATGATTTTCAATTTTGTGTTTAAATAATTGAGTTAGCTATTATCGCTTATTTCCCTTAACAATATAATGGATGAAGCATCATTATTCTATTGGATAACATAATACATTTTAATGCATTAAAAATTCACAATGCATTAGACTCCATTAATTTTCTTCATGTAAAATATTATTTGTTGTTTTATTTATTTTGATATATGGGATTTATATATGACCTGGGCATTTCTAGTTTTTATGCGATTCACCCTGACCTTCCATCAATGTCAAGACCCAAAAATGAAGGAAATCATAACCATAATGCTGCAAAGATGGATTCTGTGTGGACTTTTTTCAGGTGCCTAGGAAGTCAAAGCTTACAGTCCACAGGAATTTGAGAGATGATGAAGGTTTCATCGTTAGACATTTCGCTGGTGCTGTGTGCTATGAGACTGTAAGTTCCTAATTCTCTCAGTTCATTCTGAATTCTTTTATGTATATAAACCATTGTGTTGTTTTATTTCTGTAATGTAATAGTCGTTAACATAGGTTAATTAATTTCTTTCACACTGTAAAATCAATTGGGGACTTGGGGGAATCCCTTTGGTAAAGTTGTTGTTTTTTTTTTCTTTGTGTGGTTGACTGTGTTTATTCCTGTGCCCTGTGGGTTTTGTGTATGTGTGTGAGCAGACCCAGTTTGTGGAGAAGAATAATGACGCCCTCCACATGTCTTTGGAGAGCCTGGTGTGTGAGTCGAAGGACAAGTTTGTCCGGGATCTCTTTGAGAACAACTCCAATTCCAAGGACTCAAAGCAGAAGGCTGGCAAACTCAGCTTTATCAGTGTGGGAAACAAATTCAAGGTGATCTTCCCCTTAGCTTATATTCTCCTGATAGCCAAAAAAAAAAAGCACATTGTCAAAGGCATTAATAAGTCTGAAGTTATGACAAAAAAAATTAAGCCCTCAAGACTACAGGCTTTCCTCAGATCAGGAGTTCCTCAAGGCTTTGTATTTGGACCGCTGTAGGTTTTGTTTTATGGGGCTAGATGTCTTCTTTTTGTTCTTCTTGATAGTTGTAGGTTTTAAAAGATTTTGTGAGAGACAATTGATCTTTTACCTGGTGATCTAATTCCTTTTCTTCTAACTTTTGCCCTTTCTCAATCCTCCTTTCTTAGACCTTCTCCTGTTTCTTCAACCTTTCCCTGTGAAAAGTTCTGGTGCTGAAATAAATGTAGAAAGAGAGAAAAAAAATGAAGCTTTTGTAGGGTAAGCCTGGCTGAAATATTCAGTGCCAGCACCACAGGATAACCTGCAACCTCATAAACAAATGTTTGTCTTAAGTTTCTCCCACCCTTCTCCTTCACCCACTTGGTCCAAACATCTTTGTGTGAATGTTGCTGCCACATTTTTAGTCTCTGCTGTTGTTGTTTGTCATGTCATTGCTGAAGAAATCATACACAAAGGAATTCATACTATTAGGGAGCTCTCACTGTAAAGACATCACCATGTCATTTATGTCAAAAGATCTTTGTAATTGGACCAATCACCAGTATAATGCATGTCTTTTACTGCATGTGTCAACATATGTAATACCATTTGCATGGCAGTGACTCTACAACTGTGTGTTTAAAATGATTTTATTTTTATGCAAAAAATATGCTCTATATTAAAATTTACTGGATTCACTCATTTCTTTTCTGATCAAATTTCATAGACCCAACTGAACCTTCTACTGGAAAAGCTTCGCAGTACAGTGAGTAATGAGTTTAATGTTATTCATTTATTATTTTAAAAATGTTAGCCACTTGTTTTGATTATTACTGAGTGTGTCTAATGCATGCTGCAGACCAGGCGGCACAGCAAAAAAAATGCAAAATGACAGTTGCTGATTTATGGCACTGGTAAATGACACATTATACTAAAAAGAAAAAAAATTGGTTGTTTACTTTGCATGACTATATCTACCTGTCGTTGGCCAGAATATGCTGTATGGACTTTTTCACAGACTGCTATGATGCAAAAAATGTAAATCTAGAAAAAATGTATATTTTATTTTGTTAAATTAATGTTATATTATTCTGGCATTAAATAACAAATAAACTAGTCAAGTCGGCTGTGCTGTAATTTCCTCTTTTGGAAAGTTGTAGAAATTCAATAGTGAAACAAATAATGTTTATCATGTTCTCCCATTTATACTACTGTTCAAACGTTTTTTTTTTACATTTATTCATCAAGGGTGCATTAATTTGTTGCAAATTAACTGTAAAGACATGCATAATGATACAAAAGATATATGTTATTTCAAATAAATGCTATTCTGTTGAACTCACATTATCAAAGAATCCTGAAAAAACGTGCATCACCATTTCCAAAAAAAACAGCACAACTGTTTTTTTAACATTTAGAATAAAGAGAAATGTTTCTTAAGTACCAAATCAGCATATTAGAATAGTTTCTGGAGAATCATGTGACACTGAAGACTGGAGTGATGGCTGCTGGAATTTAGTTTTGCCATCACAGGAATAAATTACATTTGAAAACATTAAAATAGAAAACTGTTATTTTAAAATGTAATGATATTTCACAGTATTATTGTTTACTGGGGGGAAAATGCACCTTTGGTGAGCACAAACTCTAAAAAAAAGTTTATGTTTCTGTTTTTCTGTTTATGTCCATTCTAGACCATACCCTATGGCCATTTAGCCAATAGGCTTGCCATGCTGACTATACATATAATATTGTTTGCTCTCTGTTCAAATGTAATAACTTCTCATGTGCATTGTAAAGGGCTCTAGTTTCATCCGTTGCGTGAAGCCTAATCTGAAGATGGTGAGCCACCAGTTTGAAGGAGCTCAGATTCTGTCTCAACTGCAGTGCTCAGGTATGTATATGATTATATAGGTGTCTTTTTTCCCCTTTCCAATTCATCTCGCAGCCCTTGTTGTAATGCTTCAAATATTTCAATTTATGAAAACCCTCCACAAATACCCAGCAATCATCAGTTGGAGTGCCTTTTGTTTTTTGTTTTTTTTTAAACAAATCCCGATGTTGCCTATGGAGTGGCCATATTAAATGCAAGCTCCACTGATTTTTCATTATCTTTTGAGGTGGCGTTACCACAAGAGTGTTTTGAAAGTTTGTGTTATTGAGTTTAATAGGATGTTAGCAAAGTTTTAGAAATAAACTTTCAGGCAAGAGACATAAAAAGAGCATAGCCTAGAAGTTGCTCTTGCATCTCGTTTAGCCAATTAGTTTGAGACCTTTGTTGACTAGTTTTGCAGTACATGAGGTAAATGTAGACTCATCAACTTGCCTACTAGCAAGTACGTACTCGCTTCCTAAATTATACTGCCTGATCTGTGAGGTTTGTTGACATAGGCAAGCTCACAGTGTTCAGGCACAGGCTGGCTGCACATTACTAAAAATAATATGTTGAATCTTCCTTTAAACTTGGTTTATGCTTTAGTTCCAGCCTTCAATACAGCAAATCCTGTATCTTCACTGGCTACATTATCTGTGCTTCTCCTCTCCTCTCAGGCATGGTATCAGTGCTGGACCTGATGCAGGGTGGCTTCCCTTCCCGAGCTCCGTTTCATGAGCTTTACAACATGTACAAGCAGTACATGCCCAACAAGCTTACAAGGCTTGATCCTCGACTCTTCTGCAAAGTAAACCTTCATTGTTTATTTTGATCTTTATCATTGCATCTCATTCTATTCTGATTGTTATTCATCTGTTATTCTTGTGTACGTAATTCGGGTTAGTATGATCGATGATAGCGTGCAGAGTTATTTTTAGAAATGACTATATGACCTTTCATATTGTTTTTCCAAAGCACGTACAGAGTAATCCCTCATTGTTTTCCATTACAAATTATAGTGGTTTATCATCAGTAGTTACAGATACACTTGGAAGTCAAATTGCATTTTAATCATACACCCATGGTTAGATATAAAGTATTTACTTCATCTAAAAATGTCAAATTGGATTCCACGCTAATACAGTATATGCAATTAATGATTGATGGCAATTATTGAAAATGAATTATAGCATCATGCTTGTAATGCAATATCTAGAGTATAATCAAGGCTCAACATAAAGGTCTTTTTTTCTGTTTTCTCTGCCAGACCTTTAGGACTGATTTTCATTCAAGTACATATTAGGAGCATATTTCTATTTTTCATTAAATGTCGTTTTTTTCTTTCTTTCAAACAACCCTAAAGTAAAAATTTTCACAAAATTTGGTCCACTATGAAGTAAATCTTTGCTGGGAAGTGGCATAAGTTTAAAAACATTACTGATTTGATTGTTTTCTAACTAATTCTAACTCACAAGTCACTCTCACAATAATGTAAAATTTAAGTTTGCAAGGCATTAAATAAAAATGAAAACGTACACTGAAACGTAATAGCGTAAGCACTGGCCCGAAACCTTAATGTCATTACTTGTTGATCTCTAAATGTCATTTAATAAAGAATGCGTTCCACTGTCTGATTGTATTGTCTCCTCCTACAGGCTCTGTTTAAAGCACTGGGCCTCAACGAGAATGATTACAAGTTTGGCTTGACCAGGGTTTTCTTCCGCCCCGGGAAGGTGATAATTTCTCATAATATATCTCATGTGGATTGGAATAATACAAGACTGTTAAAACCGCTATACTGTTTCATTAAACTGGTGCACATTGGAGCCTCGTAAACCAGAATGCAGCTACATAAATCTCAACGTGTGTGTGTTTGCCTCAGTTTGCAGAGTTCGACCAGATCATGAAGTCTGATCCGGAGCACCTGGCCGAGCTTGTAAAACGGGTCAATAAGTGGCTGGTGTGCAGCCGCTGGAAGAAGGTCCAGTGGTGCACACTGTCGGTTATTAAATGTACGTCACCCTTCATGACCCAAGCAAACTGCCTTTCATAAAAGCAATTAGAAGCATCCCACACCCTCCCCTTCATCTTTGCAATGTTACAATTAGATGCTGTTGATGAGTTCGCATCTTTTCCTCTCTCTTTCACTTGCCACAGTGAGGAACAAAATGAGATTCAGGGCCAGTGCTTGCATCAAGATTCAGAAGACGGTTCGCATGTGGCTGTGCAAAAAAAGACACAAGACTCGGTATGTACACACACCAGCATTACACCGTGAAAAGATTTTAAAACCTTTACCTAATATATTGTGACAATAATACTTATTTTACCTATACTTTTATTACACTTTATGTAACACACATACAGTATATACATATATAGGTTGTATTTTATTTACTTATATGACATTTGCATGCAAAATATTGAGTAAAAAATACCTAAAATACCTAATCCTAACCCCAAAAGTTAAAAAACTGTGGAGTGGACAAAAAATTAACTCAAATGTCTTCATTCTCATGGTAGCATTGATGGCCTGGTGAAGGTGAAAAATTTGAGGAAAAGGATGGAGAAGTTCAACGAGGCTGTGAACGGACTCAAAGAGGGTAAACAGGAAGTGAGCAAACAGGTCGAGGAACTGGCCGCCTCCACCGACGCCCTCATTGCCAAGATCAAGGTGAGGTTTTCCACTGGAAAAGCGCCCAAGGTTGACAAACCCCTTTCACCTCCTCTAGCTTACAAAGCTCAATGATGTTACGCGGTGTAGCTCTTTTCTCAGCCTTCGTTCGTGTATCAGTTTCCATGCATAATTCAACATGTGTGTGTTTTTCCATGTCCTGATGAAGGCGGTCTAAAGCTGTGGCTAGAATTGTCTGCCAGCTTCGAGTCTCTGGAGTTCTCTCTTTTTTTAGGGAACAAAGAAAGATAGCTGACACTTTTCGTTTAGTTCTGCAGAAATTCTAGTGCTCACAGCCGAGTAAATAAATACAAAGTATGCAAATCGACAGTCCGACAATGAGTTTTCTGTGTGCAGATCATCATTGACATTCACACCACATGCTGTCAAGACTATTTTCAAGGTTTTGCCGCATTATGCCGTTTCTAGTGTTCATTTCTTGCCTTCCCCTGAACTTTCAGCTGCGGCTGATTGAATGCAGTATATGCATTGTTGTATTCTCTACGTGGAGCCCAACCTCATCTGTCAGATTCGGAGTGCATTATTGACAGGGAGCTCGAGAGACATTGCGCCCTCTCCCTGATAGATAGCTGGCACAAGAGCTGAAACTTTTCTACCTGAACACTTCATTCCTCCCTCCAAATGAGATGCGCTGTGCACTTCTGCACCAGTGATGGCCCTCTTTGTTATTAGCATAGCACTTTTTGATTAGCATCTGTCTTTTGATTGGCAATGCCTTCTATTACCTTACCATCTGGACTGGAGATTACTGTGGCCTCCCTGGCTAATAACGCAGATTGTGTCAATGGCTGTCATTCAAAACGCTGGCGTTAACTCATCTAGCGTTAGGGGGTGAGATGGACCTTGTCATTGAGTCCCTGCCCCCCTGCGGTACAATGATCATTCATAATGCTTGCATCCCTCCACGCTCCTCTGGTGCTCTGCCAGATGGCACAAAATCCACATCCAGGTTTAATGAATATCTGCAGGATATTAATACAACTGCGGTGCATGATGTGGCCCAGCGTTGCCACTGTCGTCCATTAAATACAGTCACCACTGAGTTGCTGCCACTTTCTACACTTTGAAAACTGTTTATAGTTTTTTAACGAAGCACAGGAGACAAATCCTCTACTGTAGAGTGCAACCAAGTGGCCCGCCCTGTCATCATTTGTCATATTTTATTCACCCTGATGTTACTTTATAGATAAACAAAAAGTATTCAAGCAGAATGTCCAAGTTTCTGTTTTCCATACAATTAAAGTGCATAGTGATTTATACTGTCAAGCTTCAAAAAGTACACAAAGCATCATAAATGTAAAAAATATGACTGACACACTATATTCTAATATACTATAATCTTTTAATAAACAATGGGAAATCGATCAAATACAAGTTATTCACAGAAAAACTTTCTGTCAGTTACATTTGCAGACAGCTTGATTCGCCATTATTGCATCATCAGTGCAAAGTTGAAAACAAGCACAAATTACATTAGTAAGTATTTTTGCTAGATGATTTTTAGTAGTTTTTTTGGTAATTTTGGTCTGTTCATGGCATGCTAATTGACATTACATCATATAAATGAATGACGACCCAACTTATACCCAATCAAACTGCATTTACGTTTATATTTAATAATTTAGCAAACACTTTTGTTCAAAGCAACTTACAAATAAGGAGAAATAATAGAAGCAGCTAGGACTAACAAAAGAACAACAATATGTAACTGATGCAACAAGTCACTGTTAGTCTAGCACAGTGCATGCAAGCAAGGCTTTTTCTTATTATTATTTTAAATAAAGAAAATAGAAATAGAATAGAAAGTGTTATTATTAATGGGTCTAGTGTAGAAGAAAAAGATTCTTGAAAATGGCTACAGACTCAGCTATGCAGGTCATTCCACCAGCAGGGAATATGCCGCTCTGTCTTTATTTTATCTGTAATACGGTCCGTCAAACTTACTAAACTGTTTTTTGACATACAACCCTCCTTTTATTGGTAAATTCCCAACATTATAGAAAATACATCTTGTTGTTGCACATGTAATTTGGAAACTATGTATTCAGGTAAAGAGGCAAGTGAATGTAGCTTCGTTTGCCAGTTATCTCAAAATGCAAGCGTTGAATCAGATTCTGTGGTGGACCACATGAACAACTAAACTTCTAATAATTGTCCAAAAGCAAAATATCTCTCAGTTTGCACAAAGAAAATTATTAGATTAAAAAAAAAAAATCATAAAAGGGTAAATAGTCTAAATAACGCTTGTACTTTTTCATGACATTAAACTTCCATGATTTGTTTTCTCCATTAAATACAAAAATTATTATTTAGCCAGTTTGCATCTGGAGAAAGCATCTGTTACACTTTTTTTCTCTTTCTTTTCAATATTTATGACGAGTCATCGACTGTCTAACTTTTTGACACCTGGATAGATTGCCCCTATGTAATTTCACTATTTACTCATCTTCTACTGTTGTATTTAGTGTTTCAACATAACCTGATGATGATGCATTTTTAAGTAATTAATTCCAAAGTCATCCGCAAGCGAGCTGACTCTCGACATCACTGTTGCTGCGTTCCATTCTGAGGGGCTCATCCCTATACCCTAATCCCTTCGAAGTGTTTACCCTCTAGAGTGAGAGCATCAAAGTGATGAAGGGTGTAGCGGACCAAAACACTGCTCATTGGAAAGCACTTTAGCATCACCTTGCCGAGCCAATTAAGGAGGCACTATAATTGTGTACGCTGCTTGACGGTAGAAAAGCCTTTTTTTGTGCCAAACAAATTAAACCTGTACAAAGAAACATGGCAGCGACGTGTCCACCAGTCGTACCCTTCAAAATCCTTCATTTCCAACGGCCCTTTGAAGTGGCCAGTTTTGAGCACTTCAGTTTGGAATGACCCTTCAATATGGTGGCCTTGATTGTTTTTCACTCCAAAGTGCCCTGCAGATTCATCCCATTTGGAACATAGCCTGTTTTTGATGGACTTAGATAGAATATCCACCCTTGAAAAGCTGTGGCCATGCTGAGTTAATCGCTGTTGTTTAATTGTATAAAATGCTTTTATGATAATTTTTGTTGACCTTTTTCGCTCATTTGGAGCTTGGCAGTATAAATTGACATCCACTTTCATTTTATCGAAAACTGAAGCTTGTCTTTCTATTGAGTTGAACATTCAATGTAACCAGTCAAGTGTCTGAACATATGACTCCTAAGAGCCTCTTATTTTTAGTGAATCAAAAACATAGTGTTTACCCAGTGTTGCCTTATTTCTGAAAAGAATGACTCTCATGAGCCAGTTCTTGTAATGAATTGCTCAAAAAGACATTATAACTAAAATGTACTCAAATAAATCAATTTTAACTCTCTTTTTGTCTCTCAGTCCACCGTGATGAGCCGCGACGAGATCGAGCAAGAATATGAGGGCCTGGTCAAACGCTCGGAGCATCTCCTATCCTCAATGCAGAAGAAAAAGCAGGAGCAGGAGGAGACGGAGAGACTCAAGCGCATTCAGGAGGAGATGGAGAAAGAGCGGAAGAGACGCGAAGAGGAGGAGCAGTTACGCAAACAGGAGGAAGAAGACCGCCGCATGTGAGTCACGTTACAAGTTCAGTACAGAAAAACCTGTACATTAGGTCAGAGTCCCAGCACATTTGAAAGAAGAACAGGAGTTGAAAAAAAGGGTGTAGGAGGGGATTGGCAGAAAGATTAATATATCACTGGAGGGTTCGGCTTGACCTGCTCTCTCTTATGCATTCTCCAGAGCCTGCTGTCATGGACAGCATCTGTCATCATTTCACGAATCAGGTCATGATGATATTTCTATGTTTATAGTCTTGTCAAAAAAAAAAAAAAATTAGTTCCACACCAGCATAAGCAACAACAGTAACTTCTGTTATTTAGAGTTTGGTGTGGCCCGTTCTCCCTGGAGCCCTTCCGTATGGATTATTTTATTTTCTACACGTTCCTGTTCATTTAAAGGTGCTATATGTAAGATTTTTTGCCAATATGTGAATAGCTTGTAACGAAACTTAAAAAACAAGACCTTTCCTGACTTTCTGGGTTATGAAAGTTGTCGACGGACGCCAGCTAAATCAGAAGATTGTGATGTTTACGCATGCTCGAGAGCCCATGGCACATGAAATGAATGCTTATACAATGTTCATGATTCTATACTGTAAAGTCAATGTGTCATGCGAAGAAAAGGAATTAATTCAAACCATAGTCTCACATCTGTATAGTCTATAATCTCAAATATATACTTTATAATCTAACTATCATAACTAATTTGTCGACATGATGCTGGTCAATTGCAGAGCTTGTGGAATCATATCCATATCGCTATGATCAGAAGATTTCTTTACTGCCTCTTTCTCACTGCTGTCATTTTTGTTGTTTTTATTTTTTTTATTGAGATGAAAGGGCACAGCACATATTTACATATTCATCTAACCATAGCTCTCAGCAGAGTGAATTTCTTTTTACTTCTCTAAGGAGAATGAAAAAGAACTCGAATCACGTTATGCTAATAACAAGGGTTTCTGAATTCTACATATAGCCCCTTTAAGCAACAGGTCAAAAACATAACACCTTGTGTGAAGGTTTGACACATCTTAAATGGAATTAGATCACAGCTTTATTTATAAGTTGCTGCTCCTTTCTTACAAGAACACCCTGTATGAGCTTTAACACTAATATTGTGTATAATCATAATAATAGCCTTAAGTTCTTTGTTCTTTCTATGCGAAGAACTTTTTAAGAATGCATCTGCCATGCCAGTATAAAATTGAACCTGCCCCTAATGACATTTAATGTGATTTCCATAGTTTCAAGCTTTCAATGGAAGCTTTTAAAGCTAACTTTTAGACGCCTTTATACAAACTTACCAGATACATTTTGAAATTATATACTATGGATGGACAGGGGCCAACCTGGTGGAGGGGAATGTCAACGGCATTAGCGGGTTATTTGCTTATATACTCCAGGTGTCAAGCAGTGATTGCCTAGACCTATTAGTATGAATGAACGACGTGGAATTAGAGTCTTCCTGATAGAACTTACACTAAAAGCTTCATTTCATGAAAGAATCCTGAAAAAAATGAATCATGGTTTCCACAAAAATTATTAAACGGAAATGTTTTTTAAAGCACCCAGTCCGCATATTACAATGATTTCTGAAGAATCATGTAAACAATATAATTTGTAATTAAAGATGTAAATTTCAAATTATAAATGCAAAACTATTCTCTAGCGCTCTGAGACTTTCGGACACCGTGTAATGCAAATCACATCCCTTTACTGTGAGCAGCTAAACATTCAACTGAAATTGCTCCTTACAAATCTCCCTATTTTCAAGGTCTTTGGGTGGGCTAGGGTGCATATATAAATACGCAAATCCATGATCAACAAAGTTCAAAGAAAATCGCAGCAGATTTGGTTTGCTGTTTGTGAGATTATAGAAATACACCGTATAGGTCTTTTGATAGTAAAATGCTAACACTTAATAACAACGCTCACCGCGCACTATTCATTTTCAGCTGCTATTCGAGGAACTTGCTCGCATTACAAAGACTAGATGCGGTCCACGTTTCTCTGTGTGACAATTGTGAATCCACATGTGGGTGTTTTCAAATGCCCTCCTGTGGGTCATTGATCAGGAGGAATAATTCCCCACAGACCGAAGTAACTCATTAATGGTCCACCCTCAATCTCTCTTCCATCAGGAAATCCGAGATGGAGCAGAAAAGGAAACAGGAGGAAGAGGAGAGAAAGAAAAGAGAAGAGGAAGAGCGGGTCATGCAGGTGTGTATGTGTATACGCGCTCCCTCTGTGTATTGATTCCTCTCCTCCGCGTCTCCTTCGGCAAACCAAATGCCCACTCCGACTCACGCTGGCATGTTCAGAGCTGACCGGGACTGGCTGTTCTACAGGCATAATCATGACTGTATTGAGCTGCCACAGCGGCCCATGGGTTTATTCATCAGCCCCTGCCTACCTCCTGGGGCTGGATTATGCTGCGTCTGCGGAGTGAAAGTTCTCTCCCGATGGTGATGCTGTGTTTTGGGGCTTGGCTGACTTCCCTTGCACTGCTTCCTCTGATGAATCGCCCTGCAGAGACACTGTGCCCATGCTGACCAAAAACTGTTGCACACTATTAAAAGCTTCTGTGCTGCATTCTATTCTATTCTATTCTATTCTATTCTTTTTTATTTATAGGAGAAATGTAAAGAGTACAAATAAGCTTCACAGAAAATATATCCAAAGATCCTCCGTCTTTTCCTTATACATACAAAAATCTAACAGGATTCCTTCTGCAGTTATTAATTATATATACATATATATATATATATATATATATATATATATATATATATATATATATATATATATGTAGCCTAAACATACAATTGTACACACACGCATACACATATTCATTAACATGCATATGTACTGTACATGCCACCTACACACAAACATATGTTTATATTCAGCATATATTCTAGTCTAGTCTATTAACTGTTACTATGACCTTTATTAGTAATTCATTTTATTCAGATTTATTTTGAGATACACACACACAAACATACACATTATTTATAATGTAATTTAATTTAATTCATTCATTTTTAATGAATGAAGAGTTGTATATGTTAACATTGTTTCACAATCATTCAATTTGTTAATATTAAGGCATTTTGAACTCACAAGAATGAACAATTCGATTTTTTATCAACTACGATTAATCAAAAATATAGTCAGATATAAACAGCTAGGTAAAGCATGAACTAATATTATAAAGCTTATAAAGTAATTTAAGAAGTCTATTTTTTTAAATATTTTTTTCTGTGCCACTTCTATTAAAAGACTTCTGTGACCTTTTTCATTAAAATTGTCTGTTTTATTCTGATTCTATTCTATTCTGAGGCATTATCTGTTCCATTTTCTGTATATAATAGCATAGAATAGAATAGAATGATAATAAAATATAATCAATGTTTATTCTATCACCTGAAAATACAATTGCTTTTGAATCCTTGAATAAATTTAATACATTTGCAAAAGCAAACATTTGCAATTCACTCAAAGACTATTGTCACATTTTTTATAAAATCTTTATTACTGTGATTTTCATAATCCATAATATATCACTCTGTTTTCCACCAAGTCTCTCCTGCTTTTTGTAGTTTGATTCATAGCTCAGATTTATCATGAGCTGTATGTGCTGTAACCCTCTCTCTCTATGTCTTTGGGCATTACACCTCAGCTGCCTTGCTTTTTCCTCAGAATAGTACCTGCATCATTCTTCTTTCTCTCCAAGATTTTCTCTGATGAAAATGTTCCATCTAAGCTTTTCTTTTCTATCACTCCTTTGCTTTGTTTTACCCATGCTTTTGGACCAAGCTGCTGGGCTCTCTCCCAGATTGTTCTTACACATCTAAAACCAAGCTTTCATTTGATTTGTTTTAAATCATTTTCTTTTTTTTTTCATTTAACACAATCTAGACATAGAATCTCTGGCCGTCTGGCTGCAGTACAGCTTCGATTATATGCCTAATCAGACCTTGGCACACAGCAGCAGTGTAATGGCTTAATATCCTTTCAGTGGGCAGTGCAATAGATGGGTCACAGTGTGTCTAGGGCAGGGCCACCTTGATAATCTCTCTTCCCTCAAATGTACCAGACGCCTCTGGATAGAAGATTGAGGGAATTCTGTAGCCTACTTTAAACATCTTCGTGTTGATTGGACAGTGAAATGTTATGACCAAAAAGCTTCCGCAGCCCTCCTGAAAGTCAGCAATATCAGGGATTTAGCAGGTATAGACTTTTAAAATGACTTTCTCTTTCAGGAAAACGGCAAAAAAAGTCTTCATCTTGCACTCATGGGCAAAAAAAAAAATGAAAAAAAGATATTCGCTATTTTAAGAAAGGGGACAAGTTCTTCAACATGTCCTGTCTGGCTTGGATCTTGAATTTCTGGATCTTGTTGGTCCAGGTAGGGTTATGTATGCAGTGCTGGTCTAGCTGGCTGCTTATCAGCAAAATTTAGATGAAGCTAATCAGTCAGCATCTATATAGTGAAATTGGCCCATAAACAAGTTTTTGCTTGAGGACACCAGAAAACAGGCATCCAAAATCCTGGGATAATGTCAGCCTCGTTCGGCCCACCACAGATCAACACTCTGAGCTCAGATATGTGGCCATTACTGTTGGCACCCCCACCGGCACCCATTTGTATGCTTGTGTCTGTGTTTCTGTTTCTGTGAGTTGGAATAGAACGAAGGGCACAGGTGTGGTAAACGCCAAAGGTGTTGAGATTGTGTGTGCGTATTATTGATTTGTGGGAATGTATGTTGTTCCAGGCTGAACTTGAGATCCAGCTGGCATTGGACAGAGAGGAAGAGACTCAGACACAGACCATGTTGGAGCAGGAGAGGAGGGACAGAGAGTTGGCCATGAGGATCGCTCAGAGCGAGGCAGAACTCATCCAGGAAGAAGCCCAAATGGACCCCAGCTTGCGCAGGTATGCACGAACACACACACGCGCACCATAATAACAATAAAGTCGACATCTCAAACAGCGTCACCAGGTGAAATCATACAAAGAAAGACTCCACGCCGGAATGTTACCATTCATAAAACACACACAAATATGGAGATTTCCATCTGAAAAGAGCCTGTATGGTCCCGAGCCGCTACAGAACAACAAACAAAGAACAAGGTTCTGCCAGACAGCGTTACATAAATGCCATGAATCATTTTTAATGCGGCCAACTCGTGTTTCTACAAAAGCAGGTAAACAGAAACACGAGATGCCTGTGGTGCAGCACTCGGGAGTCATATTTCATTTAGTTAATGGAAGTGGACAAAGAACTGTCGCCTGTTCCTGATTTATGTATAATAAAATAAAAGGCTCTTTTGATGTTATTACACATGCTAACTGGGTGCTAAGAAGACCGTGTTGTCATCCAAACCTCTTTTTTTGTGCTTCCTCTCCCCTCCAGTGATGGTACCACAGGTGTTTGGTTCTTCACAGAGATGTAAGACATAGAACAGGCCCTGATTATTGTTTTTCCCCCTGATTTTCCACTTCATTCAGTCTAACCACACTCACCCACAGTCACGTCCTGTCCCCGTAATCTCACCCCAACCTAGATAGAGGATTAGTCATAGAAAGTCACGGTAAACAATGGGCTAATTCTTAGTTTTGATATTAACCTAAATACTTCATACATGAATGAATTCTTGGATTAAACAGAGACTTAGCACGTGGTTATATTTGTAGAATTATTATTTTGTTTGCCTACCAATGAAATCAAGGACACAGAAATGTAGTCCTTGGGAGTTTTTTTTTTCTTTTCTTACAGGTGTTTGTTGTTCATACTTTGAACAAACCCCTTACATTACATCATTACATATTAAACTTTAGTATGTAACTGAGCCTACAACATTTTTGATGAATGATAAATCAAATTGTATAGCTTTTGAGAAGCTTTTCTAAATAACAGGTTTACAATCATCTTGTTTGATGAATGATAAAATGGGCACAAATATCACAGGCGCTTAAAGAAAGATGCAAGTCTCGTTTAGCAAAGACCTGGAAAGCAAAAATAATTGATGAGTCTTTGGGAGCTTCTAAAGGTCTCTCATAGGTCAATTTCAATCTTATTTCCTAGGGACGTCAACAACCCTATTTCCATTTACTTACGTTTCCTCAAAATATAAGTTGGATATGGATGTGAAGCACAGCACCTGCCTGCTCATAGGAATTGTATGCAAACGCTCAGCATAGACATCTTCAGTTCTGGATGATGGCACTCAAGAAAGAAACTTGTTTGACCGGGATTGACATTAGTGTCATAGGGTTTTCAACACAGTAAAAGTGTTAAGCAATCCTTAAAATGTATAAATGTCATTGCTTTACTTAAAATATCAAACCAAGTGACATCTGCAAACAAATTAGTAAGTCTCAAACACATTTGTTTACTTTATACAAGCAAGCTTGGGGTTGGTAAGATTTGTTTAAAAAGGCTGCATATTTGATCAAAAATACAGTAAACAATTTATTTTAAATTGCTGTTTTCTATTTGAATATTTAAAAATGGAATTAATTCCTGTGATGGCAAAGATGAATTTTCAGCATCATTATTCCAATCTTGACATGATCCTTAAAATCATTCTGATATGATGATTTGGTGCTCAAGAAACATTTCTTATTATTATTAATGTAAAAAAAAAAAATGGCTGTGTTGCTTAATATTTTTGTGGAAAATATGTTTGTTTAAAAGACCAGCATTAATTTAAATTAGAAATATTTTGTAACATTGTAAATGTTTTGTCCTTTCTAAATAAAATTTATTAATTTCTTTAAAAAAAGTCTTACTAACCCAAAATACAATATAAAATATAATATAATCATATTTAGAAAATATGTTTATACTTTCTTATAACACAATTTTAGACCAAATGGCCTACCCTAAATAGCTTTATTGTTGTTCAGTGCTTTTGTTTTTTGTAGTTTGTAGTGTTGTAACTACTTTTTTAAAAATGTTTGCTTGAGTGTACAGTACTTTGAACACCCCAGCGCTAGTGTTGTGTGTCTGTGTGTGTTAGCACTCCACTTACACCTGTATGAGTGGGTTAATCAGCAGAGTTGCTGGTTCAGTGACTTCTCTCGCAGGGTCTCTGTTAAGCAGCTTTGCTCTTCACAGCTGTCAGAGTCGACGGAGTGTCCCTATATTCAGTGTCGCCATGTTCAGCCATGCAAGAGCTCCTCCCAGACTCACACTCGCTGCTCACACTGACAACCCCCAGTCTCTTCTGGGACACCTGTCAATGCTTTTTATGAGAAAGTTTGCTTTAAGACTGTAGAGGGTCATCATCACTTAATGACTTTAAATCTTGGCCTTAGGTACTGGAATAATTGTCTCCTGTGGTAATGCCTCTGGAGATCACAAGTCTTAAGTCGGTTAGGAAAGATGTGCTTGTTATTGAAGTCACCTAAACAAACAACAATCTCTTATAAATACGGTCATCAGAGTTCTTCATTAGTGGTCCTCATTGTATCATCGTTATTATTCCTCATACCGCTATACCATATAGTTGTTACTAAACACAACACCCTAGAAACACTCTAACAACCACTTAGAACACTCAAGGCTTGAATACACTCACAGAAAAAAGGTACAAAAGCTGTCACTGGGGCTGTACCTTTTCAAAAGGTAAACTTTTTTCCATTTTAGGTGCTAATGTGTACCTTTTAGGTGCTATTATGTACGTTTGAGGTGCTAATATGTACCATTAAGGTACCAATATGCACCCTTTAGGTACAGAAGTGTACCTTTTGAAAAGGTACAGCTCCAGTGACAGCTTTTGGACCTTTTTTTCTGAGAGTACACTACACAACTTTTCCCCCGATTTACAGTCTGGACAAGTTAATTATGCTAAATGTCGAAAGTCAGAGCCAGTCTGCAGACTTGACGGATTTCACAGAAAATCATGTACTGTAGTGATGGTCACAAAATGCCATCTAGTCAGGACATCAAACATGCTTCATATTTTGAGAGAAGACATTTGACACATCTTATAGCAACAAGGCGGGTGTTTCTGCGTGAATTTGTTCTGTTTGTAATGACTTGAAAGTTCGGTACTGTGTGATTCTCAGTCGTTTAGTGTACGATGCTCAGTTTTTCCTCTGTAACCAAGGCCTAAAATTAACACTCGCATGGTCGGTTATATCTTATGTTAACATAAATAGTTGAGAGAGAAAATGAATGTGTACAGTATCAATAGCATATATTAGATTCATGCAGATCTTAAAGTGACAGCAGCCTTATAATCCTGCTGTTGTCTGTGTCAGTGTTAATCAAACAACAAAAGACAAAGAGAAAATAACTCACTGCTCTCGTTTGAACAACTTTTTGCTTTAATAAGAATTAATCTATGTTTAATGGGTTAAACAGTGAAGACTATGCTTTGACTATTTTACATTTGATTACTTTATTACATTTCTGTACCTGAAAACTGCCTGTTTCGTGGCATGTAAAAAATATTTATGGCTGATAAAGTCAGTGGCCATTAGCAGGTATGGTAAAAAGTTAGCTTTAAGCCCTGTTTGTAACTCTTTACAAAGTTGGCAAGTAAAACAGATTTGATTTTAAAAGTCATGTACGATATTCCAGCCTAGCAACACATTAATAAACACAACGACCACCTACAATAGCAATACCTGAGCAGCTACCTAGAACACTCTAGCAACGGGCCAACAGTCTCTAAGGACTTTTATCAAATAGCCAATATGATAACAACCATTAAGAACATCTCAGCAACCATATACCATTCTACTAAAAGTGGCATTGGTATCACCAGCTGTTTTTCTTTGGCCACCCAGGACCACCTGAAACCATATCAAAAAACCACATGCTCACAGTAGTGATCACACACAGTACACAAGCTTTGAAATAGTTGGATTTTGTGATTAGAGTCATAGCTCTAGGGTGGTGATGTTTTGACCATTGTCCCACAGATCCTCACAGACCTCGTATGCCTTTAGTCAAGAAAAAGACAATCCCTGCTCTGATAGGCTTGGATCTCCCTGCACCGTGGGAGTCAGGACTGCAAAAACCCTCGCAAAGCTCACATGTGGCCTTTTCCTCGCTCACCATTAACCGTTGTTAACCGCCATTAACCACCCTCACTGTCGCAGCACAGTGTTGCCAAGGCTGTATCTAATTTGCTCATTGAGGTGTTAATTTGGCATGATCCGTGCTATTTCCATGTCATTACAAGTTTCAGAGAGAATGTATCTCCAGGTAAGTAGAAGGCCAATTAATCATCTGATTTTGCTGCAGCCTAGGGAACGTTTAGCAGATGGCAACGTGAGCTTAGGAGAACGATCAGATCCTTTGCCTATGGAGAGGTATGAAGCTAAGAAAAACTCAAAATTGTTCTTCCTCAGGGGTGCGCAGGTGCAGGCCAACAAGGTGGCTGCTGGGGTGAAGAAGTACGACCTGAGCAAGTGGAAGTACGCTGAGCTGCGAGACGCCATCAACACCTCCTGTGGTAAGAGTAATCAGTACCCTCAATCTGATCTCAGAACCTCCTGCTTACTTGAAACTGTTCATGTCAAAAAACATTGCATTTTGTAGACTAACATTTATTATTTTGTAAGATGGAGGAACTAGCATGTGATATTGTAAAGATTGGGAACTTGCATGATGATTAGAGATTGCAGCACTTCTGATTTTGGAGCTTGCTCTCACTCCATCATTTATTTTTTTAAGAATCAATGAATTATAATTGCTATCTTTTTATTTGGAGATCTCTTTGTTTATTTATTTTGATGATCATGAACCATAAAAACAAGAACTTCACTCCTTTTTTACTTTCTGGTCTGTCATGTTGCTTTAATTTCCAGGTGTTTATAGACTTGACAGAATTTTAATTTTAGAGTAAATTATTCCCCCTCAGAATAATTTATTTACCCTCATGTCATTCTAAACACATGATTTTATTTCTTCTATGAAACACAAGATGCTTGGCATGTTCATTTTCACAATTAAACAATATATATAGTGATCAGGGGCCATCAAGTTTCAAAAATGACCAAAAACCACGATAAATGTTCTTGTGGACTATATTTGACGTTTTCAGAAATTATTCAATGGTTTCAGAATCACTATTCACTGAAAACCTTTGTGAAGCTTCACTCTGTTGTTGCTCTCAAGTCTCATTTCTGCTCGTGAATATTCAAAGCTTAAATATGTGCATTCACTAACGAGATTTGAGAACTAATGGTGGAGGGCAAGATTAAAAGACTTGATGGTAACTACAGTGAATATAGTCCTATGGACAACTTTTATGATAATATTATGGTGCTTTTTTGTCCATTGAGCTTGACATTACCTATAAAAATTCACTTTTGTTGTATGGAAAACAGCAGCTTAATGATCAATAAAGCTTCTAAAAAGGCATAAATTAAAAATCTTTAATTAGATAAAAAATCATATATATTTTTTTTTAATCTTTAAGATTATAATTTAAGATTTAAGTTGTAAATCTAAAAATCCTATAATTTTATAAAATATATTTTCATGGATGTAATCCATATTTCTGAGTCAAGGAACAATGTATTTAAACAATTTTCAATTGGTAAATAACATTCCAAAGTGTTTAAATTCATTTTATGACTTTCTTTTAACTTCACCACTCATACTGTATACCGGTGTGTATATATATCAATCTAGTTTGTGGACGGCAGAGCCATCTGACATTAGTCGAACTGTAATATGAAGCTTTACCAGTAAATATGAAGATACGTTTCTAGCTTTGACTGATTTTTAAACTAAATTTTGGCCACCCCTGAAATGTGGTATTAACTTTCCTTGAGCTGGTGAATTAGATATGGATGAACGCTATACAACTGTGTACATTTAAGGATGTGCTTTTATTTCATGGATTAAGAACATCATGTGTTGAAAATGCATATGCACAGTTCAGTTGAATGATAAAATTTGCCCTCTTAAATGCTGTTAAACTGAATATACGAAGAAAACTTTGTTGAAAATATTCTGAAACAGGAGCATGCAGTTTATTGCACGTGAAGTTTGCGTTCTTTTACTATTGTTGTGTATATACATATAGTATGTGTCCACCCCCTGAAGGCCATTGTGTAATTCACACCCTGTGCGTGACAATGCAGTGCAGTACTGACTGTATGATCTCTCACCCTTGTAGATATCGAGTTGCTGGCGGCGTGTCGAGAGGAATTTCATCGTCGCCTGAAGGTGTACCATGCCTGGAAATCAAAGAACAAGAAACGAAATACAGACACAGAGATGAGGGCCCCCAAATCGGTCACCGACTATGGTAAGACATGATCTGTTTCCCCAAGAGAACGGTCTGCACGGTGGCAGAACAACAGAATATAAATTGTTCTGTGCAGTCGTGTGTAGCTGATGATTTCATTTGTAATGACAAAATGTGATTCAGCTTAATATTTATTCTGGACCTATACTCTGAACTTTTATCTTCCGTGAGTGTGTGGGTGCGTGTGTGTTGCAGCTGTTTCAAGATTGAGTGTGCAGTATTGTTTGTTCTTTTCAAGTTCCTTGCTGCACATTTTGTGATTAGCGTTAAAATTGTAATGCACATAATGCAGACAGACAGCTAGAAGCACATCTAATAACACCCACCGCCGTTTCAAGGAAATCAAACTTCTCGCTTATTTCCCTATTTTAAGGCACGTCACTGTGTTTAAAGACTTTAGTGCTTTTTAAAGTGTTTGCGCGTGCAGAACAAACAGAAGATTTAGAGTTGGGCGACCTGCAGGTTCACTTCAAACTCTCTGCCTCTCTTGTTGTCAAATCCTCAGATGTGTCTTAGCTTCAAACAGTGGAGTGTTTGTATCAGGTGCACGGGGCTGATGCTGCCTCACTCCGAGAGATGAAATCAGGCTTCTGGCTTTACAAAGTCAATATTAAAGTGCAGAGAACCTCTCTGAGAACTTTCTTGACATTAGCCAACCTCTGAATCTGTTTGATCCTTAGGGATGATGGATTTAATATGCCTACTTCTGCTTATGACGCACATGGTTTGTATTTTGAGCATACAGTATAAATATGAAGATTTGATTTGAACAAACCCTACTTTGGTGTGTAACTCATGCCGTACCATTTTTGCTAAGCACATGAATGATACCTCAAAGCATACAGTATTTCACATTGAGGAGATTTGTGAAAGGAGCCCCATCAAGGAAGAACTTAGAGACTGGGAATGTCTTATGCAACATGGTCTTCTATGGAGAGCTTGCAAGAGGAGATATGGCAGAAAATGCTGAATTTTGGAATCAAGATCAACCAAAGCCATGTAACTTATGTCACCATTCAGTTCTCATGTTAGGCCGGTTTGTGACGGGCTCTCAGATCACCTCGACCAAGGTCTGGCACGAGAACCAAAAACCATTGCAGTGAGCAAGGGAGTGAGCTTTTGAGCAGCAACATAATGCGGCGCAAGACAAGTTCTGAATTACTAGGTGTGGAAGGGAAGATAGTGATGTGTACAGGGAAATGACTCAAGGGTGTCCTACAAAAAAATTACAATTTATTTATATTATTGTTTTTAGGCACAGCATGTTTGTATTGTATTATTCCTTTATTTAGTTACAAAAATTAATGTGCAGGGTTGGATATTATCAGTGTTTTTTTTTTTTTATTGTACACAGCAGAAAGGAAAGCACCTTCCTTTTTGCCTGCTGCAACAAGGATGTCTGAATTGTTGTGTGTGTGGGGGGAAATTGGAAAAAAATAAAAATATAATAAGGGCACCAGAGTGACAATGAAAGTCCATGTGCTTAGATCTCTATCAGGCTTTTGCAACGGGAGTGGGACAAAACTTGAAAGTTGTAGGTAGGTCTATTTTTTTGATGGAGCGAGCGGGACTAAAAACAATCCATCCCGTGCAGATCTCTAGTTGGACCGTTCAGAACACGTGCATGGAAACATGGGTAAATTACACCTTAGCAAGTGTATTGCAATTGCAACTTATCCCAACACTCTAGGATCATGTCGACAAGTTTTGAATGGACAAGCTCCACTATCAGATTAGTTTAGAAAGTGTTAAAATATCGTTAAAGGGATAGTTCACTTTGAAATTAATTTTTGATATGTTTTAGCTTACCTCAAGGGCATCCAAGATGTAGGTGTCTTTGTTTCCGCACTATTTTCAATTTTGATATTTTTAGGTCAAGCCGTTCTTGTCTGTCAGTCATATAATGGAGGTCTATGGTCACCACCTCCAAATTAAACATTATTTAATGACTCATAAATGTTAGTACACATTGTGGCTATGGTTGCATGAGGTAAAAACTATATAAATACTGTGTGTTTTATCACACAACTTACTCGTTTCGTGTCTTAGGCGATCAATGTGTACTTTACATTTATGAGCGAGTCATTAAATCCTGTTTAATTTGGACTTCTCTGTGCATGCTCTTTGATGTGGTGACCATAGACCTGCATTATATGATTGACAGACAAGAACGGTTTGACCTAAAAATATCTGCAGAAACAAAGACATCTACATCTTGGATGCCCATGAAGTAAGCTAAAACATATCAAAAATGAATTTCAAAGTGAACTATCCCTTTAATATTGTATAATATCAGAGCTTATATATCATTAATATATTTTCTGTTCTATTTCTTCAGCCCAGCAGAACCCTGCTCCACCTGTCCCAGCCCGGCAGCAAGAGATCGCAATGAACCGACAGCAGCGTTACTTCCGCATTCCCTTCATAAGGCCTGCGGATCAGTACAAAGACCCCCAGAACAAGAAGAAAGGCTGGTGGTACGCTCACTTTGACGGGCCCTGGATCGCCAGGCAGATGGAGCTTCATCCAGACAAGCAGCCGATCCTCTTGGTAGCAGGTACCAAAAGCCTTCGTCAGTACTAGCTAATGTTTTGATAAGATAAAACAATAATTTTCCCCTACTGTGAACAATGAATTCTTTTGGAATTGAAAGATGAAATAGCTGAAAGCTTCACTGGAAAATGTGACTCTTATCTGCGGATGTGAGGTGTGCACCTAAGCTTAGCGTGGTGCCTTTTATCTTTTGATGTATCCAGGTAAGGACGACATGGAGATGTGCGAGCTGAGCCTGGAGGAGACCGGGCTCACGCGAAAACGCGGAGCGGAGATCCTCCCCCGCCAGTTTGAGGAGATCTGGGAGCGCTGCGGCGGAATCCAATACCTTAGGAACGCCATCGAAAGCAAGCAGGCCAGACCCACCTACGCGACCGCCATGCTCCAGAACCTTCTCAAGTGAACATCGCCCGTTTCTCCTCCTGGGCCACATTATCTATGCACGTGTAGATGTAGATGGTAACGTGGTGTAGCTAAAACAAAGGGATGTGCAACTCTAGTGGAAGCAATTGCTGTCTAATTATACTTTTTGTTTGTAGTTTGTTCTTCATTTTGCTGTGAGCGTAGAAACCAGTTTTCATACAAATCTGAGCCTTTCTTGAACCTATTGCTCAGAGATGCCTTAAGATTTTCAGATCTAATTCATATCTCATTTGATAGGGATGTTATTCAAATGTTACACTCATGTAAACCTGCTCATAAATCTAAAGTACACTAGGTGTAATCTTTACAAAAGGACACATTTCAGTGTGTAGAGACATACAGTTCTGTGATGATGGGTGTCATTTAAAATAAGATAACAATGATCAGACATTCCCCAAAAAATGATGTTATAACATTGCTCCATTGGCTTAACCAATGTTATGGGTTTAGGGGTGGGACCATCTGTTTGACCGACAAATGGTAGGTGTTCAGTCCTTTTTTCCACAGTTCTGCTATCTAGTGCCGCAGAAATTACACACTTCACCTTTTAAAATAAAATTCTATTAAGGATTTAAATGGTCATTATTGTGGAGCAACATTTAATATTTGAATACGTTAAATAACTAGTCAAAGTATATTTAATCTAATCAGATGATGGTGGGAAAGGCTAATGAGGGACATGCACTGGAATACATTAGGTTGTAATATTTTGTCTCGCCTTTGTAAATGTGGTTTCAAAGACATGCACCATCAGAAATTGCCTTTACGTATATTTGATAATGAATTTTATAGATGCATTTAAAAGCGGCTTCAGTTCATAAAAAGGATAGTCACTGCTGTAGTGCATGGTTTTGCTCAGCAATTTTGTACTTGAATCATGGTGATATGCTAAAGGGCATATTCATTTCTGTTCAGTGAAGTGATAATTGCACCTTTGTTAATGATTTGCTGTGAATTCTGTGGTAGATTTCTCTCATTTTTACATTTATGTATGTACCAACTCAAGGAAATATTTAGTTTAAATGAGCTTTTACTACGAAGTGTCTCGTTCTGCGTTTCTCTGACCCCTTTTTCTCATTTGGTCATGATAACTGCCTGAAGAACCGAAGTAATGGGAAATGCAATAACATTTGAAACATTTTGAAAACTTTGGCACCGACCAAATTGCTGCATTTGATCAATTTGCTGTCGTTATTCCCACTTTCATTTTTCATTTGCTAATGATTTTCTCCATTGAACCCTTTCTAACTGAAATCATGTAATCTCAAACTGTCGATATTTGTTTCTTGTCTGTCAATTTATCTTTGATGTGTCTGGGTTAATTATACTCTGATTTTCTTATTTTTGACTGGCCAGTGTTGCTCCAATCACTTTACTAGACCAAAATAAATAAATTCCTTATAAAACGTGTTATGTTTAGATCTTTGCATTTATAATAGCTATTAGGAGACACTCACTATTATCTTTTGAAGTCAACATGAATGATTCATTAGTGCACATTAAAGTTTAAATAGAAATTACTGTACTTATTTATTTTACAGCTGAAATATTCTAGAATGTTTTTTCTGTTTATTGTAAAAACAAAGATATCATCCCCACCTGTATTTTTGTCTTTTTTCCACAAGTGATACAATTAAGAGTTACAGAAATACGTTACATTCAATTTCTTTGTAGAAGAAGAATTTCTTTCTAGAAGAGATGGCTAGAATCTATTTTCTATTTAAGATACAACCCAATGTATCAATTGTAAATAAATACCTCATTGTGAGGAAGGAAACATACCTTTGACAAGGATTCAAAGCATCCAACACATTACATGTCTCATATACAATTTACATTTTTTTTCCAGGTACAATTAAACAATAACTTCAGGACTGATCTAAATCATATGTCCCCATTCGAAGGTATTATTTCAGTTGTCCAAGAATATGGCTGATTCTTGAGTAGAGCGGTTGTATGTATCAAACTCAACAAATGTCTACGAGAAACCAGCAAAGTTGAGTTGCTCGAATAGCACTGAAGAGCTTTGGTGCCTTGCTTAGCTTAAAAAAGTGTCTGGACCTCATAAAACAGTCACTTCAAAGCCTTCACTATCGGGACTTCTCAAAACGCAGAAAGAGGACCTGCTGGACATCTGCCACGTCTGTAATACAACATGAAGAAAAACAGCTTGGTCAAGAAGCTAAGAAAAAAAAAAAAAAAAAATCATCAGCAGTTGCATCATCACAATGCAGCACACCTTCCTGTGACAACTTTAAAGGGATAATTCACCCCAAAATGTACAATCCTAATGTATATCCAAACCTGTTTGAATTTCTTTCTTCTGCTAAACACAGAGACATTTTTAAAAGTTAACGTTATCCTTTTGTTGTTGATAAAATAAAGAATGGAATACCATAAACAACAGCGGGGCGTGTAAATAATTTTTATTTTAGAAAAACGGTGTGACCTGTCCCTCATTTAGGGTAATTTGTTGCTAATGCTAAATCAACGTGCAGGCTAGTCGCTGTGTGTTTGTTATAGCGTGCAGCCCAGGAGGACAACAACTCAGTAGATAAACACGTTTTCTTGCCATAATTTGTGGTACAATTAATGAAAAGAACAAGTATGATTTCTATGTATTTTTTTCGCTCGAACATAACTTATCCACAGCATTTGCGAGTTCAGCAGAAAACGATTGAAATGTGAGCGTCAAGACTTGTCGCAGATACGGTTTTACTCTCTGAAGGTAAATATGTATCAGCTATATTATTTAATTTAGTAGGTAATGTTACATTTGTGTTCATAGTAAAATATGTGTGAGCTTATCAAACATGCAGTGTCAGAATCTAAAGAAAGTAATTATTCGAACGGAAAGGTGAGAATATATTACAACAATATTTACTAGGCAATATTGCTTTGTTTTTCAAGCTCATACCTTGTTTAATATTCTATTGTTTACAAATCCTTCATAAACACTGCCAATTTAACAATTCCACTTGAGGATTAACGTTAGAGGATTACTTTCAGGAATAATCAACGTATTAAGTCACACTTGAATGAATACAAATCTAACATCAACTCTCATCCATGACAAATATTTAAGCCTACTAGACCAAATAATGCTGCTTCTGCTTTTCATTACATTACAGGATATTTATAATAACTTGCTTGATATACAGACATATTTATTTTGGTTCTGAGATAAAGAAAAGAAGAATGTAATTGGAAATGAACGTCGGTGATAGAAGGACGCAAAACATCTAGTTTTATATTATTTCATATGATAGTTAACATTTTGATGGGGAAGATAGAATAAATCAAGCTGTCGTGATTATTTACGTTTGCTGTTTGCATCAAATTGGTTGTTTTCACACCAGCTTACCTCGTTAGGTGTGTGATGGAAGTCAACCATTTCTGCTGTTAACTTTTCTGATCTTCTGGTGTAGAGTCTGGGGATCTGGGAAAGGAATGACAGACCACAATCAACCTTGAAACTTTGTTTGCCGTGGAGACAAAGACTTGTTAAGCAACGAAGCAAGGTACGTTTTTGGCACTACATCCATCTGTCAATATTTTGATGAGCAAAACATCTGTTGCTGGGAAAAAAAAAGTTTAATATTCGTAACATCATTAGTTTAGACAACTACAGATGGACTAGTCTAAATGAGATGCAAAACCCATGCATGCTGTCCATAATGTCTAGTTTTCTCTTTCTAATCTTGTGTCTTTGAAGGGCTTAGAAGAATAATACTGGATTTCTTTTGTCTGTAACTTGTTTAAGAAAATACTGTATCACTGTTTTGAATCTATTTTATTATGAATACATAGTGTGTTTACACTGTTGAGGATACTGATGCATGGATTTTGCTATAACCTTTAGTTTTTCTAGACAATGAAACCCTCAAAAAACAGCTGATTCGCCAAACTTGCTGAATTTAATGTCTATTCTGTATTCCTTCCCTTTACATAAATGTAGACTGTATTTTTTGCAGTGCATGGTTATCCTGTTCCGTAAGATATTTGAGTGCAGTGTCTAAAGCCAGATTTTAAGGGAATTACCTCTAACATTTATTTATTTTGAATATTGCACATATTCTGCAACAAATATTGCATATATTGTCATGCAATATTTGTGAAATATGAATCCCTGAATGAATTTCCTGTGAAAGATGGCAAAGTGGTCTGACTTAGACTGCTGGGGCAAAAGGGATTGATATAGTAATATAATCTTCAGTATATTACTATAAATTATAGTAATAATTACTAGTAGGAATATGAATATTGCTAACCCATATGGATGTGTTTTGGATTGTTTTTTGATTTTGAAGTCGATTTGAGTCAGAACAACAAAAAAATCTCTCAGATCAGAATCTGAAACGAAGGATTAGATATGAATTAATCATGGGTTGATTATGGATGTTAGTAGCGGTCATGGCATCGATTTAAATAAATAGATCATTAAGAATACCATCTTGGTTGTAAACTTTACCTCAATACTAAGTTGTATACTTTCAAGTGATCGAAATGTGCCTTGGCCTGAGTGTTGTAAGGAGGCTGAGTCAGAGCTCAAGGGACAGAGGATGCTCGACACATGTGTTAAGACCCCATCGTCATTCTCAAAAACTGGATTTACTCTCATAGTATTACCAAAGGGGAATGGAGATTGTGAACGCCTACAATGCAAAGGAAATCAGGTCTTAAAACCAACATGTTTAAAGCGGGTCAGCACTGCAAATCCAAATCTGAAAAGAAAGATCAAATATGTCTAAATAAAAAGAAAACCCTTCTTACACAAGTCTCAAGCTCTTTCTGGTCCGTATGCATTTCTTGTTAATGAAAATCAAGATGCCTATCACAGCACAAACCACTGAGAGGCTTCCCACCATGCAGGCTATGAGAAGGAGAGGGTCAATGGGCACAGACACCAATTCGTTGCAGCGTTCTCCATGGTAGTGCCAGAATTTACCTACGGGACATCTAAAAGTGGTTGAGAGAAAACATGTAAGAGAAGTGTGCATGCATGCATAGGAATGTGGCAGTTTTTTCCAAAGTGCCCCTGTTATGCTTTTTCGACTATTACCTTTCATGCAGTGCATAATACAGCTTTTTGCAAATGTAAGCTCTGCAATACTTTGAAGATCCAAGTGCACAACATAAAGTTATTGAATTCTGAGTGAAAGAATCGATTCTGAGCTGCTGAAACGAATCGTCAGTAATTATTTCTCACTTATTGTTACATATCTATGTAATAATGTAACAATTTTGCTGAATGGCAGCCTGGTCTTTATTGACTGCCCACGAGCAACGTATACTTTGACCTGTCCTCAAAACACTGTAGTTGTTGTAGCTGAGGCCTGGAAGAATTTGGTTTGTGTTGTCGACGAAGAAGAGAAGACGATATTTTAAAGCACTGCAAATCTACTTTAAAAGGATTGAGAACTTGCTCTGGAATTAATATGGAAAAGCCGACACCTGAAATTCAGATATGGTAATAATAATAAGGCATTTAATTTCCAACACGGGCTGTAAGCGGTAGATCGATCACAACTGACTGGGTCATCTGACCAATCAGAAAAGAGTAGGCTCCTGGAAAGGAGGGGTTTACAGAGACAGAATCGTTGAAGACTCTATAAGACATGAGTCACATTGCAATGCAATGTATATTATGACAAAATGTAAGTGTTTTTTTGACCTTGGATGCATGTAAAGCTGTTGAAGGAGACCAAAATTAGAAACATTTGAAATAGCATAATAGGGGCACTTTAATACATTATTTTAACAGTGGTAACACCAATGATAAATAAATCATTAAAAAAAAAAAAAAAAAAAAAAAAAAAATATATATATATATATATATATAATGAATTATTTTGTTCAGCTTCAGCAAAACAAATATAAAATAAATAAAAAAAATTAAATATCATAGTTAAGGGGACAAGAAGACCAAGAACTTGAAAATTTCAGATAATAAAAAAATGTGCAAAATGTCTAACATATAGACTGTCTGTAGCCCCGCCCCTTTTCATTGCTTCACTTGTGTTTTTTCTTCTGGTTTGTAATGAATGTCCACTGCAAAGTTAAGGTCTTAGAGATTTATGAATGGTCCACAACTTGTCAATGGGGTAGTCCCTATAAACGAACTTTAGTAGTAGGCCTACCTTAAGGGTACGCATTACTAATATATGGAAACTTTTTTCATCCACGGAATAAAACAATTTAAAGGGGTGGTCCAGAATTTCGGACATCGGGCCTCATTTCCAAGTTAGCCTTAGGCCACGTGTCCACCAAAGCGTTTTTCCACGTGCCTGGCGTATGTTTTCAATTGTTTTCAATGGGAGGGCCGCGTTTTTTAAACGCCATGAGCGTAACAAGGCGCTGAAGCTGAGCGATATTTTTTTTTATGCTGAAGCACCGAGCGCCCAGCGTTTTTTTACAGGTTTCCGAGAGTTGAAAAATTTTCAGCTTTGGGTAAAGCGCAGTGCTCATCACTGTCACTTTTTACCCACCCCGTCCAGTCACAGTGGAGGAGGGGCGGGACTAAACCACACTGACCAACTGTCACAACATTCTTTCTGTACAACGACATCAACCAGCAGAGCTAACCGAACAAAATGGATAAAAAAAAATTTTCAGTATGAAACAAATTATCTGCGAAATCAGTTTCAAGTAAACTGTGCTGCCGCGGATATTCATAGCAACGTAACGTCTCAACGGAAAAAATGCTGTGCTGCCAAAACGCTCTCAAGCGCCCAAAGTACGCCGTCTTCAGCAGAGCGTCTGGCGTTTTCAGCTGGTTAACACATGGACACATGGCCTTAGTGTTATTTATCAGTGGAGACAGTTTTAAAATTCATCCAGTTGTTTCAGTTGCGTAGTGCGAGTCAACGGTAACTGCTAGCCTGCCATTAAGCACCCACTCCACAGTACACCAAAAGCAAATAAATTACAACGCCAGACTATTGATGTAAATGTCTGTTGAGAGAAGTTTATATCTCACAATTCTGGCTTTTTAACTCACAATTGCAAGTTTATATAACACAATTCTGAGACAAAAATCAGAATTGTGAGGTAAAAAGTCTCAATTACCTTTTTATTTTAGATTTAGTGGCGGAAAAAAGCTTCCATACGAATAAGCACTCGAAGCGTAAATAAGGTACAAATGTGTACATTTAAAGGAACTTTTTCATTGACAAGCTGTTGTAGCTACCCCTATAATTTTAGCAAAAAAAAAAAACTTTGTATGCTCAAGTGGTTTTGGTTTCCCCCTACATCCTTGTATCTCCATCAAAATCAATTTTAAGAAAAGTAGCAGTTTTAGAAGTTCTTTGACATCCCATTTTCTCTTTTAGAGGTCACTACATTAATGTACCTGCAGGTCGCTCCGTGTCCCGGTATAATTTCACACTGGCCTCCGTTCAGGCAGTATTCCGGCTGTAGGTCACAGATGCTCGTACAGGGCTGGCCGTCCACTGTGCTGTAGCCCGGATCACACAGACACTCGGGCTCTGTGGTTAACGTGTTCACCACGCAGCGGGAGAACTCGTTGCATGCCGTAAACTTACATGGATCGACGTGATCGGCTGGATTAGACAATGAGAACTAATTGGATTGAAATACTTGCAGACAGACAAAGACGATTAAAGACTTAATACAGGTGTTGGTATCCCTTTACGTTAATGTGGATGATTTTGTCTACTGCTCTGCCCCATTCACGCTGACAGCATTTGTATTGCTGGATGCTTAAGGTCTGGACGCCCTAATATAATTAGTGTAATTTGTAGATGCCAATAACATTTGAAAATCTCAGCACAAATTAGATGCATTGTTGTTAAATAAATCAGTTGTTGCTAATAATTAACATATGGTCTGGTGAAATTGGCTAGTCTCATTGATTTTTATTTATTTATTTATTTTTTTTACAGCAAATCGCAGTCAGCCTGAACAGCACTTTCTTAAAAGGATAGTTCACCCCAAATTTTAAAATCATTTTTGAAAACCATTTACTCACCCTCATGTTCTTCCAAAACCTTTATGACTTAGTTTCTTCTGCAGAACACAAAAGAAGATTTTGAAGAACATGTGGACCCCAATTAACTTTCATTGTATGGACAAAAAAGGTACATTTTAGTTTAGGGTCCAATTATTAGCATGCATATTACTAGGATATTGGCTGTTTTATTGGTACTCATAAAGCCTTGTTTTCCACGACCATATTCTACATCCCTAACCAAAGACTATAGGAAAGATGGTTCACTCCTACTTATGAATGGGAGAATCTAAAACTCGCAAAATAGGGGAATACGTCCTGCCTTCCAAGTAAAAGAGCCAATCGCTGATTGGTAAAGAGGACAGTTCATATCAGATTTTGTTGCTAATTTAAAATATGTAATTTAATTGTGAGTTCAGCAAGCAGTTTTTGAGATTTCAGGATTCCCCCATTCGAATAGATAGGACTTGGTCTTGGATGCCCCAAATAGCTCCTCGGAAGCGTTGCAAATATGGCCGCCGAGTTAACAGACTTTCCTTGAAAATGAAAATAGACTTTGATCCTGGCTTTTTTTATTTTATTGAGGCAAGAATTGGACCCTTAATCTAAAGTGTGACCTAAAACACGCTAAAATAAATGTTCTTCTTTTTGTTCTCCAGTAGAAAGAAAGTCATCGACATTTGGAACAACATGAGGGTCAGTACATGACAGAATTTCCATTTTTGGGTGAACTATCTCTTTAGATCAAGGGGGTCCAAACACTGTCCTATAGAGTTTAGCTCTAACTCTAAAACACACCAGCCTGGACATTTCTATTGCCTAGAAAGATCTTGATTAGCTGGTTCAGGTGTGTTAAATTAGGGTTGGAGCTGAACAAGACAGTGGCCCTCCAGGTGCAGGATTGGACACCTCTGCTTTAGAGGATACCTGTTTTCTCTTTTCAACTCCGTCCTTACCTGCTTCCACATCCACTGATTGGGAGTCAATTTCCATATCCAGTCTCTTCGACGCTGCATTGCAGAAGTCCGCAAGCACGCACTGCACCTTCTCCGTAACATTATACGGAACTGGTTTGTTTAATTTCATCTTGCTGTTTACCACCACACTGCCATTCTTAAAGTTCAGAATCTCCAGCTCCTTAAATCCAGACAGGTTTGACTGTAGATACGGCAGGAGCTGCGGGGAAGTAGAGATAAAAGTGAAATCGAGTGAGTTGCGACTACTTTTTCATCATTGCTGACTAGTGCAGACTGGTTAATTGTGCATGAACGTAATGCAACTCAGATGCAAAACTTTTGGGATTGTCAATTCTAAAGCAATTCTCCTCAATTCCTCGAAACTAAACGATTTTGTCTTGTGTCTCTCTCTCATCATATTATAATATGCAAAATCTTCTCAATGCTCATTTCATTCCGCATGAGGAGGGCCAGTTAGAGATAAAGACGGTTGTTCAGGAGAAATAGGGCATAGCAGCTCAGTCATTCATCTCAAGCTCAAGATTGCAGGAGATTGATTGCAGCAGTAAAACAAAAGATGGACGTCTTGAGGATATGTCACTTGCACAAGAGTCACAGATTAGCATTTTGAAAATGTTATTCAAAATGTAATATTTTTGTTTAATGGGATGTGTTGTTTGTTTAATGTATTAAAATGAAAACCTTATTAATCACTTATTTAATAGATAATGAGGAATTAACAATTCTAAAAGTCAAAAAGCCTTTTTTAAATATTTAGTCTCACAATTTTGAATAAAAACAAAAATGTTTTCACTTCAAAATATAATTAATATTTTAGATTTAAATATTAAAAATGTTTTTGTTAAATTAAATTAGATTTATTTTAAAATATTATTAAGGATTTCATAGTTAAAGGAGAGTGAATGTTAAAAAAAAAATCCAAAACGGCTTGTTTTATAAAAACAAATACAAGTAGGAGAACAAAAGGCCTGAGATGATGTTGTATTTAACTAAGTGCATGTATAACAGGAGATAATCTGTATTAAATGTTAGACCTGATCTGCCAGTCATGATCAACCTCTCACCTCTTGGCTAAGTGCCAGTGCAGAGCAGGTGTTATTCTTCCCCACAGGGCTAGCTTTGACTCACAGCTCAGGCTCAATCAATGTTACTGTCTGGCTGATGCCAGTGTCGTGACCTTTTATTGCCATCACAGGACAGAAGGATCAGCTAATATATACAGTAGTGCTCCTTTCCAAATAGTTTGATAAATTAATGAATTATCACAGACAGCAGCAGCATTGTCGTGCATCCCTATTTTTGAATACTGATTGATTCTAACACTATAGCATGGTGCCTTGTATCTACTGGTTTATAGGGATCTCTCTCAGTGCTGTTCTGTTCTATGTTTTTTATTATAGTTTTAAAATATGTTTAATACTTATAAATATATATTTTAAAATATTAAAATTTAAATGAAAACATTTTTTTTTTGGTGTCCATGTCTAATCGAGATGGTTGCTACACAAACCAGTAGAGACAGGAGTATATGAGCATCCTACAAGGTTGAGAGGCTAAAATCAATGCAAACCTAGTATAGGACTAAAATATTGCAGTTGTCTCTACAAAAGCGACAAATACGTTGAATTATAAATGGGCGAAATTGAGGTGTACGGTGAAAAATCTATTTTTTTTTTTTTGCAGAAAATGCAAGAACATAAATATCTAGCGATTATCAAATTACCCTTTGAAAGCCCATTTATGAATCAATAAACCAATTTTACGGCCATTTTACCCAGATACTTACCAGAGTAGTTCCTGACCAGATTTTTAGTAGTTCATGTGATAATCCAAAAGGTCTCATTGTACTGGCGTTAGTCATGACAAACTACAACACAATACTAGTTTGGGCAACCACTTATTATTGGAAATGGAGTTTTGTATCTTATGATTCACACAAATTAAAATAATAATAAGTAAAACAATATCGTATGAAACAGAATCCTCCCTTTAGAACAGTAGTCCCCTTTAGAACTGAAACCTGCAGACTAAAACATTTAGGAATAGTCGTTATTATAGTCTTTAACACACATGCAAACCAGTCTGGACCAGTCTAGATAGACTATTAAAAAAATATTTTAAATAGGTGTCTTAAAAGAGATTGCATTCACCCAGAACCATTCTCAAACAATCCAAAAAAGTAGCTACTGTTTGTTTGCTTTTATTACAAATTATTCATTGAACTGTTAATTTTAAAATCAACAAAAGTGCTTTGTCATTGATGTAACACTCTAATAAATAACATTTGGAGACGGATTACATTCAAGGACACGTCTCACCGAAGAACAATTCTAAACCATTAGGCTGCCTAACCAACTAAAATCAGTTCTGAGAAACAAAATAAGACAGCAAGTCCTGAGGGATTTTTTTTTTTTTGGCATGCTCTGTTTTTGGTTGTTTAATTCAACAGGATTGTGAAAATTATTTCCTCTGTGTTTTACACAAATAAGAAAAAAACAACAACTTTATTCGCAGATATACAGGTTTAGCATTTGATAAGAGTACATACTCTTATAATGCTTATGCACATATTCCATGCACATATAAAGATCCTGAGAAACCGAACACAGAGCAATAAGGCAACACTCATACTATCTAGAATTAAACAAGTACCAAAAATATGTTGCAGGTTGGGCAGACAAGCCATAGAGTAAGCGTTTAGCTTTGGTTAATGCTGGTTAGAGAGCTCATTAATCAGCAGTTATTAAACATGGTTATTTTGATCAGTTGGAAAGTTATTGGAAAAAGGTGCTGAATTTAGTGCCAAAAAGTGATCGGTTATGCTTTTTCAAGCTTCTATATAGATGTACCGGTATTGTGGCTAATATCTTCTGCTCTCTCTCAGTCACTTGACTAGAGGCCTCGGGGTTTGGCGAGTCGCTTGGTTCAGAGAATTGCCTCTAGTTGAAAAAACAGGATATTATAAGATATAATCTGAATAAAAACAACAACACTTGGATATGAAACTGCTGTAAGATTGGCTTAGATCTGTTCTGAAAGTTCCATGTTTGTAATACTCTTCTCCACATTGTATGTGAGTGTAAATGAGAAGTGTAGAGTTGGAGTTGAGTGTTTCTCCCTGGCCGAGTAGTGTTTTTTGTTGTTTTTTTTGTTTTGTTTTTTTAAGTTGAAGCTTAAAAAGTTGTAATAGGATTATTCTGGGTAGGTTTTCTTTCCAGTAAGCATGGAGTGACCAGGGTGCAGAAAATGGAAAAGGATGTGGAGCTGGAGTGGTGTGATTACACATCATTTTGAACAGGGAGGAAAAATGGCTCCACTCATATGCTGTTCAAGTCTATGTTGCTTGGTGATATAGTTGTTTTGGAACAACTGGCAAAAGTTTGTCTGAAATTTAAGCTTCCCTGTTTTCGCTATATCGGCACAATTGTAATTACCTACCTATGCTAATTGTTTAATTGTAGCTGTGCCGATATTTAGAACTACACCACTTGTGCTTGTGTGAGATTGCAAAATTTTCTTTAGACATGGTCATACATGGTTTCACCCTGTGTTTTTCTGTTGAAATCGAAAAGTAAGGTAAACAAAAGTTCACAGAAAAACATTTGAAGTGACAAAATAAGTATCCTCGCACAAAATATACAGAAATGTAATTAAATGTTTCTGTCAGTCACCCAAACCCTATTTACATTGGCTTTATAGAAAAATGCACATTACATTTCGAACAACACTGTTCTCAGATGCCATCTGTCAAAATACTGCAAATGACACACTTTATCTATTCAGTTTCCCAGCATGCACTGTGGCGCAAATAGAAAAAAGTAAAGCTAACCACAAAGGGAAGATAACAAGGCATGTAGCAAGAGAAAGTCAAAGACAAAAGTGTGTTTACCTACCAGTTCAAGAAACGTGTTCTCCAATGATTTGTACTCGGGGGAACTCTTGTTGAAAAGATCCTCAGAAAACATCAAATTAGTCACACGTAAACTAAAAAACACCACTAACTCTTTGGCCTGGTTAGAAGCCATCATCGAAGGAGTGGTAACGTAACCTAGAGGATGACCCGCGGATTGTGGATTCTCGTCGATCTCTGAGGGGAATCCACCCCCAAAGTCCAGAGTCTCGTCCTCATCAGACTGCTCTACAACTTCTTGTATGTCTCTGTCATTATCTGTACTACCTTCTTGTGGGGGAAGTGAAACTGTCCAGAGTGTCTGTCCCCCTTCCTCTTGGAAATTGTCCGGGATCAGGTGTGAAATGAGATCGTCTGTGGGCGTTAGGTCAGAGGGAATAGCTTCTGGGATAATTGGTTTTGGAGTGGTAGGTCCAACAGGATGGAGTGTGTCTACGGTGGCATTGACAGATGGAGACTCGATGTGGTCACTAAGGTCAACTGAAGGGGGCAACTCCAGGCTATCAACTGAAATGGTAGGGTATAAAGGAAGTCCTTCGGTAGAGGTCTCTAAAGGTTTGGAGGGGCCATTTGTGTCCTCTCCTTGAAATACAGAATCTTGAGCTTGCTTAGTAGTTGTTAGGGATGTCAAGATTGATGATGTTGCCTCTGCAGGAATAGCCTCTGGTGTCATATCAAAATCCATTTCAGGTTGAGCTGAAGTAGATGCTTTTGCCACTTCAAAAGATTCCAAGTCCAGTGTTGGAGCCGTTGCAACAATTTCATTTCCTACATCCTCTAGGACTTCAGACAATTTTGATAGGGGATCCACTGTAGTGGTTCTTGGCAAACCTGGAAAACAAAGAACCAGTTTCAGAGAGTGTATTTTAAAGTGCTTGGAATCTAATGTGAAATTAATTTTCTCATTCATAGGCTGCCTAGCTTAAGGGTCTTCGTAGGGAAGCGGGTGCTCTTGTGCACTACTCACTACAAATGAGAAATTTACCTTTGATAGCTAAAGTGTCTTCCGTGATTTGACTTGCTGTCTTACAACCCTCAAGTTGGGAGTTGTTGAATAGCTCTGTGGCCACTGCTAGTGTGGGGACATGGGACGATACATCAAGTACTTTATGTACATCACTCCTTTTTCTCCCCTCACCTGAAACTGTTTGAGTTCTATCAGGGCCTAGATCCCCAAAAAAGCTCCCCACACTTCCAGAAGGCACAATAGTTTCCTCCGAGTTGGCTTTTGTGGACTGTGTACTCATTTCCCCAGGTAAAAATCTCGATTCTTTACTGAACCTCGGGTTTTCTTGCTTGTCTGCTCCTGAAGAGTCTGTACAGGGCAATTTAGCTAAGGTTAAATATTTGTAGTCTGTCTAGGTCCTTTATATTGATTTTATCGATTTTGTGTACCTGGTTCGAAAGTTAGGGAAAGCACGTCCACAGGAAGTGATGTGTCCTCACTTAGCGCCTTGACCACCATGTTCTTCAGGAATCCCTCTATGCCATATCCATCAGTGGAGTCTGTGTAACCTATGGCCTGTGTCCCATCAGTCTCAAACACTACAGCATAGCTCGCTGCAACACCTCCAGCTCTGACCGATGTTATGAAGGGAATTGTTAGAGGTTTGTTGTTCACTGCATCACTCTTGTTCTCTTTAAAGGACCTCAATGCCCATTTAAAATCTCATAATCATATTTATCACTGACATATAAGGTTTCAAATCTTATGAGAACTGATTCACATCGTATAGATGTACCCTCTTTTTGAATGTGTTTTATATTTAAAAGCATTTGTGGTTTTTGGAGCTCTAAAATCAATCTCAACAAAACATCAGGGTTAATTTTCATAAGTATAGTATAGAGTATAGTATAACTATATACAACTATCTACAGTACAACACAACATAATGGTACAGTACTTGAAACGCAGTTGTTCATAACACAATTTCCCAAGTATTTCTTCAAATACTTACCCTGAGTTGCTCCTGTGAGAGAATTACCCATCCAAAAATACAATTTTCAAGTTCAATGGACTGCAATGTATCGGTGAATCCCACAGTTAAAACATCAACCTACCTAAATCCCAGCACTCGAATCTCTTTAAACCCAGGAAGTTTTTCGAATACATGCAGCATCTGCAGAAGTGGAAATAAAAAATATTTTTAGACATATTTGCAATATCTCTTTTTTTTTTTTTTTCAATATTCAGTAATCTTTGTATGGTAGGTTACAAATCCTCAGATTATGGATTGTCAGACATGCTGCCACGCTTTAAAATCATGTGCCATGGCTCTGGTCTTTTTTTAAACTAATCTCAAGCTGCCTTCTGAAGTTACCCAATTCTTGTTTGGCTTTCCTGTTATTTGATCTTTTACGGTAAGCTACTTTCAAATCTACTATATAACTTTGTCTTTGCCTTGTCTATGTAGTTTCAGAAATGGACAACCTCTGGGACTTATTATTTATTTGTTTTTAAAATGGCCAAAAAAAAAGTTTTCTAGAATGTTCTTAAGACAATTCCACTATTTCTGCTCATTTCCTCAGAATTATGTAATTAGTTATCACTCATTACCCATGAATCTAGCTGTTCCTTGACCATAACTCTACTTCATATAAACTATTAAGTTAAAGTCCCCCTGTGGTGATAATCAAGCTTTTAATGTTGTTTTAATGTGGTGTTTTTAATAGGCCTATGCTTTGAAGGTGTGTTGTGTAATATTTAGGAGGAACCGTAGACTGCAATTCAATATAATGTACATAACTGTTTTCAGTGGTGTATAAAGACCTTACGGCCACTGTAACTTTTGTTGTTTGCAATTTGTAACCTTAGTACTAGATGCTGCTTAATCACGCAAAACCGTGAAAATGATACTTTGTTCTCAAATTGTTCATGTTAACAACGTCAGCATTGCATGACTACATGTAATGTCCTTCCGATATGTATCCTTGTTTTCGCATTGGTCAGGTTGCAGTCTCTTTTTTTCCCGCAGCCACTCTGAAGTCTCATTTCTTTAAGTAAAAATAAATAGTCCTAACCTGCTCGTGAAGATTGCGAGTGAGGTTTTCATATTGAGGGCTGCCTGGATCCCTCAGTAATGCGCTGTAGACGGGGTCTACTACAGTCACGCTGAACTCCACAATGTGCTCCCCCATCCTCTGAGGGACAGCATCTGGTGCCCCAGTTTCCTATCAGATCAGAGAATAGTCAATTTGTTTGTTTCTAACTTCATTAGTATGTAAAGCCCATATTCTAAGCACACGTTAGTAGCCATACGCTGTCAGATTCCATGATGACAAGCTCAGCAGTACTCTTTGAACCTGAAGCATAAAAAGCCATCAATCAGTCACGATTTTACAAGATCAACCAGTATTTTTTTTTCTCTTTCGGATGGTGAGGACTTACATTTCTCGCCTAGTGCAGGTGTCACAGCCCTAAAAATAATTGAAAACATGTTGAGAAGGGATGAATCAATCCGAGAATGATAAATGCAATAAAATTCATTGTCCCCGATAACAGGGTTGACTGCATATAAGCCCGGGTATGTTTGTGTGGCTCTAACACCCAAGCGTAATATGTCTGGGCACAGATCCCTCTTATTAAAGTGGATCAGGTCAGAGAGCAGTGTTTAGCTAGGCCACCAAATATGAGCAAACTTTGTTTTTTAAAGGACAGGCTGAGATTTTCTCATCTCCCACTAGTCAGGTGACCTCATTCTAGATATTCTGAAGGGTTTGGGCCCTAAAAATGAAGACAAGTAAATCGCCGTACCATGAACACTGAACCCAAGAGGCCCTTGAATTCAAGATTCTTACCTCTCCTGTTCATCTTGAGCATCCACTCTCTGTAAAAGATATAAATCTCTTTCAGAATTTTCAAAAAGAAAGAACCATGTTTTTCAAGTTAATGATATTGGCACATTTGGGCTGTATTGGCAAGACGATTGGACTGAATTGGCAATCGGACACTTACTCTGGCTACCATGTCAAGATGCTCCTGTGTGCTACTAAAATTTCGGGCCAGATCCTCCATGCATAGCGAGTCTCTCTGACAGGCGTACACCCACTGCTGGTACTCCATGGTGTCAGGAACTCTGTCAAGAAAGATCCGGAAGGCCTCCCACACAGCTTCTTGACAAACTGTTAAAAAGCATGGGAATTATTTAGAGAAGGCTGTTTAGAGAATTGTGTTGAGATGACTGAGAGGACTAACAGAAAAGACCTGATAAAAACAGGCAAGGGCACCAAAAATTAATTATATGACAGAGGCATAACATACTTAATAGTATTTAGTATGCAGCCTTTTCCTGCCATTATCTCATTTTGCCAACACAGTTATTATGGACATCTAATTAAGAGTATCTCTTAACTGCATCTGACAGATAAATATGCCTCACCTTTAGCTTGTTTGTTCCAGTAATTTAATATCATGCTATCTGCTTAAAATGTTTTGTCAGGTAACCAAAAATATTGCTTCATGTGGTGTTATCTTAATTAACTGGTTTTAGCCAAAATATTATTTAATATGACTAAATAAACTTGACAGCATTAGCCTAGAATACACCAGTGAAAGTCATTTTTAATGCATACATATTCACTTAATGGGACACTTCATCCTATTTACTCTCTTTTTTTATTCATTCTAAACCCGTTTGACTTGTAATTTTACGATTCTTTTATCCAGGATTTGCATCCAATTTTGAAAGCTTCTGTCCACATTCATTGTTATCGCAAGGCAAAAACAAGTACCACATTATTCATAACTTCTAGTGTTGTGTTCCACAGAACTCATACTGGGGTGCGTTTTCCGAAAGCATCATTATTGAAATGATGCATTATTATGAGGAAAACTATTTAAACACAAGGGAAATCATTGTTGTGTCCATGACGATGGGAAAAATAGGCATAAACCTTATACACATTTACCCAAATTATCATATACATGTTTAACCAAAGCTAATTTGGGTGGGTTTGTCCCATCCCCAATGTCACTTCTCTTTCTTTTACGGCCCTGACGAGAACATCGATCTCCTCCGCTGTGAACCGATTGAAGCGCGCCTGGTAAATGCGCCGTGGGCCACGGAAAACAAGCTCACCTCGTTCATCATGCTCTTAAAGGGAATGTGATATGACGCTCTTATCGGTTTGTTTCCCGTTACGCCCAAACCACACCTATGAATATTGAAGCTACTTCAGACCAACCCGTTTTAAACTTGCGTCGGGTGCAAGAGTCATTTATCCCGCAGTTTAAATAGCAACCGCGCCCAAGACCCACCCACAAAGTTACTTGCGCTTCGCACTTGATACTTGCGTTTCAGATCGTTACAAAATAAGTCTTTAAAAGTAGGTACACTTTCTTGGCTCAGAGCCTTTTTTCTAGCTTGGCTTGATCCTTAATCTCCCAGAAGGCTGCAAAATGATTGTGAAGTTAATTATGATTTATGAGGATCTGAGGTGTTGTAGCCAAATTTGGCTCTGATGTTCAAGGCTCCGTCCCCTGTGGTGTTTAGGGTAGAAGTTGTCCTACCTCTTAGTTTGTAGTAGGCTTTGTGGCTGGTGATGATCTCCGCCATACTCTCCTGAGGACAGACTTTCACCCCCGTACTAAACAGCGCTGATCTCTTTGCTCGATGCCCGTTTAGAGAAAGTGAATCTCTGCCATCTGTCGACTGTTTGATTGGCTGTGGAGTCTCCAGGAAGTGCCTGTACTTCACATTTCTGATCCTGAGAATCAAGTCGTCAGCCGTGAGTTCTGCAAATGTCACAACAACAACGTGTGTTCATTGTTTGGATTGACTTTACCTAAGGAAGTAAGCCAATTGATAATATAATTACACTTCATGTAATTACGGTAACCCAGAGACCATTTGAAACCTTTAAGTCTATGATTAGTATGCTGAATGAACATTTAATTGGATTACGCCTAAGTCAAGCAGTCGGTTATAACACCAGGCAGATGTTAAGCGCTTTCACTAGATAAGAGTTGCAAAGGTCTGCTCTCTATTTGTATTAATCTAATTGCATTTCCTTGGAACCACATTTTTTATGGAAATTCAAAACTGAAAGAAAGTCAAAAAAAATGTATGTACTGAGTTTACTACTACAATTAAACATAGTTCAGCTGTTTTTGTTGATAATGAAACTCAGTGGAGTGACAATGTTGGACTTTGTTGTATGGGGTTAAAATTTTTGCATTATTCCAAATAATTAGACTGAGATTCACAAACAAATGTAAAGAGAGTCACAAAAATGAATCAAATTCACAAATAAATGTAAAGAGTTTCATAAACATTTATAAAACTTGAAATAAATAAAATGAGATTTGCAAATAAAAAAGAAATGTACAAATGTGTTATGTCACAAACACAACTCTGCCTGGCATTTATTTGTGAACCGCTTTCTGTGCATTTGTAAATTGCTGCACACATGCAGAAAAAATCCACAAATAAGTAGACTCCACCCACTGTTTACTCAAGCCAATCAGATTACGGCCACATTGAGCTGCCAATCGTAGCACGTTCTCGTTACAACTAATCACTTTTGGCTGTACAATCAGGGCACTCTTGCCCTGAATTAACTTTGCTCGTTCATCTGCATTGGCTCAAATAGGAAGTGTAAGGCTAAGGCACATACAATTACTACAGTAAAATATGTTTAAAATTTCGATTTCGTTCGAGTTGTTTGACCATTAGACTGTGTATCAAGCCAAACCACATTAGTTTGAGCCTTTGAAAATGCCAGAGAAACAGCGCGTGCATCTCTGTTATAACTAGACTTAAAAACTTATAAATAGTAGCCTATATTAAACATTAAATACCTGTATTACGATTCCCTTTTTTTAGAGAAGATATAGGTGGGTTCTTTTTAAACGTATGACAGGTTTTTGCATTACAAGAGATATAATGCATTTAAAAGTAAAATGCCTAGCTACAAGCGATATGCATTTATTTGTCAGTTAAAGGGTTAGTTCACCCAAAAATGAAAATTCTGACAGTATTTACTCACCCTCATGTTGTTCCAAACCTCTATGTGTTTATTTGTTCTGCTGAACACAAAGGAAGATATTTGGAAGAATGTTTTAATCAAACAGATCTCAATCCCCATCGACTACCACATTTATTTTTTCCTACTATGGTTGTCAATGGGGAATGAGATCTGTTTGATTAAAACATTCTTACAAATATCTTTCTTTGTGTATAGCAGCTGCAGAACAAATACACACATAGAGGTTTGGAACAACATGCGGGTGAGTAAATACTGACAGAATTTTATTTTTTGGGTGAACTAACCCTTTAAAATATAGTCACATAGGGCAGTGTGTTTGTGACATAAAACACATATGTAAATATATATTTTTTATTTGCAAATCTAATTTTATGTATTATTGAGTTTTATATATTTTTGTGAAACTCTACATTTATTTGTGGATCTTAATCTATTAATTTATGAATTGATAGATTTTTTGTGAATTTCTTTACATGCATTTGTGAATCTCAATTTATTTATTTGGAATAATGCAACAATTCTAACCCCATATTTTGACTTTCATTGAATTTTTCAAAATGTCTCCATTTTTGTTCCACTGAAGTCAAGTATTTTCGGAACAATATGAAGGTCAGTAAGTTAATTTTTACAATGATGTTCCATTCAAAGATCTTACTCGCTAAAGACCATCAGGTTGAAGACTCATGCTGACATCTAAGAGTATTAAATTAACTCAAGGTGACCCACCTTCTGACCTGTTACCTAATCAGTTATGACCTGAGCTGGCCACATATAGACTTGCACCTGCGTTTTACTGGTATTTACAGAACAGTGAAGTTTAGGGTGGATGATCCTGAAATTAGAACAGCAAAGCTCACCACATTAACTTCAGTTCATATCATTGTCACAGTGAACATATGCACTGCATAATGACAACGATGCATTTAATTACCTACTTCAGCATCGAAGCAACAATTATACAGTTAATAGCTCATATAAAAATACATCTGGATGTTTTTTTTCATCAAATTAAGACTAGTTTAATAGCATGTCTAGTCAGCGGTTATGGCATAAACATGATCATTTCCTTAGATGCTATTTCACAGATCCATTAAAAAACAGACAAATTGTTTGTTCCCTCCAAGTAAGATCTGAGCCCTTCACATGAGAATCTGAGATCGGGGTGTTGATGGTGCAGTGGATAAGACACATGCCTTTGGTGTGAGAGACCCGGGATACAATCCACTGTGAGACACCTGAGCAAGACACTTAACCCCTAGTTGCTCCAGAGGCGTGCGACCTCTGACATATATAGGAATTGTAAGTCGCTGTGGATAAAAGCTAAATGAATAAATGTTAATGTAATGTAAATGAGATCCTATAAGTTCAAATCAAAGCGGTGTCATACCACGAGGTTAGGCTAAAAGTATAGGATTTTCCTCTATTGAAATGGGCTAAATGTTTTCAAAATGGAGTGTTGTGTGACCAGCTGGTAAACTTCAGAGAGCTTCTTAAAACATTAAGCCTGGCTCAGGCAGGGGGTCCCTCAGACTTCGCTGGATCTCTGTTTACCACTCGCAGATTAGCATAAGCTTAGTTAGTAGTCAAGTAATAATAGCGTTAGTGATATAAGTATAGTAGAGGCTAAACACATACAGTACCTCTGTTTTTAACATTCTGCTGATAACTTTTAAAGCCTAATGTATAATCTTGCTTTACACAATCTTTTAAAGCATCCGATCATTCCTCTTGTACCTCACTAAGACAGGATTTCTTGTGTACATTAGCAGATTTCTCTGCATAGCTAGGTATACGCTACTTGTAAATGGTGTTTTGGATGTTAATGTCCTTTGTTAACCAGGCTTATGCTGGTGAATTGCACTTAAACGTAGGGCAATTTATTTTATAAACACTTTTGAAACTCTTCACATCCCGATAGCAATGAATAATTGAAGTAGTCTAAAGATGTAATATGTATCTAAAAATTTAGCCTACATATATGTTCTGTGGAAGTCTCTGGACCAAAACATTTTCGTCCTATTATAGCATTTTGTCCTGACTGTCAACATATGTGTTTTCATACCTCCGTGCACCCAGCTCGTGCAGAACACAGATAGTCACCAAAACAACGAGCTTATGCTTCGTTCGCGCCATGTCGTAACCGTAATTATGAGTTGGCAAGTTCTACCTGAAGCTGTTCACGTCCTCAGACTCGGTTTTATGCAGTTCTGTGTCAACACTATCAATCCCGAAATGAATCTGCAGCAGTCAAGTAAGAGTTGTGTAAATTGTTTACTTGAATTATTATTGTAATGTTATATGCTTTGAGACATGAAGTAATTTAACACCGTCTCTTGTGATACTTTGTAGACTGTGTGCGTTCATGTGGTGAGATCTAATGTTTTCAAATGTAACTTGTTATTGCTAGCCACTACTTTTTAACTAGCATGAAATAGCTTGGGTTAAACATATATATATAAAGAATACCATAACAATTACTACATCTTACTATTTAAAATATTAATATAAACTCTATAACACTTCCCTGATAGGAATAGTTGCTATCTTGGATATTTTGCTACACTTTCAAAATGAAATGTTCAGTGAGTTGAATGTGTGTTCAGTGTGTGAATTGTGCTTTCAGTTTGATTCGAAACAGATGAATGTGAATCTGGTTACATTTCTGGTAACAACCGTCTCAGTGTGGGCGAAAGAAATGGAGAAAAAATATACGTTTTCAAATGAAAAAGTATTATGGCCTTTGCTAAAGCAAACGTGAGATAAAAATAATTTAGCTGAATAAACTATAGCATTTTAATTGGGCTCTATTCATTTTTGAGCTTGTTTATCACGTTTCAGGTGAGTTCAGGTGAAAAAATCTACCATGTCAGATAAACCATAGTATAAGGAGCTGGTAAAAGTGTTTTAAGGTCATAACATGGTATTTCGCAAGGAGCTGTGCGAAAGTAAGTCTTAATTAATGGATAATCTACCTCAAAAGGAATAAAAGTTTGTGTTTTACTGCAACTCGTGTTCATTTAAACTGGGAACAGCTATTGTCGTAATTCATCTGAGACTGGTGTCAGATCAGAGTGGACCTTCAGTCTAATTATTTTGATCTGACACAAAAGATGTCCTCAGTCTAGAGCCACATGTGGCCTTATTAAAAGATGTTTTACAGTGGAAGACAGTTAGCAGACCACTCCGAGATACGAGGGTCTCAAACATGTGTTTCAGGGTCGGAGAGCATGTGACCACATCTGTTAATTAGCAAATGAGCAGATGTAGGGCCACTGTTGCAATTTCTCGAAGATAAACCAGGGTGACTGATTTGATCATGTGTCCCACTGCTGTCTACGAGCCTGCCGAGCACATGTGAGGACATGAGGGGCGGCGATCCTAATTGAGCTGTACTTCTGAAGCGATGAGCGAGGCCCCACAGCAAAGCTACAAGCCAGGAAAGATTAGCGTTCCACACGGCCACAAACAGAAGGCCTTTTGTTTCCCTCTCCTAATGAATGGAGCTTCTGAACACCGGAGCCAGACTGGAGGCATTCAGAACTCGTATGAAATGTTAGCGAGGCATATTGCCCCGAAAAGGAAGCGCTAATGGCGTGCGTGCCACCAAAATTGTATCAAATGATTTGTCGTAAGGCTTTGTTTTGCATAAGAAAAATGTTATGTTCTCACAAATTGGCTCCTAAAATATTTAAAAGCTCACTTGATCACTGAGGGCGGAAAGATGTTATTGTGTGAGAAATCGCAGCTCTGAGGCGTTGTACCGTACGTTACGGAAAGTACTGTTTTTGCTGAATTCCATGACTTTCTTTGAACAAAAGAAGCGAAGAGCATTCAAACGGCGTCCAAACACCGGCTTACCTTTGATTCTGGTAGCTTGGAGGGTAAACAAGAACAGAATGAGGAATAATCCTGTTTTCAATGGCATGTTGCAGTAGATTATGTCCTTTTGGATGTAAAGTTGCTCATTTGGACAGAATAGACAGTCCGTATTGACTTATCTGACATCCGAGGGAGAAAGAGTTAGCTTCCATCGACTATGTGTCCAGGTTTCCATGGACGGGGCTGTGTGTGGGCACCACTGTACGTTGGGCGGTATTCCTGACAGATGATGGCACAGGTTCTCGGGTACAGTTTAGTCTCAAGTGTGCGAGTGGGTGGAAGATGCTCTCCAGGCAGGGTGTGAAGGGGAGTGATGAGGTTAAAAGCGCTGGCTCTTTTTCTGGACTAATCTGTTTACCTCTCACTGACTCCTAATCCCTGTGGGCCCACGTGGTGGACTATCTTCATCCTGTTAGTAGCCTTCTGGACCAGCATCTGCTAGCCTCCGTGGTTCGGTCACGAGCCACTCGACTAGCGTACTTGCTCTCTTTCCAGTCCGCCCGACGCCCGTCTCTCTCAGTCAGGCCCACTCGACACAAGTTTCACAGCCCTCTGCCAGCTTTTGTGGCTGCCAAGCCGAAACGCAGTATTCGACTCCCCCTGTTCTAGACAGCAGGCTCTGCCCTTTCTCTGATCATGGGGCCAGATCTGTGTACTGACCGTGTGTTGTCGTACCCTTGTGGTGCATGTTAGTCCCCAGGCCTACTGCTTGAGCTGGGAAGAGGATTACACACACCCTGCTTATTAAATTTCACAGCCATAAATAAGTCCCCGCAGCTCAAAATCCATTCAAGACCTTCCACGTCGCTGCAAGTTGAAATTCCAACTTTCAAGAGATAATGAGAACAGGCTGGTGGCCATTTGTAACCAGCTGAAACCCCCGCTGGAAATGAGAATTTTAATTATTATTATTAATATTTTTATCTAGTTAGGGCTCTGAATAATTCCTGCTTGTTTCAGTTGTGGCCTGGAGAGGATAACAACTCTCTTCTGCACTGAATCTTGAAGTGTGAAGTTGAAGTGGTAATTCTAAAAAGAAATATTGATGATCATGATTGTCCTAATAACTTAGACTAATAATATAGCAACGCATTCTCACCCCAAGGCGTCACCTTTGACCATGCTTCAATATTTGACGTTTTAGGCGCCCTTTAGCGTCACTTACATGACGCGATCCTACGGCGTCATCTAACTGACGCTAAAGGAAAGCGTCAGTTAGAGGACGCGGTTAGGTTTAGGTGTGGGGTGGGGGTTGGGTACACGCGATCCTAGGGCGTCATCTAACTGACGCTAAAGGGCGCCTAAAGCGTCAGATATTGAAGCATGTCCAAATGCTTCCCAAGGCGTCAGTTAAGTGACGCCTTGGGGGTGAGAATGGGCTGAATATAGATGTATATTAAAAAATAGCAACAAACGGGATAGTTTCTTATCTGTTATAGCCAATTTTTAAAGTTTAGGTTCCAAAAAAGTAAATGTACAACATTTCAGACTGTTCTCATGAAATTGCGTATATGACACACCAATTCGTATTTCCATTTTTTGGCGTGCTATCAACACGCAAAATCGCTTTTCAGCGTGTTTATGAACACCGTTGACTTAACGTTATTACTGCATAAATATAAGACCAACCTGTCCCTAAACCTACCCGTCACTGGGGTTAATCGTATTTTTGAGTCTTCCCCTATCATCCTAGGAAAAAAAAAATATCGCTCCCCAGATGTAGATCTACATTTTGCTTTGTTTCACTCGGACATTTAACGGCGTGTACATACACGCGGAATCACTTGGACATTTAACGGCGTAGACATACACGCATACACGCGGATAGCTCAAAATGCGTATAGATAACACGCCACTTGACTTGAATAGAATGGCGTGCCGTGTATGTTTATGCAAAAGTCATGATGGCATGTTGAACATTTCTCCATAAACAGGTTTTGCCAATTTAGCTACACCGTACTGTAAAATCATAGTAAATGATTTTTAATGTTTTATTTTCCATATAGAAATTATTTCTGTCACTTATTGGAATTTACTTAATTGCTTTTTAGCAAAAATAATGTTTGTCTTATGTTTGGTTTTATGTTCAGTCATGTAATATTAAAAAAAAAAACAATCGAAATCAGTTAAAATGAGATCTTGAAATAATGTGTACCAGTAAATTGACTGATGCAAACCTTAGAAAAATTCACCTTTCATTGTTCATTTAAATTCTCTCCTCCTGTAAATGTTGTGTTTAAAAGGGAAACTCCTACAAATGCATATGCAATAAGATAAATGATAAAACAGATAAATAATCTGCAAAAAATACTTTCAGCACAAATTTTTCACTGCGTGTCTTGACAGTATTTTTTTTATGCCAAAAGAGTGTTTGCACTGGCGCATACTGTGAGTAAATCTGCCCCTACAAGTTATAATTTATCTGCCAACATAGTTTTTTTTATTTCCTGGTTTAAATTAGCTTCTGAAATTCCTTCAGTTTTCAAATTAGATCCCAGCTTTTCAGAATGGGATGTGACTTATTAGAAAAGATATTTGGATTCCTCTAAACAATCATGACACCCTAACCAGCTGCTCTCATTTCCTGCTTTTAAATCAGAATCAGAGGAAAATCCTATTCTGACTAAGAAGCTCAGCTCAATAGTGGATCCCTGCAATGCGGCTTTCAAATTCACCTGTCTAATAGTAGAGTTAATTCAATCTCTCTAGGTGACAGGAAAAGTCGAGGGATATACCGGCAATACTTATGCGCTAATGCAAGCAGACTTGCTCTGAAAGTCAGGAAAAAGCAGTCGACCGACCTTTCTACGCTTAATTGTCTTCGGGAGCCTGATTCTATTAAGAGCGGTAAAAATGAGCTCAAATGCAAAGCAGGCTGACCTTCTCACCTATGCTAATGAGTTCCATCACTGACCAATCAGCAGGGTGAACTTCAATTAACCTGGAGTGAGTGACTGTCTGGAGTCAGCACATCTCTGCTGCGGTGGAACACTCTCCTCCGCGCGTCCTCTGACAGAGCTTTATATTGATGGATGACAGTGACTGACTGAGTAGTCACTGTCGTAATCCCAGGATACAGCTCTCATTATTTCACCCCACGCTGTGATATACATATGATCCCTTCGTCTTTGCATGTGAGATCTTCGAAAGTTGTTCCACTTAAATCCCTTAGATTAGATGTTTCATTTAAATGCCTACCTTTATATAGATATTTATAGATGCATGCTTTTCTGATGTAGGCTTGGCTGTAGTTATAGCCCAGGGAAAAAATGAATAATTTGATCACATGTGTCCAACCAACGTCTTTTTTTTTGTGCAATTTTATTTTCATGAAAATTTCAAAGGTTGTTTTGTTTTAAGACATTTTTTTTTTACTATAGATATTTTATATTTAGTAAAATTTTTTTTATATATATATATATATATATATATATAAACAGTGTGTGTGTGTGTATATATATATATATATATATATATATATACTGTATATATATTTTGTGTAGGTCTTACCCCATTCTCACTTATATTATGCAGGGTTATTAGTTAACTGAAACTAAAATTAAAACCAAGAAAATATCATAAACTGAGCACGAAATAAAATAAACTTGAACTGAAATAAAATTAAATTAAATTAAACATAAACATATTTTATTGTAGCTAGTTGCCAAGGGAACTTTTTTTTTTCATTTTCATTTACTAAAAATAAATGAAACTAAAATTGATATAAAAGTTAATAAAAACTATAGACATATTAAATAATAATAATAATAACTTTGTATAACTAATAAGTAAAATTAAAACAGTAAATAGAAAAACTAATTCAAAATATGAATAAAAATGGTAATAGTAGTAACTAAATGGTTTCATTAATTAATTAATTTATTTATTTTTTAAATCCAAGCCTTGCTCCAACCTTCCTTATATATTTAACATAACTTTTTTTTATTTAATTATTATTAAAAAAAAGTTTTGGAACTGCATGTTGTAGATATTCATCTGCTATTTAGGATTTAAGGTAATGTGTGCATTACTATGATAATTATGATCTCCAGCTGTGGTTTAATCTAAAAAGAAAGCAGGACCAAATGAGAAAATCCCCTTCAGGCTCATTTTAGGAAAATGAGTATATTATAATTGAGTTAAATTGTGTGATGGACAGCTTTTCTGATAGATGTGGCCAATTCTTAAGCAACAGGCCGATTTTGTCATACATCGAGCTTTTGCAGCTCCAGGCTTCTTCTATGGGCGATCTTGGGTATTGCTTTTCCTGGAGATTGAGCTCATGAGCTCAAACTCAACCTACTTATTTTGCAATGGTCATTCACTCATGTTTTCAGATACTCTGTGATTGATTGAGCCCTTGTTGACAGAAAAAGTGGGCGAGACGAAGAAAATCAATCATGTCATTGAGCTCAATATTTCAAACATGCAATGAAAAGACCACACGAAACACAAGTTTGTGAGATTTGTATAGGTCTGGTTTTATAAATCGGGCCTGCTTTGAAACCACCAGGGGGCAAACTTTAATTAAATGAAACCTTTTGTGTGTGTGTGTGCTTGTTTATATGATTTATGAGAACACAAATGTGGTTTAAGAGGACATTTCTTGAGTCCTCGTAATTAAAATGACTTAAAAACATACTAAACAATGTTTTAATATTTTTTTTTTAATTTTTGGAAGTTTTATATGGGTAAGGTTAGTAGAGGATATACAATTTGTACAGTATAAATACCATGCCTGGAATGTCCTCATAATGATAGATGGACCAACGTGTGTGTGTGTGTGTGTCCACAAAACAGAAAATCATCAAATCCTTTGTTATACATTCTTGAGTTTGGTATGTTTCCATTATTGAACCATAGATTGATTCATGGTTTTTGGTCAACACCATGTATATCATATAGAGGTACCATATATATCATAAGCAGCCATATAAGCATTTCATCATACGGCGAATACAGGGCATTTGTAATATACCAGATATTCAATCCTGTTTCATATCTGAGGGAAGAAGAAGTCATTGAAGCACACTTTCACTAGAGCCATTAGTGAACAGCAACTCTGATTGCTTTGATAAATGGCCGGCTGTCTAGAGTACATGCAAGGTGAATTGTAAACAGTGGAAATTGCCCTGAATATGGCCATCTGTTCTGAAAATGAGAAGCATAATAGATGCTGTTACAGTGACCATAGGCTGACATCAGCATGACTCAAAACGGAGGCACTGAAATCACAGAAATCCCCCGTTTTCAAACAAGCCATCACGCAGCCGTGCGAAATGCTTTTTCCAGCAGTGTATTTATGACTGTGCCCAGTGAAGCCACTCTAAATCTATATGTGCTCTGAAGAGCTGAGATGCGCTGCCCCCAGGAAACTTCAGCAGACCAGAGTAATGACTCTTTGCTATGGAGAGAAGAATTTCAAATTTGACTCTCGCTCCTATAGCAGACTAAATCCAGCGTCCTTGAAGATTCAATGTCATGTCGAAATGAAAGCATCCTCAGAACTAATGCAAGTCATTGACCAAATAACGCTTCCACCTGCTGGTGTGACGCAATGAAAGCGAAGCGTTTACGGAGGCCAATCATATTTGAGTTATTGGGTTTTCTTTATTATAAACAGAAAGTTAGGCTGAACTGACATCGTTTTTTCAAAAAGTAAATGGGAAATTAAAAGTCTAAGTATCTAGCCAAAACATACTTGAATAAAAGTAGAAAGTAAAGTTAAAAGTTTTTTTTCTTAGTGTTTGAAACTGACTGTTGAAATTAAGAGACTGTGGATATTTTCATATTAAAGTAACTTTGATGCACTAAAAGGAACCTGTTCAGTCACAGTTTTCTCATTGTGCAATAGCTCAAGGGCACCCCTGCCCGACTAAAACTGGAGAATATTAAATCACAGAATCTGCTTTATTGTATAGTTTGACTGTTTAATTTACTGTCAAAAAATATTTTCATGATTTGAAATCACATTTTTTTTCTTTTGTCAAATCAATTCAGATAACATAATATTTTGAGTTTCTGATGCTTAAATCAATCTCCTTCATTGTATTAACTCAATTTATCCAATTCATTGAACTTAAATTTTGAAGGCAAGCTTACTTCATTTTTTGAGTCAATTTTTTAAGTCATTTTTTTTTACAGTGGATTATAAGTTAAAGTTTAATTTTGCAGTATGTGTGTGTGTGTGTGTATTTAACATATTCATCTGATGGAAAGCTGAATTTTCAGCATCATTACTCCAGTCTTCAGTCTCACATAATCATTAAGAAACCAGTCTGATATGCTGATTTGGTGTACAATAAATATTTCTTATTAGTATCAATGTTGAAAATTGTTGTGATATGTTTGTGGAAAACTTTTTAGGATTTTTTGATGAATAGAAAGTTCAAATGTTCTGAATTTACTTGAAATAGAAATCTTTTGGTACATTTATAAATGTTTTTACTGTCAATTTTGATCAATTTAATGCTTCAATGATGAATAAAAGTATTAATTTCTTTTTTTTAAAACCACCGACCCCAAACTTTCGAACAGTAGTGTGTAGTAATGCTTAAATATGTTTTAAATAGCATTTAAATAATGTTTAAAAAACAATTATCGATATTTTTTTCATTGATAGATCATGATACCACTATACTGTATAGTGTATGCAAATCTAATTTCAATAGGAAATTGTAATGAGTAAAAAATACTTTCCCCCCTTTACTTGGGTAAAATATGACCTTCAAATTATAACGCACAGGACTATTGTTCTAGTGCTTGTGTATTTGTCCAGGAAGAACTTCTTAGCTTATAGTGTTCCACTCCAAATTGCTTGCTTGCCGTCTGTTAATCACAGTGGTCTCATATGCAATGCGAAAGCACTTTTGCAAGGTGCTCTCCATAAGAGCGTCTGAATGCCATAATGTAAAAGTATAGAAATAAAGTGCAATTACTTGAGTACTTTACACCCCTGCATACGAGCCAGTCCTCTCAGAATAGCAATGTTCGGTGTTGCAGTATGTCAGCACTGAAATGGACGAACATATTTCCCCTGATACTGAATGCTTTACTAAGGTACATCGGAAAACAGCTTACAATAAATGAGCATGCTTTATATCTGAGAGAAATTATATGTGGTTTTATCCATGAATGCCACCGTCATTTGTTCTGATAAGAGAAAACACAATATCCCCATGGACGTGATTCGAAAAAGCTCTTATAATTACTGAGATGCATTAGGGGACATTTTTCCAACCATACAATGCAAGTATAGACATTTATATTTCATAGATTTATATAACAAATGATTCTACTGGAACAAAACAACCCCTTTTTTATTTTATAAATTGTAAAAAAAAGATGGTTGAGTTGCAAAAAAGATGGTTGAGTTACTTTAATTACACTTAACATTTGCCATTAAATGTCATCCCATTTGTCATCTTGATGTCAATTTTGTTTGATGTCATTATTTGCAAAGTTCTTCCATTTTTCAGCAAGCCATTTGGGGTCCAAATGTAATAATTAAGGATCAACTGCTTAAAAAACGGTCAACATTTAATCTAAATATGGCGGTTACGACCATTTCACGTTTGATCCACTCACTTATGCTAACCACGTTGAAAGTCAAGTCTCTTTGCTATGCAGTGGCGCACAGGCACAATCAGAATCGCTGACACCGCCAAACCACCGATGTGAAGGGATTATCGGGATTATAAAGACGACCTCTACATTTCATATGTAAATGTTTGTTAATCAAGAGCAGATATGATATTATCCATCATGTTTTGTCCATCCACGACTTCTCTGAGTGAGCATTTCCCTCAGCAGATCTGCTTTTACTGTATTGTGTCTTCAATTGTTAAGAAGTGACATTGCATAATAAAGCGCTAATTCGCTAACAAAACTGAAACGACTAACATCTCTGAACGGTGAGACAGCAGGCCAGACCCTTGCAGATTATATAACGCATTATTTGCAAAGTCTCTGCTCCTTTGAGACAAGATTTTGCCATTTCAAATGTCAAAATATCCTTGAGAAAGATAAGACGGATGCTATACTGAATGTTTAAAAGTGGAATTGTCATTAAAGGCGCTGGAATATCGTGGCATTCAAGACGCGTCGCTTCAAAGATGCTGACGTTACGGAGCGGACTTCCTCCCTAAGGCGTATGAATGTCAGACGTCTCGATGAAGACCTCTTTCAGAGAGGTATGTTTCCTCTGAATCTGAGTGACTGTTTGGAGCAAAATTAATGACTTTTTTGTCTTGACATTTACTGAACTGATGATTGCTGTCTGTTATGGACCATATATAATATATATATGGAAATATAATGGATTAATGGCCTGTGGTAAACTCGTTATCTGGATAGCATTTATAGCACTAAATGTGTCCTGACATATTGTCTTATTTTGAATATAGTGATTTTCATACTTAATTAGTAATCGTGAGGTGAATGATGCAGAGACGCAGAAAAGATAAAGCCATGAAGTAGCCTATTAGGCTGATAATAAGCCACGCCAACAAGTACACCTAGGTATCTGTCAATCTAAAGGAATGGCATTTAAAGGAAAGGTTAAAAAAAGTGCAGACTTTTAGGCATTACTATTAATTCAGTGAACAGAAAAATGAGCAGTAGTTTGTTTTTTTGTAAAAAAAAGACCATCTCAGACATTGAATGCAGTGTTCTTTTGCCTTTTTCTTTTCGCAGGATTAAAGGAACAACTAGACCCAAGCATGCAGGAAAGAGGGACAGAACCTTCCGTGAGTGACAGTTCTGATGTTTGAAATGTTGACTGTGTAAGCAGATATGCTCAGGGGAAAAATATTTAGTAAAGAAGAATGTAAAAGCCATGAAGCATGATTGTTGTACAGACGTGATCTGTAGCTGTTGTTGAGCAAGAGGGTTTGAGAAATGGAAAGTGACACATGTTCTTAAACAAAATGACAATGTTGTTGTCATTCACTCTTAAAATATACTCATTTCAAGCTGTGTGTGAGGAAGCAACCAATATTTAAAGGGATACTTCACCTCTGGAAAGATGAATGTGTACAAGACATGTGAAATTTGGAGCTTTCTAGACTGAGAAAAACCAGAAAATGTATTTTTGGCTGATGTGGATGAAAGACAACAACTCCCAGAATGCTCTTGCTTCACTGCCTTATGAGGCCAAGCCTACCAGTAACAGAGCGCAGTAATTAAACAACAATTCTAGGCTACTAGTGAGTCTCCACGATGAGTCTGCCTGAAAATGTGTTTCGAGATCCCCCAAAATGTCCGGGATTCGGCTTTTGCGTTCTACAGTCGCCATTCATCATGTTTACTGTGGCGAGCAGGACGAGTGAGGGCCGCGGGAGAACGGCGCGAGGCCGGTGGCGTGATTACCGATGAGCGACACCTGTGAGACGCACCGGTCTCGTATCTCTCACGGAGGAGCGGGAATTTTCTTAGAAATGTTAAAACGCACATCAACCGATCACTTGTTTAACGTTCATGTAAACACTACATTCAGATTCACCAATCAGAATGAGTTCAGTTAGATTGAAACAAAAGCTGTGCATGTAAACAATGAATGGCGACTGCAGAAAGCAAAAGCTGAATCCCGGACATCTACGGCCGGACATGTCCGGGAAAAAGGGGATGGTGGTAACCCCTAAAGTTACTACTCAGCTTTCTCCACAAAACAAGAGCCTGCTAGCTTACCTTCCAAAAAACTGGCTGACACTATGTATAATCCCAATTACCAAATAAGACATATTCCTGATGCAACATATTTTGTTAATCCTGTAACAATATTCCTAACCCCATCCTTATTAAACCTGACCCTACCCACAAGTTATCCGTAAAATCAGAGGGAAATGATAGGTGAATAACACTGATGTAGAAGCACATAACCCCAGTGGTAAGCCTAAACTTGGCATAACTTGTCCCTCAAATCTGATTGTAGATCCTGGAACAACATTCCAAACAACCAAAGATGTTGATCCAGGAACATATTGTTCTTTGTGAAATCACATTCACCACTCTGGGGTGAGTTTCCAGAAAGCATCGTTAGCCAACTGTGGTCTCAAGTACCATCTTTATCAGCATAGTTTAACGAGTCTGTGTTTCCCGAAACCATCGTTCCAACGAACATTCGCAAACAGCATTGCAAAGTTGATTGGTTGGAGCGACAGCCCTCGAGCTGTGGTTAGAAGCATAGTTTCTAGATTGCATGACAGGACATGTGGACTTAGTAAATCCTTAACTTGAGCAAAATAAGCAAGCTGACATTCAGGACAACCTGTGTCTTTTATTAAGAATACATACAAATGTAATTTACGTCTTTGGGTTTGTCAAGAGATTTATGAAGTCTGCGCATGTGCGAACGACTGAATCTGGAAATGAAGTGAAATAACTGAGAAACATTCGAAATATTCCTCAGATGCCATGTCTGTTATTTATATCTAAACATCTAGCATTAATTCAATCTCAAACAGTTTCATTAAAATAAGTTATTGAACACCACTTTGCAACAGTATGGTTTCGGGACTTGCTAGTTGATTTCTTCAACGATGCATCGTACTATGGTAGTGAAGCATCGAGTTACGTCGTTGTACGGGAAACGCACCCCTGGTTGACCTGAAATGTATCTCATGAGTTGTATGGTCACCTTTTATTGTCTTTCTTTAGCTAATTTTGAAAGTTAATCTTTCATATCCACTGTAAAGAAAAGAGCAGGCAGGACATTCTGCAAAACGTCTTTCTTAGTGTTCAGTGAAAATCACTCTCATGGTAATCATATTTTACATTTTTGGCAAATTGATGGCTATGATCTCATTCATATGTTTTTGTGCAATTTGATTATTCCCCACTGACACTGTTAGGTTTAGAGGTGGGCCTTCATGCTTACTTTTTTCTTCTTCTGAAAATCGTACATTTCCGTTTGAATCAAAAATCTACACTTTGTAAAATAATTATGTTTTCACATGAGGTTTTGGAACGACATCTGATTAGGAGTTGCTCAACATTACGCAAAACTGTTAATATGCACAGATAGACTAATTTGAACATTACGCTCTGTGGTATATGAGAACATGTTAACGTCATTACATGCTTCATTTAGCACAATTAAGGTAAAGTGTAATTGCAAAGCAGCTTGGCATGTTTATATTGGGAGGGAACAGTTGGTGTTTATTAGCGGATATGAAAAAAATATCCCCTATAGATGAAACCTTTAGTGATGTAAATATGATGAAGGTCAATGTCCAAGCTAAAAACACAAGTTTAATGATTGATGATAATAAGCACTGATTTTTAACAAGGCATGCTTAAACATAGTGTATATGCAGGCTATGTGTGTAACATATGTCAGCATGATTTGTATGTTGATTATATCAAGGTCACGTATTATCAAAGTCAAGTGTTCATCATATGCCTGCAAATGAGTGGCTCTCTGTTTGCTCGTGATTAATGTTCCATCATTGGAGGACATTAAGGGTGGATTGGGGGATGGGGATGGGGGATTGGGGTGGGTAAACTTCAATAAACTTTATTTCAGATGAGTCATATGCTATAACTATATTTCAATTTTAATTGTAAAAAAAACAAGACAACAATTTAAGACAGAAATGCAAGGTTGATTTTGCATAGTATCAAACCTACGACTTTTAATTGGCTCCGAAGAAAAGATGAATGACAAAGACAAGAGATTAAATTCAAATTAATTAAACCAGCAAACAAATAATTAACGGCTCCTCCGAGCCTCCAAAGCATTTTACACTAATGCTACTTATGATAAAAGACATATTAATCAGCATACTCAAAAAAGACCAATATGTTTAAAAAAAAAACATTTATGCCATCATGTTGCTTGCTTTCCCATCACCATTGCTTCCTGAGAGGTGATTTGTGATTCACTGTTAAACGGCTCTGACAGGACAGCTTACACTTATTGCGGGTGTTTGTATGGTGTTAAGCATTCAAGTTGTAATAGTACAAAATTAGGTCTTCAAAACTCACTTCACATCAAATCCGTAGGCATTACAAGGGTCTGCGCTATTAAATATGTCCGTTTAGTCTATCGCCCCCCTGCTTAAATATGTCCCCAATTTCACTGTCTGCTGTTGGAGGTTTTGAAACATGATAACTAAATCAATACCCACCATGACTTCACATTGAAAACAGGGTTGAAGGAAGCACAGGCTTAGTGTGAAAAAAGCAGAATTGTGGGAAATATCAAACATGCCTTTTCATGAAATGCTGCGACTTTGCAGTGATCCTTTCCTGTCACCTCCATATGAGCGTAATAAGTCGATATCTCCTCCTCTGCTCTGTTCTGATCCGTCTTTGACGTATTACTCACCTCCTGCGGTAGACGTGTCATTCTCAGTTACTCTGTGATCTCTCACACTGTCAAGTGACAGATAATATGACTTATGAGCATATTGAGCAGAAGGTGAATCAATTTGGGTTAGAAGTGGGTCTCAATTTATATCTTAAGAGACTCGCTCAGTCAGAGACTCTGTCCAATGCACCATTTGTACAGCGAAGACTTGACCTTAGTATAAATTCCCACTGCTTGCTTGGTTTGATCTCAGAATGCTTATTGAGTGGAAATGAAGGACCAAAACACCCACATTTTTGGGAGCACGGACAAGGGAAGATATAGCAAGAACAGGTGTAAAAATGAATCATTAATATGCCCGTTTTCATTAGTCAAGCAACACATATTCTCACTGTTTCATTAACCATAAGACAGGAAGAAAGAGTTACTGGATGTGAGCACAAGAAAATGGATTTCCCATCTTATTTATTATGTTTAGGAGCAGGCAGTGACCACATAAGATCAATTTAATTACACATTTGATAAAGAATAAAGACAATGAAGCTTTTTTTACACAATTTTTGCATTATCAATTAGCAACTGGTTGACCACAAGCCATCAAAGCATTGTTATGAAATCCAAAGCCATTGTACATTCTGTTTGAAGGAATATTAGCCTACGCCTATTAAACGAGGCCCACTTAACAGATGATTACATGGCTCTCTGAGATTCTTGATTCTGATTTCAGTCTGATTGACTGAATCCTGTTTCTTACATAACTGTGCTTGTGTTTTGTCTCTCTGCTATCTTTACAAGTAGACAGATAAAATAACAACTCAGTAATTATTTAATACCTTTTTATGTATTTTTTTAAGTAGTCGTGTAACAACTGATAATGTGCAGTCAGACGGTCATTGATCATAACATGTCATGACGTGAATTCCCGATAATTCAAAGATCCAGAGTCTGACTCAAAGAGTCAGTTGTTTCGCTTATACCAAGTGTAACCAAGTTTTCATCCCTAAAACACATTATTATTATCATTATTTTCATGTATCTTGTGAGGAAACAGCCCTTGCCATTGTTATAAATTAAAATAGGGTGACTATTTGAAGTAGTAGAACTAGTACTGGGCTGACTCTAAGCAGTCATTGGTGTAAGTAAGGTTGTGTGTGTGACCGCGAGAGGGAGGGAGTGTGAATGTGATTACTCTGCTGCAGTGTTAATAAGCAACAACAGCATAATTACAAACATGGAAGCTATTAGATGAATTAGTTTAGAAAAAAAAATCAAAATAATTTGTCATTTTGTCAACAGGATTGTCTGTCATTTATATGCTTGGTCGGTTATTTGTTGTCTACTTCTTTTAATATATATGCTGTATGGCTCTTTGAAAAAAATACTAATAATGTGGTGAAGTGATGTGGGACTTATATTTCATTGCCCTGCCGGTTAAAGAACCCCAAATATGAAACTTGTGTCATTTACTCAACCCTTATGTTGTTCCAAACCTGTATGGGTTTATTTATTCTGTTGAACACACACACACACAAAAAATAAATTTTGAAAAATGTTGGTAATCAAACAGTTGACGCCATTCCATAGTTTTTTTTTCCTACCTGGATGTCATGGCTACCTACCGTCAACTGTTAATGACATTCTTCAAAATATCTTATTTTGTGTTCAACAGAAGAAAGAAACTCGCACATGGTTGGAACAACATAAGGGTTATTTGAATGATGACATATTTTTTCTTTTTTTTTTGGTTGAACCATCCCTTTATAACGTTTAGCAGCAGACACAGTGCCGTGAGAACACTTGCGTTAAGGACCGACTGACTGACCATTATCCTCTATGCTTATTTATTTTACTATCGTCTGCAACATCTAAAGCTTATGAGTTTGTGAAAAGCTTTTTTAAAGTCATCATTCGACATGGTGTATATTATTGGATTGATCAGTGAATTGACGTAACCAAGCCATGTGAAAAAGTCAAAGAGTTCTGCGGAAAAACAGGATGGACAGAGGGGAACCAGCAATGTGTAAATGAAAAACGGCAACCAGCACACAATGTAAGCTCCTAAAATAACGCCCAGGGTTTTGGTGGCTTTCCTCTCGCGCGCAGCCGATATTCTCTTTTTCTCCAATAGTGAATCGGACACCGTTACTCTAATTTGATTGTCACTGCCAAGAGACCCAGTGTCCGAGCAGAGGTCATGCCTTCCACAATGCAAAGGAGAGGTCGAAGCCACCGAAGCGGGTGAATTAGTGCTGAGATGTGCCGAAGTCAGTCTTTTTCCCGCTTTTTTGGGAGACTGCTTCAAAATGCGCTTCCTCGCCTCCACGTAAATCCGCCCGTACAGGGCGATGAGCAACAGCGTAGGGATGTAGAAAGCTCCGAAAGTGGAGTAGATAGTGTAGAAGATGTGGTCCGTGTTGACCGAGCAGGTGGTCAGCTCCCCTGCCTTCACCTGTCTCCAGAAGAAAGGCGGCAGGGAGATGGAGATGGCGATGACCCAGGCGGTGGCCACCATCCCCGCGGCGCGCGCTTGGGTGCGTTTCTTGGAGTACTCGACCGCGTCGGTTATTGCCCAGTATCGATCCAAGGCGATTACGCAGAGGTGAAGTATGGACGCGGTGCAACAGGTTATATCTGAGGACAGCCAGATGTCACAGATAACCTGCCCGAGCGTCCACTCGCGAGTGACCGTGTACAGCACGCAAATGGGCATCACGAGCACCGACACAAGAAGGTCCGTGACGGCCAGGGACGCGATCAAGAAGTTCGCCGGGGTCTGGAGCTTTCTGGACTGGGAAATGGTGGCGATGACAAATGCATTGCTTAATATCGTTGCAATTGTGATGAGACCGAGAACTGATGCCAAGGTGACTTGGAAAGCGAAACTTTCTTGGTTTTCGTCCGTTTTGGGTGTTAAAGTCACATTTGTCCCGGTCGAGCTGTTTAAAACCTCGAATTGGGCAGGTGTTGGCTTGAAATTGAAATGACCGCTGCGCTCCATCCCTGAAGACGTTTTCATATTTTGAAAATAAAGCAATATTTTCTTCGCTTCATGATTTCTGTCAGCTCTATCATCAGGTGCCGTCAACACCTCGTTGGTGTTTTTGTTCTGTGACAATCAAAGATTTCTTTTTGCTTCTTTAATTCTCAAACTTCGGTCTATCAGAAAAATAAAAATAAGCTTCGAACACAACAGTTGCACGATATAAAGCATCCCAGAAGTTGTGTGAGAACATCGATGCATCAGTCTTTAGTGCTGCTCTTGCTTCACGTCCACACTAGAGTCATCTTTAAAAGGCTGATAGTTTGCCTGCACGCTGCGGGAGTTTTTCTTATGGTTTCACTGATAGGCGGTCGCAGGGTTCTTGCTTTTTATAGGGCTCTGATGCAAAAGTTGCAGCTTTGATAACCATGATCTTAGTTTGAGAGAGGATGCTGTCCTCTGGGTCTTAGTGCCTCCCTAACTTTATACTCCTTTTGATTCATCTAAAAAATAAATTCACCCTCAGCTTTTTCCAAATCTTCATGCTATTGTTTTTTTTTTTTTTGGCAGATATTTACAACATAAGATTAAGACAACATAAATGTATTTTTAATGAATCAAATATATGCATTGCAACCAGAGTAGTCTGATTTCTGAAGGAATAACTGATGTTTTTTTTGTGTTTGAATTAAACTACTTACTAATTAAATGTGATACATAATTTAGTGTAATTACAAACTACTGTTCATATGAATGTGTAAAGATGCACTTATTCAAAAACTATGAACAGTTAATCACACATTTATAAATAAACCTTTTTAAATAATTGTTTTACATTTATTCATCATTGACATTATACTTTACCATCATTTGACAAGGGAATTTAAATATTTTTTTCACAAATATTCCTGACAAGCAGGCTAGGCCTATTAAAAGAACCACTAATGGAACCGTTAAAGTCACCATGAAATCAAAATGAACAATTCTTCTTTTTATGAAATATTGCAATGCTTATTTTAAAATGATTTTATCAGTGCACATGCAGCATTTTTTTTAAATACTTGTGCCATCATAATCTTTAATTAAAATAACCTTTTGCAGCTACATCTCATCTATGATCCCTGCACTTTTATATGTTTAAGAAGCCATTTCACACTGATATACGTCACAATAAGGAAGAAAAGAATAATTCCATTTCATGCCAACGAACTGGAATCATAAAAAACAAATCATATGTGGCTTCAAAAGACTTTGAATATGGCACGCATGCCATAAGGGGCTCTTTTATGATGCATTTACAGTTTTTTCTTGTGTTTTTTTTAGAGCTTGAAAAATGTCTCCCTATGAAGGCTTGTATGGAACAGTGCTGTGTTAAGATTCTTACAAAAAAAAAATCTCCTTTCATCTTTCACAGCAAATGGGTTCGAAACCTCATGAGAGTTAGTAAATGCTTCAGAATTTATTCTTTTCTTTCTTTTTCCCTCCTAAGATAATATGGATAAGGTTCTTGGGGTTTAGTTTCTCCAGAACTGGTATTGTGCATGCAAGCACTCAAATAATGTCTTCCTTTAAATCAAAAACTGTTCTGGCCTCTTGAGTGAGTGTCCTTAATTTCCTTGGTTCATTGATTTTCATGTAGTTACAGTATATACATCTCTTAATTAAAATAGCTCTGGCAGAGGAAATATTAAGCGGGAGGTGATGTGCTAATTAATTTTTCTTAAACAGTAAATGTGTTTGACTGCTCTGATAATTACTGATAATAAAATCGGACAACTGGGAAGCCATAAATATAAACTATCAAACCAGTCACTGTCTGGAGACAACTGTCTGTAATCAAAAGTGATCTTTACAGTCGAAGTGAACCGAAACAATTACGCGACCTTCATTATGTAATCACTGTGTAAGCAGTGTACTGGAGTGAATATATAACGTATTGAGAGCTTTTGTCAATACCGTCCCTGCTGACGCTATTGTGTTGTACTAATTTCCCCTCATTTTGTGTTTTAATCATGTGATGCACACGTTATTCCCTCATGAAAAGACTTTTAGGAGACACAATTATGATTCTCTTTTAAATGCATATATAGCTCATTATGTTCTTTTCATTGCTTTCCACAGTTCCCTGTTGAGCACAGTGGTTCATCAAAAAAAAATCATTTTGGTTTCCTACAAAACCGAATGCAGCCAATTATCTTCAGGAAAGTCACATTTGTCGCAGCTCGAGTGGTTTGAACATTTCATATTGGAATGTGCGCCTATAGGTGGGCGTAAGTTAAGTATACTATAAAACTGAAGCAAAAGTTGTTTGGTTATATAATGTCTGCAATGTGGAAAAGTGAAAAGAGGAGGGCAATCTAAATATATGCTTACCGAACCAACTAAATATGTGCTCAACAAACTACCTGTGACTTAGCAGCAAAACACTGAATGCTTAAACACATTTGAAAATGCAGCACTATTAAAGTGTCGTATTAAAATCGGCAATAATTATTTTCAGTCAACAAATATTTTCATGTTTTAGCCAAAAACTGCTAAATGGCTAGTATTAAAACGTGACTCTATTTTGTGTAAATAAACTAAAAAATAATATACTAAAAACTATTTAAAATTCCTTTTTGTCAAATAGCGACCCCTAGAGTCGCTGTGGAGTACTTGTATTTAACGATAAATAGCACTCACGGCCTCATACCCCTTTGAAGCTGTTATATTAAGGTACAAATCTTGCATAGTGTGCCTTTAAATAAGAGATCTTGGGGGGTATTTATGGGTGGGCCTACTATGATATTAGACTGCATAACCTATAATAAAAGATAATGAATTTCAAACCTGAACCAAATTTGTTTTGTTTTTTTCAAAGATCAACAGTCTGTCATTAGTCTGCTACTAAAAAAACGGCGTGTTGTAGTTCTGGTACACCAGCCATGTCAATGAAACGAATGAATGAAAATTTGCGTATCAAATATCTAAATTCACGCCTACATCTTTGTAGAAGCGGAAAATGCCAACTACTGGTCTGGCATGCGTAATACAGCTTTTTAAGTCATTTTCGTGAATCCGTGTGAACAGGGATCATTTTGACAATGTTGTCATCCGCATACGCAAAAAAACTCTTTGCTACGTGTTAACGTGCTACCAAAGTCAAATATTGGCAAATAAATTAAATATTGAGCAATATTGATGTAACAAATATTATATATATAGGGCTACATATAAAATGATAAAATTCAAAATGATTTTCTCAAAATGTCACGTTAGGTCACACGTATTCAGTTTTTTATATAAAGTCCCAACTGTAATTTGAAAGCTTTATGTCTTTGTTCCCATTTCTAGGGATATTCTTTTACGTCTTTCAATTTTAAATGAGACGAGACATTTTAACACTGAGACGGTAATTCAGTGGGATTTTTGAAGATGGTGGATGTTTTATCTGAATCCTATAAAAGCCGCAGTCTTTTTAAAGAAACTGCTCTGTAACTGAAAAGAATCTTATTTCTGAAAGGCTTTAGCTGATGTTGGATACCGTATGTTGCCTTGCTGTAGTCGTGATAAACATTTCCGCTGCTCATTCCCTACCTCTGGTTAACATGATTGCATCTTCTCATGTTCATATGGAGTCAGAATCTGAAATATGATTATCAGTTATCAAACAGAGCTGTCTGCCCCATGGCCTATTGAAATTACGCCCTCGAAGGTCAAGGTTAAAACTAATGAAGTGAAATGAAGTATTTATGGGACAGTTGGAGTGGGTTGAAGGCCTGGCTTGAAGCTGGAGAATTATCAGTTTATTGTCTTAGATTCCAGCTGCAGCCACACTGTGAAAATGAACAATGCTTCTGTGTTCTTCCCTCGACAGCCTTACGGACAAAATTGAATAAAAAAGTTTCAGATTCTGTGTGTAAATATGTTTTCCTCTAACATCTATTTGACTTAACGCTTTCACACACCCCCTCATCCTTTTTTCTACGGTTGCAACTTATAATTTGTTTGCAGATGTAAACTTGAAGGATTGAAATCGCTGTGCGGTGTTCAATCACGAGAACACATTTGAAGATCTATAAAATGGATAAACGGATGAGTCTTGAGAGCGGAAAACAGAATAAGAGCTACAGTTTTCCCAAGGTCACAGAAATACATAGTCCTCCTAGTTTAAAATCATTTTTTGGAAATGCCCTCCAACATCTGACCCTCAGCAATCATTTGATTCAGTTAAACTCTTCTTAATTCTTCTTTGTCAATGATTTTATTTCCTCCCTATCTAAATTAGGCCTTTCTATCATTTATTTCCCTACCGGCCGTCTGCCACCACATACAACAGGAAGTCCAGTAAGACATTATGCCATTTGACACTTTGAAGGCACCTTCAATTCTTTGTCCTCTGTAGTCAAATATCAAGTATTCTGCAGTAAAACTTGTATATCCTATTGATTTGTTCTCGTCTAGACGCTGCATCAGTACATATGGTGTAATTTTAGATTTGTTGTAGTTACAATTTGTCGGTTTTCATACCACAAGATTTACATTACATGGCCCAGAACAGGGGGATTTATATTCTTTTCTTGCCAAGGACACCCAAATATACAAGGGACAGATTGGGGTCAAAGGAGTTGGGATTGAAAGAAGTCTCTAATGCTCACCAAAGCTTCATACATTACAGTAAAAAACCGTAATATTATTGCAATTTAAAATAACTTTTTTTCTATTTGATAACATTTTAAAATGTAATATATTCCTGTGCCAGCTTCCAGTCTTCAGTGTCGCATGATCCTTCAGAATTCTGATTGGTGCTCAAGTAACAATTGAAATTATTATAAGTTTGAAATTCTTGTGCTGATTAATATTTTTGTGGAAACCATGAACTTTTCTGTGATGAATAGAAATTTGAAATAGAGATTTTTTTGTAACAATTTAAAAGTCTTTACTGTGAATTTTTGAACAATGGTGTGTCAAAAATGATCAATATAACCATAGTATATTGAAGTGCATTTGCGGTGGCAGGTAGCCTGGTAATACCAGACTCTGCTACTTCACTGAGCGAAATTAAATTAGCGGAAGTAGGAAGTCTGACGTGGCTAGGTGGCAAGGCCACGACTCTGGAACACCTTGCCTCTATATTAGAACGGCCCCTACTCTGTCTGTCTTCAAGTCTCTCAAACCTACTTGTTTTCTTCATATTGATCTCTTTTCTTAGGTGGGTTTTACTATTTTTTGAGTCTGATACTATTTTGGCACATCTGTTTTACTATTATATATTCAAGTCTGATAATGTTTTGCTACTCCTGTTTCAAGGTTGCTCTTAGCTTTGTTGCTTTTATTTGTGTTGTTTATATATTTGTTTATATGTGTTGTTCTGCAGGTCTTATTTTCTTATTATTTATATTATTCTCTAAAGCACTTTGGTCAACCTAGTGGCTGTTGTAAATTTGCTATATAAATAAATGGACTTG